CAGACAGCCCCTGTCTTTCGATGTTCCTGATGTCCTGGTCCGGCCTTGAGCATGGTGCCACCCAAGCCTCGGTTTCTGTAGTTTGCAACGGACGTCGCTACTGAAATTGATTTCAATAGCCTGTCATTACCCTGTATGGTAGGCAGCCATCTCGCTCATCCTTTCAGACGTATACGGGAGCTCATTACTAGACTCAGGGAAGAAGCCGCACTTACAGCCCCCTCAGTGACGGCCGGTATTACCAACGTTAGCCGCCCCCGAGAGGTCTGGTACGAAAAAAGGAAGGGAAAATCAATCGTGGCTGTCTATAAAGTGCCTGCTGTCAATTAGTTCTCGGTCACCGATGTCGTCCTTTTATGTTCGTATTGTTGCAACTCCCGTGTTCGCCTCTCACTACGGGAAACTGATGGGCTGGGGTGCTCGTCAACAACTAATTAATCATAAATCCTCGTGACTGAATTCCCCATGCTAACCTTAGATCAGGAGGCAACAAGCAAGAGCTAGGATTGCGAATGTGACTGTTACTTCTGAATCGACCACAAGGATAGTGGGCTCCAGTCGTTTACTCGTCCGGACTACTGTAGTAACTTCGCACCACTTTATGAAGGTCAGGTTAGTGTGTGAGAAACAGAGGGCTTGCCACACGGGAATATGCGAACTCAGCCAAGTCACTACTGCAACGCTGGGATGACGGTGATGGCTATTCTTGCTTGCTACGGTCGAATCCTTGGTAGTTGCGCGGTTTTCTGTTGGCTACTTCCCAATACGCCTAAATTTCATTACAACTGAATGGTCATCTGATGAGAAAACCGAAGAGGAGCAATTGTCATTTTTTCCTTCGTACACGGCATATCACTGTAAACTTCATTAGTGCATATAAAACTACCATCCGCCTCAGGAACTGAGGACTGCACAACCATACTTTCTGTTAAATATGAATTGACCTTAGCCAAACATGCCACACGGCTGAGCGAGATCTCATACCGTTGCCAATCTGATAAGCAACTCTAAATGATGGGTCGGTGCGATCCTATGAGCCAAGCACAGTCGACATTAAAATTTAGACATGTCATACATAAGCAGCTCGCCAAGAGTGCAACAGCCCAGACGCAAACAGCCGTTTCACGGTCGTTGCCGATCATCAGTACGTCATAGGCCCTATGAAGTGAGGTATTTAAACATGTCAAGTAGGCGTGTGACCATCACTCTTGTGGCTAGGGTCTTACAACAGTGAGGGCCACACGCCTACTTGACATGTTTATATACCTCACTCCGTAAGACCCATGGCGAACTGATGATCGGTAACGACCGTGAAACGGCTGTTTGCGTCTGGCCTGTTGCACTCTTGGCGAGCTGCCTATGTATTATATGTAGTATGTGTCCTATGACACAGCGTTCGTTGTCGCCAGTGGCAAGCTGGCGGACGGACAGAATTGGATCGGGTGAGATCCTAACCACAACAGTGAGGGTCACACGTCTACTTGACAAATTTACACATTACGTCTAGCTGACAAGACTGGTGATTTTGGCGCACCAACACCCGTTCTTAGTTCCCTCTCGGATCATTCAATTTTCATCGGCATGACCAGCCTCTTTTACCGACGGCGCTAGAAGACGACATTTTCTCTGTCACAGCCGCCACTGAGTGGACATAGGATGTCTCGACTCAAACGGGAATGGTCTCTGCAGTTAGCTGTAGGTTATGGATTGGAGGCGGGCTGGAAGGGACGTTCCACGGACTCACAGAAGTGGCCTATTAGCCACAAGAGTGGGCAGACTAGAACTACACGAAGTAACATGCAGTGTATTCGGTGTTATGAAGGACGCCAAGCCAATGGCAACAAGTTGCGGCAGGCGCACTGTCTTCAGTGCGGCCACTACATGCGTCTTTCCTTGAGGAATAGGTTTCCTGTTACAAAGTATCTTAGGTTACATTTGCTCCAAAATCTTGTTCGACATTCGTGTGTGAAAGTGCTCAGCCAAGGGCCTGGTGCTGTGTGTGTGGCAACGCTCGGATGTGGAGGAAATCCGGAGAAAAAGCAACGCACGCGTGTTGTTACACCAGGGAGAATGCAGGATGTATCACTTCGGTCGTCCGAACGACAATGTCCACTGTGTGCCCCACAGGATGGTGGGCGTGGGACGGTGAATAGCGCAAATCGGTCTCTAGGGATACCAGCCTCCGGTATTGTCTGCCCTACCCCCATCCACCTGGGCCCATTGGCAAGAAGGCGCCAGAACGACCAGAAGCAGTATCGGAGACAGTGGCTGACAGTGGACCATCTACGCGTACCACACACGTACTGGCTCGCGCGCGATGCATCGGGGGCGCGGGTCGGATAATGTATGAGTGTAAGGTCTACACAGGCCACGTTCAGGAGCTATCACAGCCTGCGCATTCGTCATGAGCAGGGTTGAGTTATTTTGTCAGCTAGCGGTCTGCCAAGCCTCGAATTTCGGTGCAACATGATTGTTTGACAGAGCGTCCGACTGTCTATGATGTGGAATGCGCTGATGAGACAGGGGGATGGAATCCGCAGCGCCAAACCTCCCTCCCATTCCTTTTCTATGCACCAATGACTGTACGAACCGGTCAGCCACCTGATGTGGGTATGGGGCGCAATTGGTCGGAGCGGTATGGCGTCTTCACCTGAGCGGGCCACCATACGCCCCAGTTGTGGCATTTGTTATGGGATGCGCGGACTCTGCGCAGCCTGGTTAATGCATGACGTGCTTTAGTATGGCCCCTGTTGGATCAAGACAGCTCCCGCACGGTCCCTCGTGGGGGTAAAATTCACGGTGTGTGCACGTGATGACAGAAAACTCCGGCCACTTCCGATGTAATCATCGGCGGCGACGGCGGCGGCGGCAATCCGTACCCCAAACTCGGACCGAGAGGACCCATTCAGAGAGAAGCTGGTAGAGAAGTGCTGTTATTTCCCGATCCCCCGATATTTTTAGGTTGGATGATTTCGAAGTAAGAGAAACAGCATCACGGCATCAGTTAGTGAGGTCGTAACGGTTTTAGGCTGCTCGTAACCACGGAGCAAAAGACAGATATTGACTGACGAGGGATTCGTCAAAAGTAACTCGGAGGACATATACATGTAGCAAGATGACAAAAGAAATAAGGAGATGCAGACAACTTCCGAAAATAAAAAAATCCACCATGTGCAAGTTAAAAATTGTTAGCTTGAGATCTGCTTATTGATTCGAGCTATTAATTGTCTGTCCAACAAGCGCTGCTGTCGGCGAACGAGCAAGTAGGCAACAAATCCAATGACTGCCATAAGGCACTCGAAAATGAAAAAGTGACGCCTCTCAAGGGCTCGGTCACCGAACTCTGCTGGGTTGCAAGAAACAAGGCTCGAGACGGTTGCTCCTTCACATTTGATGCGAGTGTTATAACCAGTAGGCTTGCAGCTCGGGTCCTTATCCTAGGAAGATGAAAAAGTTGTGAAAGTCTTTGTGTAAATATATGTATATTGAACGTATTATATCGCACTCCCGACATAGATGCTAACTAAAAGCCCAAACACGTATTTCGCCGATATTCTGCCGCTGCGTGACACAGCTGCATGAGGTTCGGCACTTCAGCGGGACCCCCAGAGTTCTCTATGCGGCCTCTGGTATATGATCTCTAGAGAATAATCAAGTGAATAATTTCAGTAATTACTCTGTGCAGGACATGCAGTTAAGTCTCCGGGATATGATTTTTTTAGGGATAGAAGGCTGGTCGGAAAAAGTTGAGTTGTGCTCATGTCGTCAGACGAAATAAACAGAAAAGAAAGTGAAATGATCGGACTAAATCGGTTAGCAGGCACGACAGGACAGCCACTGACAGACAAGCAACTGGTGTATGAAAGAGGTGGGCACATAATTAGGCTAGGATCTGGGGCGGGGGAGGGGAACTGTTGCAGCTCCCTGTGTTGAAAGTTAGGGGGGATGGTGATTCAATGGGACAGCAGACAGTGGACTTAAAGGTTGTCGACCCAGCATGGGGGACGGAGGTCTGTGAGCCAACGTAGAGGTGTAAGGGATTGCAGTTGCGATTCGCTGTGTCTGAGGGAGGGGGTGGCGAAATAGTGAGATTCGGCATGGCCCAGTGTATGGGATTAACGGCTGTTATTAGGTCGTTGGCACAAGTCTGTGAGCCGGGTACGCAGACCTTCGTAATGAGCGTTCAGCTCGACATGGAGATTGATGCCGGTCGTGTCAGTGTCAGGCTTCGAGCAATTCTCGAGACTGTCTGGTGTTTGCCATGGGAACAACTTTAGTTCCTTCCCAAATGAAACGATGGTCGCATTCAAGGGCATGCGCGAACACGAGTGACAAAGGGTGGCGTTGGCGGACAGCTATTTAATGTTTTTTAATGAGCGTCCCAAGTCGTCGGCCTGTATAACCAACATAATCGTAAGAGCAGTTAGCCCACGGAATGTGGTAGATAGCATTCGTTTGCTGCTCTTTGGGTAAGGGGTCTTTTACTCAGAATAGTGTTGCGCGCAGGGAGGACGCCGGCTTGTGGGCAATGAAGATGCCAAACCACTGCATGTAGGGCAAAGAGTAGAATTTCCGTAGTTCTGGTCCCTCATTAGAACCAACGCCTTGTGGTTGTCCCTGATGTCTGAGACGGTTTTCACAAAACTGACAGGGTATCCGTTGAGCCGGAATAACCCACGCATGAAGGCGAGTTCTTTCTTAAGAAGATCATCGCTGCTTCAATAACGAATGGTCCGGTGGAAAAGGGTCCGGAGACACCTTCTTTTGTGAGCCGCAGGATGGTTGCTTTTATAGTGAAGAATGACGTCAGCATTGGAGTCTTTTCAGTAGGCGCTCGTTGCAAGGTCCCTATCACCAAGTGTTTGTATAATAACGTTTGAAGACGGGAGGATGCATCCCGTTGCTTCTTCGCGAGTAAACTTGATAGCTGGGAGAACGCTATTCAGACTCAGATGCAATTGATCAATTTCGCAGGTTTTCATGATAACAAACGTATCATCTACGTATCGGGACCACATATTTGCTTAAAAGTTCGCATAACTTCCTCTTCCAGTTCTTGTAGTACCGATTCTGCGAGTAGACCTGATATTGGCGAGCCCACTGGTGTATCCCTAACCTGTTGATAAAACTTTCCATCGAATGGGCATTATTTCTTAATAGAGAGTCTAAGCATCTCTGAAACGTGTTGGATTGGGATGTTGGTCAGATTATCTTGCAGGTGTCGGGTTATGCTCTCAATCGCCAGGTCATCTGGTATTCAGGAAAACAGGGCAACCGCATAAAACGATAGAATACACTCATCAGTTAAGGCCTTGGATCTTCTGGATGAATGTCTGCCTTCTGCAATGGGATTGGCTTTGTTTTCTACGTGGGCGACCGCTGGCGCACTCATGTGACCTTTGTCCCCTGCCTGGCTGTCGTAGTTGCTGCAAGGTTTGTCTGCCCGTGAGCCCTCACCTCATAAACGGGTGGGCTGATCAGCTGCCGTTACATTTGCGAATCACGCCCGACTGTCTGGCCGCGTCAGTGAGCCGACGTCGTGCGTCGGTTGTGTGACCTCTGGCTGGCTCTTTCTCCCTGCTGTGAAGGTGACAACTGTTGAAGGAGCCGCGACCCGTTCGCCACTGCTGTCGGTCCCGTCTGGACTGACTGGAACCTTGTACGTTGTGACTGGTAGGCTGGATGAAGATCAATAGTCCTGTTGATCGTACCAACTGAGGACCAACTTTCGAGCACCAGCCTGGCCATCTTGTTATTGCCTCAACCGGTGACGCTTGCTTCCCCAAATGCGAAACTGTGTTTCTCCTGTTGCATGTGGTCATATACCAGTGATAATCTACGTCGCGGTTGACTGCAAGCCGGTGCTCATGCACTCTTGTGCAGCATACCAACACACCTCGCACTGCAATTTTGGGACGGTATGATGTAGATCACTGCCGACTGTTCTGTTGCCGGTAGTGGGTCTTTGGGCCTCATAATCTGCTGCCTGATAGTTGATTCCAGTTAACGGGCCACCCCAATCCAAAAATGGTTCAGGATTCTAGCTGTCGCCTCTGAAACATTCCTCACGTAGGGGATCGCGAGCCCTAACTTCGGCTTCTCACCGTTAGATTGCTCACGGGGAGGCTTTCGTCGGCAATCACGGATGAAGGATCGTGGGTACCCATTGTCTGTAAATAGAGAACGTAGGTGTTTTGCTTCTTCCTTTATTTCGTTGTCACTACAGTGTGTTTGAATCCGTTGGAAGAGAGTTCTGATACAATTGCGCTTGTGACCAATAGGGTGGTTGCTTCGGAATTGGAGGATGCGTCTAGTATTCGAAAGTTGGTCCTCATTTGATACGATCAACAGGACTATTAATCTTCATCCAGCCTACCAGTCACAACGTACAAGGTTCCAGTCAGTCCAGACGGGACCGACAGCAGTGGCGAACGGGTCGCGGCTCCTCCAACAGTTGTCACCTTCACAACAGGGAGAAGACGCCTGCCGGAGGTCACACAACCGACGCGAGACATCGAGCCACCGACGCGGCCAAACAGTCGAGCGTGATTCGTACATGCAACGGCAGCTGATCGGCTGGTAGATGGGCGCTCAAAGATAGTTTCTTTACGGAACTCACTCGTCCCGTTGTGCCTTAAGGGCTCTCTCGAGCCCAACCAGCACACCCACAGCGGCGCATAATATAGGCTGAATAGCATTATCGACAAAGACTATGGAGAATGGATGGCCATATCTGGCTTAACCGCCGTCAGCCAGTCATACCCAACCCCGAAGTCTGGAACACCTGGGGCTCGATCCCACGACCTGCTGTCCCAACCTTCCAGAATAGGAAACGATTGTGCTAACTAAAGACGTCTGTTTACCCTAGGATACAAGTAAAAACTGACAGAAAGCATGTCTTGCTTCAGAAAAGGTAGCACAGTCAGGACTGCATTTAAAAGTTGTTAAATTTTAGATCTGGCTGCCTAAAAGAAACACATGATGATGCCCCAGAAACCCGGTAAAGAGTCAATAGGGCAAAAGCGACCGCTCAAACGGCAGGATTTAGCTGGCACAAATCGACATAAATGCGCAAAATCGGATACCCAGCAGGAGTAACCATACTTGGTGAAAGACCAGTATTTGTCAATCAAGTAAATACGAGGAACTGTCAGTCCACTCACAGCTTGTTCACATGCGACACAGCCAGTCAGAAATTCGAAGGCCTGGTTAGGAGCACACGGGATATCCAGGGGTATCCGTACCTTCTGTTTGCGCAATGCAGAGGAGATTGAGTCCTCAAGAAGGAACACGATTGTCGAGAGGCTAAAGTAAACTACAGTGCGAGGAACTTACATAGTGAGGATAACGAAGGAAATAGAGATGATCCGCTTTGAACAGTGTTCGATCATAGTGTAGTAGCTGTGCGATGACCTACAATGGGCCAAAAACAACGCAATATGACAAATAGGAATGAAATGATTGAAAATAATGGAAGACTGGTTGACGAAGACTGTAGAAAAAAAAGGGGAGTTGACTGGCCGCGCGCAGTAGTGATGCGGGATGATAGACGTATACCTGCGGTCGAGGTTGGGAGACCATTGGGAATGCTTTGTATTCAGGTATAAGCGGAAGGTGGTGAATGCCAGAAAGGGAAAATCGACCCTAAAGACATGTTTTATCACCCTGGTGTGCGAAATTGACACACAGAGACTTATAGGGATTGGTGTAAAAGGTGATCTGAAGAAATAATAAGTTTCGAATACCAAAGGAATATAGTAGAAAAACTGAGAAGTCAAATGCGAGGCTGCGGGACGGGGGAGGAAGCGCCGATGATTGTGATTGGGTCGGATTGCAAAAAGGAGTCGCGGTCAGAAGTTTTGAGTTGGTCAGGGAGGTCCAGGGTTTAGACGCCACCCAGGCGGTAGTCGTGCGCGTGAAAGCTATGGCGAGCAGACCCTAGTGACATTGCATCAACTTATTGTTAGCTATTCTGGTAGAACATCACCTCCCGATAACTTTGCGTAAGCAGCTGAATGACCCTTTACTAGTAGCAAGGATTTTTGGCCGAGTCTAGTTCGTTACGTGGTTGGCCTAAGTATTCAACGATATGGAAGTTACATGTACAACACAGTCTATTTTACTAGGCAAGTCCCCTTATCGGCTGGTCTAGACCAGAGGACACCCACACAACTTGCCAACACATTCGTCTGTCCTCGACAAGCGGCACAAGGCCGATGTGTGTATGTGCGTATTTGCACTTAGTGGTTGCAAAATTTGTTGACTGCTGGAGGCGAGGGGTAGTGAACCTTAGATGCTGGGACAGACTGTCCCCGACGGCGCCCACAACTGATGCACACGTTTGTCATATGCCAGTATGTAGTCAGGTGCTCGTCTGGCTGACGCGTACTCAAAACTGCTTCTGACACTGCCCATCTCAAACAGGCGTAGTCAATATGGGAGTGCTACAGAATCTGCCGCATACCCGTTCGCATAAGCCATTCACATTTAACTCACTGTGAAGAGAGGTGTCGACTTAATAAAATTGCAGCTGGCGAACAGTGTTGCAGCGATAAAACGCAAGGATCTCTCTTGCAACCAAAACACGAACAAATTTAACATTAAACACGGATCAGATGGGAGAACATCAGTTTTACTTCAAAATCCAGAATCCTTCATATCTCATGGCCTATGTCAAAAGGGATGCATAGATAAAGGCAGTTACGGACAAAATAAATGAATGGCAGATTACGCACTGTGGGTAAGGGCGGTGAACTTAGGCGGCAATACATGTACTGTAGAAGCTGGGGAAATGAGAGATGGTGAGAAACTTGGTATAATGAACCAGGACTTCTTAAATGCCGAGAAGGACATAGAGCATATTTGAATGCATATGCAACCGGTAAAATTTGAAAAAGCGCTGCAAAGGGCGCGTAAAGTGTCCAAAACTGACCTTTTTACTCACACATGATGGTGAAATGATGATATATAGAAACTGCGAGCTTGTGTGTGTCTACGGCGACTGTGAGCAACGCAGACGACAGACCTATTAGATGATTTTTACCCAGTTATATTTTAAACATTGCCGGTTTTTGCCACCAGCAATCAAAGTATTCTTAATTTACACGGCACAACGCAATGGCATATCTAGATAACTCATTGGTCGAATTTTTTCACTCAAATGAATCAAAAACGACCCTATGGGGCTTCCAACACTGGCCGGCATGCATTTGTTTGATAGATTAAGTTACCTTTATATCACCTCTCTGGCTTGAACAGTCTCCTACCTTTCTGCGGGTTTTACTCCCTTATGCAATATGAGAAGTTCGGATGTCTGTTTGATAATCGAATTTGGAATTCCGTCCGTTACCGAGCAGCATCCGTTTTTTCAAAGAAGTTATGCATTTCTTAATTAGATTTTAAGGAGACAAAGATTGTACTCAGTGTCCTATGTGAAATCGAGTGAATGAAAGGGACTGGTTCGGACTCAGCAGTAAGGTGTTTTGCAAAGAGTGCGCTAAATAATTCTGCCTTGCCAGTGTGATCAATGAGGAAGATTTTTTGTCATTTAGCAAGGGGGGGATTTCGTGACTTCACTTAAAGGAGGACCGATGACGGAAGATTTTTACGACGGATTCGACAGGGTTCAGACCACTTAAAAAAGTGGTTCTCTCTCTGCGTCTGTGCTTAGTTCATCCTTGAAGGCATTTGGAAAATTTGTGTGATTTTTAGATGAACGGACAAATATCAAGTGAAAAGTCACGCAGCTGACGTTCCAACTTTTAGTCTGTTGAGCAGAAAGTGGGGAACAAGGGAATCTGAAGAGTTAGATTTGAGATATTCCAATTTACGTGGAAATAAGTGTTAAAACGGTCTTTTTTCCACCCTGGTCTTCAGATATGCATGTGAGACACCTTATATAATATGAGATATGACATCGAGGTCGCTTTTCCATACAAAAGATTTGTAACAATGATTAGAACACCAATACGAACTTACATGAACAAAAAGTCAAAGCAGCGAGGAGTGTTAGTTGCAAAATAATCTGGGGTACACATCTATCATATAATTCAAGCAGACTCCATGATAAAATGCTCAGATCTTCTATCAGACCTGTATCAAACATCGCAGAATTGTTAAGTCATTGAGAATCATGGCTTCGCAGTCATACAGCTTGAGTGTCTATGAAATCTCCTAGAATCCGCCGCTTGCGCTTCTGAGGTAAGGACGAAGATACAAAATGACATTGGATTGTTGGTAGTGCAAGCATAAAACCGATCTGATATCTGCGTGCCGAGAAGCTGAATGACCGACTTGCAAAGTAATTTATTATCTGTGACCGCGGTTGATTAATTCCTTTGAAAGTAGGCACCAAATCGGACATAATCGATTGAAGAAGTTGAAATTAAAGTCACCTAGCACACGTGGCAATTCTTGCCCATTGAGACTAAGTCAGACTTCCTACACGTCCTGTGGTTTCCTCCTTATATTTTCTTATATTGGGTGACAGATGACCGGTAGACCGGATATAGTTTTACCCGCTCTATTGGTCACATCCCAGGTTTTTCCATTTTGGATTCTTATGCATATTGACCGAGGATATGATTGCCTCACTAACGCAGATGCATGGTCCTTAATTAAATCATCTATTCTCCCTCGACCCCTTGCTAGCTGCAAAGTATTCTTTCAACACTCATGAACCAAAATCCCTCGATTATACCTTATTGTTCGGGGCATGCAGCTAAGCGCTTCGAACTACACGTTAACCTAAGTGACCTTTGTTTTAATGCCCACCAGAGTTGTTAAAGGAAACTGATTTCTGTAGAGTGATACTGGGTTTTATGAAATCTCCTCACCTGTCTCCGGCTGACGCGCCTGGTCAGAACCTGTCAAAAATGTAAGCTAGATTAAGAAATTATGCAACAGAGGCCCAAAAAATTGGCGCAAACAAATATATACATTTGGTGAATAATGTTCACCGTATTGAAAAAGGATTATTTTACCATGATGCTTCCATTCCAAACGCATGAAAACACTTGAACTAGACTCAGTGACCTGGGCTGCACCATATACCCAAATGCCTTGACTTCATAATGATAGAATCTTACTAGAGGTGAGATCGTTTTGTGTGGAAAAACGTTGTCAGAACGCCATTTGCAAAATACTTCTCAGAGATTATGAAATAATTTAAGAATTCGGGCAATGGCCACTAGGAATGTGGGCGTAAGTTGAACGCCACAACAGTTATACCAGGTGTCAGTCAGCAAAATGGGTTGGAATGCACCAGATTGAGGAGCCTATTGCGTACAATACTCCGAATTGCCATCTGAGACGACAGTGGCCGCCGGTTAGGCTAGGACGTTTAATGACGGCTTACAGTCATTTCCGTAAGAGAGAGTGGGATCTTTTGTTAGTCGCTTTTCGGTTTACGCCTAATGTAGATGAAATCTACTAGTGTCTAATGCTGTACACTGCATCACTCTAGGGGTGCTGCTTTCAAGTTGGAGATGAGTGGCTATGACTGTTCGGATGCAATGATATGAGCATTCTATATTTCGTTATACACCACGCTTTGTGCTTTCGGAACCGGATTTGGAAAACTGGTAAACTTTGCGCTTCTGGCCGTAGAATATGACGTCGGTATCTAAATGATGACTGCCAGCAGAAGCGAAAAAACGAGTCCCGGGAAGCAGTCTTGAAGAAGGAGACATGACCGCTGGGACAAGAGCTTTATTAGTCTGATGTTTCGGATTCCTGCTCCACCATCTGTTTCGTCTCTGATGATGGGTTCGAGCGGGAATCCGAAACGTCAGGCTAATAAAGCTCTTGTCCCAGCGGTCGTGTCTCCTTCTTCAATAAATAATGACTGTCGGTCAGAGTTGCTAATGGGTTTATTGCCCCATGTTCCAATGGGAATAATGCACGTCTTTGAAAAAAAAATAATGAGTGATGATTTGTTGGAAAGTACCCCTGAATGTAAACTCCAAATTGAACCGGTTTCAGGGCGATGATTGGAGGTCGCACTCGTAATTTCGCTCAGGTTTTGATGGTTTAACACTGCGGTGAAATCCATCGCCATATGAAAATTGATATTCTCATTCAAGTAGGTAAACATCCTTGGTAGGTAAGTCGACCCGCTACTAAAAAGGAAGCCGAATAAATCTGCCGAAGAAAGAGAGCATGTGTAGCATCCGTTGTTCATATTTTTGCTTATACACAACTTTTTATACTTATTATATTTGTTAAGCATTTCTTAAAATTACATTTGTTCACCTTTGTTCAAGGTGATGTTTATGTAACGGTTACGCGGAGACTCAAACTGGTGTGATTTTTGGTCTCTCAAAGTGAGTTTTCACCCACTGTCTCTGTTCTTTACTGGACGGCGTTGACAGATAAGTCCGTTTTGGCGTGATCGTTTCGCTTGACTTTTCTCGACTTTTTCCTAGCGCGGGACCGCGTTATCGATTGAATAGATCCGCTAAAGATGTACAGATACAGCAGCACGAAGATATAAGCGGAAGCTTTTGGGGTTGTGGAGCAATAGATGGACGACATCTCACGAGATAGCCTATCAAATTTGGGTCTCGGCTGGATCATGCAGTTCAGAAAAGGCCGGGAGAAAACGAGGAGGACGATAACGGCGACATAGAACACCTAAAGGGACTACTGAACTCGGTTGACCCGGATATACAATTTACGATGGAAGCGGAAACAAACAACCAACTGCCCTTCCTTGACGTACTTGTGCGCCGGTGTACCACTGGACAGCTGCAAACTACAGTATTCCGAAAATTCACCGACACGAGACAGATCCTACACTTCAACAGCAACCATCCACTGTCTCACAAACGTAGTTGTGTCCGCACTCTATTCCAAAGAGTCGAAACACACTGCAGCACACCAGAAAATAAAAGGGCCGAACGATTGTACCTTGTGGACCTATTTGCAGCCAATGGTTATCCCAGGCATTTCATCGAGAGAAGCAGACGTTGGGCGCCCAGACAACGGCCAAATGAGCAGCAACCCGAAGTCTGGAGGGCCATTCCTTACGTTAAAGGGGTCTCTGAAGCGGTCTCGCGACTGTTACAACCCACCAGAGTAGGCATAGCCCATCGACCACAAGCAACAATCCGACGTCGCCTGATGCAACCTAAAGACCCATTGCCACCCGCTGAAACCTCAGCAGTCATCTACAAAATAAATTGCAATGAGGATGACTGCAACTATGTGGGCGAAACTGGGCGGAAATTGCAAACTCGCCTACAAGAACACAAATCGGCCACTCGGAGGTTAGACCCCAACTCTCAACTAGCAACACACGTTGGGGAAACGGGGCATACTTTTGACCTCCAGAGGGCTACCATCTTAGGCCGAGGCAACACAAAAACAGAACGGCTAACTCTCGAGGCGTGGTTTTCCGATGCCCACTCTATCCACAGGCATCTGGACCTTCCTGCAGCTTACAAAGTCCTACGTCATCACAACCGTAGAGCTCAGGACCAAACAACCACACCGGACTTAAGAAGACAGCACGGAGATAGCCCGACGCTGAGCTTACTCGGTGAGGAAGAACAAGAACCGCCAGACCGACCGCCCGACTAAAGTCCAATCAGCTCCCCTCGACGGAGTGGTGACTCATAAAGCGCACAGGCAAAAACGCCCGTCAACCATTTCCTGAGAGGCCGACGCAGCGTGAGGAGAGAGAAAAATCGATCAGCATGAGGCCGGCCAACACAGCTTTCCAATTTAAGTTAACTTTCTGATCGATTAGGTGCAGTTTACGCTTTGACAATGAAGAGCCGACCCAGCTCTTTGAAACGTCAGCAGTTAAATTAACCTGTTCCGGAGGGCCAATTTTCTTCTTCTAATAATCTTCCCGGATCTCTAAACTTTTCCAATCTGAACAGATTTTTTACCGTTCAAATACTCTGTACATCAATCCCCAGGGATGTTTTTGTCGATATTTTATTCTCCGGACGATTGCGGATAGTCCCAAATGGAGTATATGTATATGTATATGTATATGAGTACTTCTGGGGTAAAAACAGTTCGGGCATTCCGGGAGGCACAGTCAGAGAAAATATGGAAGACGGCCAACCAAAACTTGCAAGCATTCTAAAAAACATACTCGAGGTCTGCAAACGGTCTTCTGGTGTGCCTCTATTCGTTGAGCGTCACAGGCATAACAGTACGTCAAGGAGGAAGATATACCCTTCCTACGATCCAAATGCCAGCGGAAATAAAAAATGTTAGAAAATGGCCATAGGAGGGTGTTAGCAGTCTGACCCAGTCTCCGTGGAAAAGGTACCCCAAGTGCCTTAGATGAGTTTGATACTAACTTCCTTAAACTATTCTGGCCAATTTCGCGTTTCTTTCCCCGGAAATATTCTGCTCCAGCTGTGGCTTATAGTTAAATACTTCTAGTTCGACAAGATCAACTCTGCTGCAAGCTTACGAGTTCACGTACCCGCAGAACTAATCTAGCAGTTATAAGGGTGTTCTCAGATTGTAAGTGCCTACATAGAATCTGATCATGTGGTGCTTGATCAAACGTCATTTCTCTAATCAGGATGGTTTAATTTGAGACCAAACCCTGCCAATATTTTCTAAGAATTTAGTTCAGTTCAGCTCAGTTTATTGAGACAAATAGGCGTGGACCTTGGATTACCCTATTTGTAACATTAAATTGGGTTCAGTGCACAGAGGAACAATCTGGGCTGAAATAATTGAAATTAACTCATAGTAGTATGACGAATTGGACATGAGTCTCTTATCGCTCATGTTAATTCGGAGACAAAGATACGTCAGGGTTCCCTCTAAAGCTTTCTATTGTTGTTTACATCGCAAAATATGCGCGTAGGGTATTCCATGGTTTAACCACACTGGCTGAGAATGAGAACTTCCGTGCATACAGTCTTGCCTGCGAATGCGCAGTTTTAACGTGTGGCTTCGGAGCTTGGTCGTGGTAGCGAATTCAAAAAGTCCTCAAACGCCAAGTTTCACTCCAATGCCTTCTCAATAAGGAGTACCTGCAAGAGATCCCCTCGCAGTTCCCCACAACCCAAATATAAGAGGTTTAGATTTCTATAGGCAGGTTTCACAGATGAATGAGTTTTTGCCCCTTACCACTTTGGGGCTCTCCTTTAAAGTGTTCGAAGACTATTTGGATCTGGAACCATCCATGGACTCCAGGCGTGAATGTCGTAGTCTAAATGCGACCGCACGAATGTTCCAAAGATTCTACAGAGGATGTCTTCGTCAAAACCCATAAATGTTTACTTAATGGAGTATAGTACAGACATTGCGCTTTTTGCCACTCCCGAACAATGAGCGAATGTTTTAGAGAGTTTGTCCTCAGCACACTGAGACCATTTTGGGCGTCCACGTCTCGTGCAGATGCCCCGTCAATAAACAATTTCTTGTGCTGGTAGATCTGCCCCGGTTGCCTAGGCGAAGTATGGAACTCTTACCGTTTGGCCAAAGGTCTGATCAACCATTTAACAGATTTAGGCTGAGCTTCAGCCTGTCTTCGTGGCGTAACGACCGGTGACGTCTGGGATAGCACACACTGAGGTAGTGATACACTCGGAAGAGGTTTTGACTAAGATTGATATGAGAAGACCTGTTAACATGTCGAAATATCCATCCATGCGCAGGAGAATAAAAAAACTTTAGGTAGGCAATATGGCATGATGAGAAGAAATGGGAACTGGGAATACACAATATAGTAGTTAATTGTAAATACAGGACGAGGTACAACAAGGAAGTAACCTATATGGATGGTGGGGCGACACTGAAATAACAGCTACTTAACCGGTGGAGAACGCAGCGCTGTGAAGCCAACGGTTTGTCCACTCTTCCAACCGATCTAGGTTCATCTGCAGTCTGTCTACGACGCCAGGACCCTGAATTACACTCCATATCTTCATGTCGTCGGAATACATTGCTGCTTAGTAGTCCAAAGCTTTTCCACAATCGTCCACGTACATTGGGAACAAAATGGGTCCCAATACTGAACCCTGGGGAGCATCACTCTCGGCCACAGCAGGGTCTGATTTCCCTTGGCCGATGCACACAACCTGCTGTCGGCCCACAAGGATGTTTTCGATCCATCTGAGATAGTCGCCGCTGATCCCTATTTTTCAGCTTGCATAACAGTTTCTGGTGTGACAGAGTGTCGAACGCCTTCTGAAAGTCAATGAAAGCTATGTGGACCACGTGCCTGTCGTTGAGAGCTCTTTTTCAGCTCTGGAGAGAATACAGCAAGTTTGTCGTGTAGGATCTTCCATTTCATAACCCATGTTGGTCTTTCGATAGCAAGACGTGAACTTCCAGGAATAGCCTCAAATCAATCTATGGGATTCTTTCAATAACTGTGCAGCGAATACATGTCAAGCCTATGGACATGTAATCTGTCATCGGTACCCTGCTACCCCCTTCGTATAGCGGAGTAGTATGTGCCAGCTTCCAATCGATAGGAAGTATTCCAGTGTCAAATGACGTTTGAAAGAGTCTCGACAAAAGCACAGAAAGCGCACTGGCTTGGGTGGGATGTCGCCTGCCCCCAGAAACTTCGATTATTTAAATTATTCCAAATCTTTTCGGACAATACCTCCGGAATAGAGTTTATTACTTATGCTTGGAGCCGTCAGTTCCACAAAGGAACAAGTAACCTTGCCCTGTTTGTGTAGATTTATTGGAAAATTTGTGAAAAATACGCAGCTTTTTCACTGCTACCAGCAATCTCAACGCCGTCGGTAGTCCTTATGAAGGTAATCTGGTGTCTGTTCCTTGTATTTCTTCGGAAGTAGCTGTAAAGTAGTTTTGAGTTCTGCGTTGCTTTTTGTAGCAAATGTTTGTCAAATTGTCGTCGCGTTTTTAAAACCATGCTTCGCAGTTTCTTTCTTAGTGTCTTGTAGTCGTCGAGATATCCGACCTTTCCAGTGACGCAGTACTTTCTCTGCAATTTATGCTTCCTGTTAATTTTCTTTCTTTAGGTTTCTATTTAGCCACCAAAGCCTCCTGTTCTGACTTACACTCGCCAGTAGGCAGTGCTTGTTGATGACCTACAGTATGACATTCTTGAACAAATCCCAGTCATCGTTAGCATTACCCGTAAACACTGAGTTCCATTCGAGACCGGATAAATCACTCCTCAGTTCATTCAAGTGGCCCTGTCAAATGTTGCGTCTTTTTCAATAAAGAGTATTCAAAGTGGGAAATAACGAATAACCCCACATGAGCACTACACGCTCAGTTCAGCCGTGCGGGGCAAGGATGTAACTTCGTCCATGCTGAGTTTTTCGTTGAAACTAAATCCAGGCAACTGACCCTTTGTCTTCCACGTCTCCACAAAAGAAACGCTGCATGGCGTGTGCTTTATATAGCAAACAATATTGCAAGGTTAATTTAGGCATGACACTTGAACAGTGTCCCAGTTAATTCCTAATGAGTTGAAGTCCCCAATGATCATGATATTCGGTCGGCCGAAGAAATTTTATATCTGCACCGGTGGATAAGTGTCGGGGATTTGGTCACTCCTAGGTGGCCAATAGATAGTCAGGACATCGAGAAACGGGGAATCAGTAGTCTTAGTGGTTATCCAAATAGCCTTCTTGTTGCACGCAAACTTTGTGGTCTCTTCCAACACCATGAGGACTTCTTTCACACATAAAATTATGTCAAAACCTTATCGGTGTTGCCTGTCCTTCGGATACATTTGGCACACAATTAATGCTATTTCGTTATCACAATTATTCTTGGACAGCCTGCTGGGTGCTATAATATCAGAAAACAGTTCAGTAGGGCAAATGTTTAGCCAATCAAGTTTCGATATCAGACTTTGGGCATTTTTATACAAGTGCCTCATTTTTGAACCAGCCGAATCTCCGGCTGCGTTCGCCATTGTTGTGGGCATCAGCGAGTTACTGCGAACGCCAAGTCTCACTGGCCCGTTCCAGTGCTTGATGACTTTCATCAATGTCCCTTTTTGTCAGGGGCTTCGAGTGGCTGGTTCCACGGTGGTTTCTGCGACACGTAAATGGCTGCCTGTTTTCTTAGCATTACTAGCTGGTTCAACTGAGGCGTCATATTTTTCCGAAACACCTACCCCTTGAGATAGCCAGATTGTGTCCGCCACCTCTCAGTCTCGATTTCAATTGCGAAGCGAGTTCCAGACGTTTCATGCATTCCGCTGAAGAGTAGTCAGGCTGCAAAATCTGTTCGCACGAGTTACTGAGGTGGGCGTATTAGGACAGGATCCACTAGATTTTCTTATTGTTCCCCAGCATATTTATGGGAGCACAAGTTGATGGTGCTGCCTGTCCTTTATTCACTCCGTCTACCCTATCCGAAATGCATCCAGGACCTTTATCTACAAGCCTGGTTGGAGTAATTGGTTCAATAAGCCAGGAAATGAGGAAGCATCCTCTGAGACACAATCGTCAGGTATGGCTGCACTCAATTCAGACAAGCCCTGAACAAATGACCTCCGTTGGTCGTCCTAGTACCCTTTATTCGTTTTTATTATGAATTATCTGCATGATGACAAGGACGATTTACGAAGTGCTCGCATTGATCTAATTTTTTGCTGTTGACTAACTGTCCCGAGGAGCCATCAGAACTGACTGTGATTTCAGGCTCCTGTTTTGACGTTTTCATATTGCCCTTGGCCACGAGTTGGTATTCCTTCCTTGAAAATTATCAACTGTTCTTTCCATAATACGGCTCATACTAGATATACTCGATTATACTTGTTTAGTTATTTTAATTGTTATAGAAGTTACATAGGGCAGTGCACGTGGAACAAGGACCCAATACCATTGCTAAAGACTGCTAAAGGCAAACATCTCATTGAAGAAAGAGCGAAAGCTAATCAACTTTCCAAATTTTTTCGGTCTGTTTCTAGTAGTGAAACAGAATTCAACCCTTTGGCCCTTCAATCCTTCGAAGACACCACAATCATGGAGACCGTTTAGTTCATTGAGGGTATGGTTCTGACGGAATTGATGAGGCTAAAGGAATCAAAATCTCCAGGTCTCGATGAGATTCCGGCGAAGATTTTGAAGGAACTCGCCAGTGAGTTGGATAAACCACTCTTCATGGCTTTCCATACATCCTTCGAGACCGGATATCTGCCACCCAACTGGAAGTCGGCGTGGATTACGCCGCTGTACAAGGGCGGAAGTCCGGTCTCTGCTAATGATTACAGATCTGCCAGCCTCACCTCAATTTTCTGCAAGATTATGGAGGAAGTAATAAAACAACAACTAATGCAGTTCCTTGAACAAAACCGTCTACTTTCCGATTCCCAGCATGGATTCCGAAAAGGCAGATCCTGTGTGACAAACTTGTTCTACTATCTGAAACACTGGACTTGAGTTGTTGAAAGAGGAGATATGGTGCATGCCATACATATCGACTTTAAAAAGGCCTTCGACCGTGTGCCTTACCATTGTCTTCTATACAAACTCAGCCGTATAGGAGTGCTCGGTAAGTTTCTGATGTGAATTTGAAGCTTCTTACTCGGCCGCTCTCAAGCCGTTTACGTCAGTGACCAACAATCTGCCGAGGTTGCCGTTAGTAGTGGTGTTCCCCAAGGCTCTGCTCTTGGCCCTACACTGTTCCTCGTCTACGTCAACGACTGCGCAAACGAAATGGACTGTGAGGTCACAATGCTTGCTGATGACATAAAGATCTGGAGTGCCATACGAAACGAAGTTGACGAGGCGCGGCCGCAAACAAATCTATACCACCTCGAGCAATGACCAAAAGTCTGGCTTCTACCTTTCAACGTAAGCAAGTGTAATTTCCTACGCGCAGGCGGAACCAGTTCTACTAACTGCACGGTCTATTGTCTGGCTGCCAAACCACTACAAGAAGTCGACGCCCAGAAGGACTTGGGTGTATGTATCACAACCTCGCTTAAGCCTTCGCTTTAATGCCCAAAGGTAGCCAAGTGAGTGATGTCCATTCTATACCACGTCAAATGGGTGTTCTCTTCTTTTAATGAAGACTGCTACGTCAAAGTCTTTCGAACTTTTGTGCGACCGCATCTGGAGTTTGCTATCTAAGCATGGAGACCCTGGACCGCTGAAAACCTTGGCATGCTCGAAAAAGTTCAACGGCGATCAACGAAACTTGTATCTGGGCATTGGTTACTACCCTACGAAACACGATTACCTAATATTGAACTCATTCCTTTGAGTTAGAGACGGCTACGTGCGGACCTTATACAAGATTTCCGCATTGTGCGCAATCAGGACTGCTGCCTCGTATCTGGAGACTTCTCCGAGTTTGCGACTACGACCGACTTCGGAGGCCATCCACTCAAACTACGTGTGACTGGTGTCCGGCTAGACACACAAAAGCTCTTCCTCTCCAACAGAGTGATTGCAGCTTGGAACGACTTGTCTGAGGATGTTGTTATGCCGGGGGTCCGTAGAAACTTGTAAACGGGGGCGAGATCGACACTGTAGCGTGCGCAACAATAACGCCCGACTAGAGCCACCTTGATAGCCAACGTTGATAGTTTAGCATTATGACGATGCTACTACCAACATTCAAGTAGCATATGTTTATGTGATTTATTAATCTTGAACTACGTCGCACACCGCTGCTCACATTTACCTCGATGCCTGCAAACTAAAAAAATTTACTTCTTTCCCCCTCTCCTAGGTGTGCTTCAACTGCCTGCTGGATTTAATCAACAAACTGAGTTCGTATCCCTCTAAATGCTGCTAACGCATGAAATTCTGTGTTCATCTGTACAGTTTTCGTTATTCCCCTTATATTTCTTTTATGCTACTTCCTTTCCTTTTTCTCCATATACTTCCTCTGCATGTAACCAATTGAGATTTCAAAGGCAAACACCTTTTTTCCCCGAAATACACTAATACTAATACTGAAGTTCCTAAATAGCTTATAATCTGTTAGTATAAAGGACAATTCGGTACAGTTTTTGGATTTCCCCCCTGTTTGCAGCACGTCGTCCTAAGAATTTCTCCCAGATACTGCTAAATGATTTATCACTAGACTGAAAATCCTTCTTAATGTTTATATTTGTTTTTTGAAGCACACTAGGGATTAATTTTAATGTAAAATACATTTTTAGTAGGGATGTAAGAGTCTGGATCATTCGGGTCAACGTGACGCACCCCGTCGGGACAACATAAGTGGTCCTAAGAGGAGAGCACCATTACATTCCTGGCTGACTCGCTATTTGCAGTTTTATTTGGCCTGTATACACTGTCACAAATATACCGTTTGTGGGCTAACTCATGAAATGTCAACCGAAATTTCGAAATGCGTTTTAGTTTCGAGAAGATTTCTTAAGTAGGATTGTAAAACGAATCAGTCGGAAACATAATTCTATAATATTTCCGTTACCTCAGGATTTTGGCTTTCGAATGAACTTCCTTCCGGCTGCATGCAAAGGATACGCTGTAAAAAATGACTATTATGTAGCAGGAATTTTTCTTATTGATTGTCGATGCCCCTAAAAGTCCAATTATATTTCATGGAAAACATGCACAAAATATCCATTATTTTGTTCACGTGGTAGATAATTACGTTCCCTTCTAATTTTATACTCGAAGGAGAGACACAATTAGGTTTTAAGAAGTTTCCAATTGTGGGACTTTTAAATACCGTGAAATACTCGTTCATAAATCGTCATGTTCCTGCATTTACCAATGTGGTTTGTAAAAATAACAATATGGATAAACTCCACTGTTAAATTTCATGAACCCTATATGATCTCTTTATATTAGCATAGAGAAATGTGTGGTTTTCCGTACGTGGTAAATATACGGCTTGTAGTTTGAAACCCTGAATCCAAGTGAGACGGTAGAGCGGGTTCAAAATTATTCTTAAATTGGGAAGTTTTTGAAAACCGAATTATACCCTTCCTTTGAGCACAAGATTCGATGAAGACGCAATTGTCTACCGAATGAACAGAAGAATGAATATTTTTATGCATGTTTTCCGTAAAATGTAATTAGACTTTTAGGGGCATCGAAAATCAATGAGAAAAATTCATGCTACATAATAGTCATTTTTTACAGAACATAGTTTTTGCATGCAGCCGTAAGGAAGTTCATTCAAAAGTCGACATCCCGAGGTGACGGAAATATTATAGAATGATGTTACAGGCTGACTAGTTCTACAACCCTACTTAATTAATCTTTTTGAAACGAAAACGCATTTCGGAATTTCGATTCACATTCCATGAATTAGCCCACCAACTGTGATAGAAAATTTTATTTAAAATAATGACCATGGAAAGACTTCCGTTTTCCATATTAACGAACTCCCAGTTTCCTAGAAGTTAATACGATTGAAATATAAGCTATGCCCCTTTTTAAGCAGTCTTTCGGTTATAAGGGGAGGATAAACGACAAATGACCGCTGTCTTTCTGTACAACGTGATATCCAGGGAAAAATGGATTTTGTTCAAACTGACTCTCGAAATCTAAAGCCAGAGTACAGTCAGCAGAAACCTTGACCATACGCGGCATTAATTTGAAAACGCTAGTTCCGTAGACCCGGATGTGGGTGATAAAAGGTCGTTATCCACCGCATCTACGGTACAGGCGGACGCTGGGCTCATAAACAAAATTCTTCCTTCATATTGACCCAACTGTGAAAAACTCGGTGCCCCGGTGGGATTCGAACCCACGACATCAAGGAGAGGCTTTAGAACTGCCAAGGTTCCAACCATCAGACGACGCGAGTTTAGTCACATTTGGGTCAAGTTACCCGCCCAACCTACTGCAACGTCTAGAATCCACCAAATCTGATACAGTAAGCTGACTGCCAAGCAGAATTTCCTAAGCAATTCACCTAGAATCCACCAGATGGCTACCAGGTTCAGGTGATTTATAGATGTTTTGACAGATTTTGAATAATTCGTATTGACCCAACCATGATAAACTCGGCGTCCCAGTCCGTCGGCTGTACCAAAGCCTTTCCCTTACTGCGTGGGTTCGAATCCAATCGAGGCGCCGAGTTTTGCACAGTTGGGTCAATATGAATTATTCAAGATCTGCCAAAACATCTTTGAAATCGTTATACCACAAAAAAATTATGTAAAAGAGAATTTGTCCGAATGCTGCCTGGATTGTCCTCCCAGGACTGGGGACTGTGCTGAGGGATGAACGGCTTCCTTTCATCTCATGTATATTTTTTGTGGCTCAAAGTTTTGGCTCAACTAACATGCTACCTTTTGGCGAGAAATATACTAGAGTATTTCAGAGGTACACTCGAAACCAATATCACTCCTTTTTACTGAGGGATAGTCCGGATAAAATCGAGAGCAATATTTGCTTAACCAGTTTATTGTAAGTTAGGGCATGAAGCTACATAGCGTTTTTTACTATCGTCCATGTACGATGACATCCAGTAAATATGCTCTTCTGTTTACTACAATACTCCTTATATCTGAATGTTGACTTTGAATTCATTTAGCTGTGCTAGGGCTTTGACCTTAGTTGGACAAAGGCCGTCTTTCACCGGATGGCACCATGCATGGAAATGCTTTCTAATTTAATTTTTTGTCTTAAATATATCACTTAGGCGAGGGCAGTCGTCAAACCCTCATGCTATATCCCTTAAGAACAAAAACTGTTAAAATCACTGTTTATGGTTCAAGTTTCAGTGCTGGCTGCTACACGGTATGGAATTTAATTTAAGTTTCGAAAAAGTGAGATTTCCAATGGTAGAAATCCTATGAAGAATCTTGAGGGACTGAAACGTACCAGTCAATCAGTATGTAAGGAAAATCATTGTGGATATCGTGGTGCCATTCCTGAGCCTGAACCAAAATCTTTGGAATACTTACGACATTTATCCAGCGCGTCTCTCCCTTTCTAAACGCAGACGTGAGATGGGCGGCTCACTTTCATCTTACGGGCGGTGATCAGTTCAAGTTGTGTTGGTGAGGTCGAATAATTTGTCCGACGCGGGCCACGAATCTTTCACTGGGGTCGAAGTCGGAAGCCAAGAGGGGAGACGAATCGACAAAATCGGTAATCTTCTTTCTTCCTGCCGACGATTTAACAAAAATAAAGCGGACATTCTACCAACGTATCGGTGGCCGAGATGGTAGTTGCCGTGATACGTTAAAACAACTGTCAACCAACAAGATACTGCGCATTATGGGAAGGTCCATAGCGGCAGTTTATATTTTGTGTCATATAATTATGCTACTTAAGTTGTTTTAGTAGTATTCATCATTAAAGTGTTTTCATCAAACAGGTGGCTGGGCGATCTGTCCACTGTTCATTTTCAGATTTTTTCCCCTGTTTACCTTTGCGAATGCGCACAAAAGTGATTAAGGGTACCAGCATGACACTTCAGACAAACCGCTATCGCGATTTAATGGGCATGTTCCGAAGGACCTGAGAATTGGAGCAAAAGCCTGCATTTAAGTTGGCCTGCAGTCAGCGAAGTGGCGGAGCGGTCAGTTGGCAAGGAAGAATTTAGGAAGAGAATGGCTTATTGACCAGTGAAACAGAAAACGCTGCTCCCGGCTTTGGCGTGTTTTCCCTCGCTAGATTTCTGCATTATAAACCTTGAAAACGGATTTGATTCCGTTCGCCTACAGAGCGCTAGGCCTGTCCCTTCCCGCCGTTCTCCTCCCCTAAGCAACCAGCTTCCCTGTAAATAGACCCTGTGGACTCTGTGTAATGATTTACAGTACTACTGGCTGCCTGTTGACGGTTCGTGAATACTATTCGGTCATTCCGCAGTAGCTGATGGATTTCAACTCAAATATTCGTACCCAATTTCGAACCGTGCCTGAAAAGGTCTGTTCCAAAAGGTCTACTCCAAGTTCGCGCATTAATTTCCTCTGAACTTACACAAGGCCAGTGGACTCTCAACACTTGAAACCGGCCGATCTGGTCATCAATCTCTTTATCGTACTTCGATGTTACTCTGAATACTAATCTACTGCACGACATTTCAACAAATCGTTCACAGACAAGAAGAACTCTAACATTCAAAATACTGCCTATTATAATGGATAGCTTTCCTGATTTTCACATGCTCCACGTGAAGTTTAACCCTTAATGGAAAAATCAGATAAGGGTCTCTCAACAGAACAATTACATGAGGTCGAAACCCCCCTGTCGTACATGGGAAGAACTGTCGCTGCATCCCACAAGGAAGGTCAGAGGGACCGATTCAAGCGGTCAGGCTTAACCGAGGAAAGACGAACAGGTGAGGAACAGTTGTCCCTTTGAGCCAGATTGATGGACGTAACGGCGGGCGGTTGTCGAGTCGCCGGCGGCTACTAGCCAGGCCGTGAGAGCCAACACGGAGAAGTGATGAGATGACAGTCCCTTCCGGGCTATGGGGCACAGGCTACATGCGTGTGTGTGTGAGAATAACGATGGCTGTGTGCAGGTGGCAAACAAGACGAGACTGGGCAGCAGCAGCAGCAGCAGCAGCAGCAGCAGCAGCAGCAGCAGCAGCAGCAGCAGCAGCAGCAGCAGCAGCAGCAGCAGCAGCAGCAGCAGCCGCAGCAACAGCAACAGCAGCATCAGCACAGTGCCTGAGAAAATAGCACAAGGCACAACAAGCACGGTTGATAGCTGACAGTGCTGACTCAAGGTGGGGATGAAAAGTAGACGAGAAAGTTAAGGCGGGTGGGCGTGAAGATGAGGGCGAGTGGTGAAGTCCGCAATAAAGCGCATATCAAAGGAAAGAGAGAATGTGGTGATTTCGACGGGTGAGATGACAAGTAAAGAGAATCAAAAATCAAAAAATTCAAAATGTGCCAAAACATCTATGAATCACCTGTGCCTGGTAGTCATCTTGGGGATTCTAGGTGAATTACTCAAGGAATCCTACTTTGGCAGTCAACTTACTGTATCCGATTTGGTGGATTCCAGACGTTGCAGTAGGTTGGGCGGGTAACTTAACCCAAATATGAGTAAAGTCGCGTCGTCCGTCGGGGGCTTCGTAGCTCAGGTGGTTAGAGCGTTGGCTGTACTAAAGGCTTCCCCCTGATGTCGTGGGCTTGCATCCCACCGAGGCGCCGAGTTTTTCATAGTTGGGTCAATATAAATTAAAGAAATGTTGAGAGGGAGGATGATGACTTAGAGGAGAGGATGGGCAGGGCGGTTGAGAAGGATAGTGCCGACGGGAACGAACTTCAAGAGAAGAAACGAAAGGCCAAGAGTTTGTAGTTCGTACCCATGGATCTTTGGAGGTTTTTAGACACTTGCAACAGCTATTCGAATTTTGAATGATTAATTCGTGCATATTTAACTTTTGCTTGTTGAATAGAGGAGAATATGTGGGAAACGAACAAATTATGCAAGATACATGAACGTAATTTTGAAAAAGGTTGGCAGCCTCCCAAACGTCACTTCACTACGGCTACATTAGAATGGAATTCGGAAGACCATATAATCAGTTCTGCCGCAAATATGGCTTTTAGAGCTGATAAACCAAACTGAAACATCCATCTAAGAGTTATTTGCCATCCTATGCCAGCCATATCATAAAGCTCAGATCTCGATAATACTCGTTTCAAAGGCACAACCTGGAGCCAAACGCCCACTCTTCTATTGGCTGCCATCGTGGATATTCGAGACTGCATAGGATTTACGTCCGCAACCTTTTCAGAAGAGTGTCGCGGCTCTTGATATAATGTCACGAAAAAAACAGTTAGGAAACAGAGCGTGCTTTAGAATTTGAATGCCTTTTTGAACAATACCAACGTAATTCATTCAGTATGATAAAAACACTATGCATCCGATGCTCAATGTAGAGCCTAGAAGCATAGACGCTCAATAACCTGAATGTTAAAACTCTATTCAGTCTCCTTGAAAGCATAGGTCCTTTCAGAGGCTTTTGCTTGTGTGCGATTTAGAGAGGGACTTATAGATCCGCATCGTTAACTCAGACCGGGAATTTCCGCGTCTTGAGTTTGAGAGAGGTGTTCCATGTGGCTCTTCGAATCCATCTGGTACAACCTAGTAAAAAGTTGTGTCTAGGTCCATATCGGTCTAATTTGGAAGCAAGCACACAAACTACAGTGCATACTGTCCTGTGGTATGTCCCAACTCGCTAGTTCAGCAATTGAGCTGGACAACTCGGATAAAGAGAACAAGGGACAGGACCTACTCGAAGACTAGCATTCCTACAAGCAATGCCATGCCAGCGAAATGAAAAATCTAATCACCCGGGTCAACAAAATTCTAAGAAATTTAAGAGCCGAGGGGGCGACTACACCGAATGACTGGTTCTCTATGAAACCCACTGACACCTCCACGGCTCGTTTTTACGGTCTACCGAAGGAGCACAAGGCAAATGTCCCACTCAGGCCAATCGTATCCCTTCGTGGCACCCCGACGTACGGTTTGACAAAATGGATGTTCGGTCGTCTTAAGTTTTTGGCCGAAGGCTCACCAACAACAGTAACGTCTGCGAACTAGTTCCTGGAACGCATAAAACATCTGAAGTTAGAGTCAGACGAATCCTTTGATGTCGTTTCGCTCTTAATCTCCATTCCACAGCAACTAGCGATAGACTCTGCGAACAAACTACTGGCAGGGCGCTATGAGGAGAGAGACAAACCCCTGAAGACTGAGTATCTGCTCGAGCTTCTGCGATACTGCCTCAAGACCTATTTCACTCTTTGTGGACAAATGTATGAAAAAATAAAAGTCACTCCTATGGGCTCCCCTCTATCAGGCCTAATCGCTGAAGTAGTTCTTCAACGGATAGAACACTTGGTGTTCCCCAAGTATCAACCAAAGTTCTGGGTTCGCTATGTCGTTGACACCGTCGTTGTCAAAACAACTGACATTGGGCACCTAAAGGAACAACTGAACTCAGTTGACCCGGATATCCAATTTACGATGGGAGCAGAAAGAAACTACCAACTGCTTTTCTTTGACGTGCTTGTGCGCCGGTGTACAACTGGACAACTGTAAAGCACAGATTTCCGAAACTCCACCGACACGAAAAAAATGTTATACTTCAACAGCAACCATCCTCTGTCTCACAAACGTTGCTGTGTCTGCACTCTGTTCCAAAGAATCGAATCACTGCAGCAAACCAGAAAATAAAAGAGCCGAACGACTGTACCTTCAGAACCTATTTGCAGCCAGTGGTTATCCCAGACATTTCATCGAGAGAAGTGGAAATTGGGCGCCCAGACGACGGCCAAGTGAGCAGCAACCCGAAGTCCGGAGGGCCATTACCTACGTTAAAAGGCTCTCTGAGGCGGTCTCTCGACTGTTAAAACCCCCCAGAGTAGGCATAGCCCATCGACCCTAGACAACAATTCGACGCCGTCTAATGCAACCTAAAGACCCATTGCCACCCTCTGAAACCTCGGCAATCCTCTACAAGATAAATTGCAATGAGGGCGACTGCAACTATATGGGAGGAACCGGGCAGAAACTGTAGACTCGCCTATAAGAGCACAAATCGGCCACTCGGAGGTTAAACCCTAAGTCTCAACTAGCAACACACGTTGGAGAAACAGGGCACACTTTTGACCTGCAGAGGGCTACCATCTTAGGCCGGGCAACACAAAAGCAGAACGGCTAATTCTCGGGGCGTAGTATTCCGATGCCCACTCTATCAACAGGCATATGGACCCTCCTGCGGCTTACAAGGTCCTACGTCATCACAATCATAGAGCTCAGGACCAAACAACCACACCGGACTTCAGAAGATCATACGGAGACAGCCCGACGGCAAGTCTACTCGGTGAGGATGAACAAGAACCGCCAGACCGACCACCCGACACTGGTTCAATCACCTCTCCCCGACCGAGTGTTGACTCACAGAGCACGCAGACAAAACGCCGGTCAACCATCCCCCGAGAGGCCGAGGTAGCGAGAGAGAAAAATCGATCAGCACAAGACCGACTAACGTGACATGCCACGTGGGATTTCTGGTCGATTAAGTACATTTTACGCCTTGACAACGGAGAGCCGACCAAGCTCATCGAAACGTCAGCATCCAAGTAAATCCGTTCCGGTGAGCCCACTTTTTTCCAACTCGTTTGTGCCTAATACACCGTACTATGCCAATAGAAGCGTACACCGTACTATCAGTTTTGAGAGGGAACTTTAGACGGTCGCAAGGAGTTAATAAGGTAGCTCGAGTTATGCACGCTGTCGGGGGTCACTAACATCGGCTTTACGCTTCCTTCTACGAAAAGGTCCACTCGACACGTTGCTGAGGCGATCGCCATCAGAATAGGAGAGGCCTGCTAATTACCGATCGCCGAAATGAGTGCCAAATATTTCGACCACTGCGGCCTCATCAGGCCAGCCTAATACGATCCAAGAGAATAGTTGTCGCAGTTTGGCACCGTTTCTGTGCAATCGGGAGTTGTGAATTAAACGCAAGCCCGCAGCAAGTGCCCTTTTGGCAGAAATAGATATAATTGTACAGAAGTCGATATGTAGGTCTGAAAACGCATATATTTTTAAGAGAAGCTTTCCTGCTCAGTGACGGCTGGTCGACGATGCTCTGAGCGGCATTCTAATGGGAACAAGAAATAGCACTCTTTTCTGTGGTTTTCTATTACGAACAGGACTTGGTTCATTAGGCGGCGTCTGTATTTACGACGTAACCACTGCATTGAATAGGATAGACGGCGATCGATAGGAGCGAGATTAAAAACACATTGCATGAATATCCTTGGTTCACGCCATTGCCAATCTTTTCCTCACGAATATATTGAGTCCTTCGTAAGCAGACAACGGTTTAAATGAACAGATGATAAAGTTGCTAAACAACCCTTTTATTGTGCCACCGCAGTGACCACATGGAAAACAAAATCACCAGATTTTGTCTCTAAGTCAGCTGTGGTAGCCTTCGCTCAGAATACTCTGGCAATGGGTATGTTGCACAGGAAGCAGTTTGTAATTTAACTAAGATCACGATGCACAAAAGTAACTTCAGGTGATTTGATTTATTCCTAGGCGAAAAAAAGGACAATTGCACAATCCGTTGCCGTTATAATCAATACGGGTTGCAAAGCCGACCATCTGTCGGTTTGCGCTAAATGACCCCTTAGGTGTCAAAATTGCTTATAGTACATTTCAACCTGTTCTTGTTTTTAACTCCAGTATACTCCGAAAAATTTGAGAATTGATTGTATTTTTTGAAGACTAGAAGAACGTTTGTCAGGCGTTTTGACTATGGTTCTGGTAACGTGTGTAGAGACAATGAATTTGTCTTAACGCAAGTACGGAATTTTGCGCACTTTTTAACCTTATTTATAATGACAAAATATCAAACAAATATGGAATGGTAAAGATTTTAAGCAGGCCTACTAAAACGTGTCTGAATGGGCCTTCAGGAAATCAATGGTAAGATGGATCGTTGCAACACGGATTTTTTACGAAAATGCTCTCTAAAGTTAGGTATTCAAGGAACCGATTTAAGTAGTCACTTTTAGGATAGAAACAATTCGCAATTGTTCTGTTTATTTGACACCCACTACGGGTCAATAACTGTTTATAGATTTAGAAATCATTAGTTTGCACAATCATACGAAATTTGGGGATAAGGCGAACCCCTCCGCTGGGCGCAAGAACACATACACACATTTAAACATTCTGCATCAAAACATATAGAGAGCTGAAGAACGATTTTACACGATTAAAATGTGGAAAACAGCTACCTAGGTAGCATCGACTTGTTGCATTACATTTCATTCGATGAATATAGGCATTAACATACGTATGCGAAAACTAGAGACTACTATATAAGGTTTTTAACGAACTATGACACTTAGATACTTGTACTAGAACCGGTGTCGTATTTCGGTTTGAGAACTGTTTATTTGAATGAGAAATGCCGAAACAAACGCATGGCCCTCGCGCAATCAGTTATTCTCATGTTTATTTATGCTGTACACCATGTAGTCTGGCCCATACCTAATGCCCGAAATGAGTTCAGGGAAGTCCCTTGATGGGGACATTTTTGAGGGAATCTACGGCGAAGTAAGTAATCAGGGTCGTTTTACCAACTAAATGTTCTTGATCAATTTTCAAAAAGCTATTCTTCCTGTGCTCTTCCAATGTATATATATTTACGTTGGTTACAACAAACTTTCTTATTTAAATGACCTGTAAAAGCGAGAACTTTGTTGGAAATTACAGGGCCAAAGACCGAAATTGGTTAGCCTGTTGCAAGCAGCCGCGACACAGCACTCATTGACGGAAGTTGCACCCGAGGAAGATGGACTGAATTTGGCAAAAAGTAAAATGTAAATTCGCCCGCAAAGTGTAACTTTTTCTGTCGAACAAGAGTATGGAATGGAAATTTAAAATATTTAAGTGAAGGACGGCATTCACCTTAATTTCGAACGCGCGTCATGTGAGCACCCCTGGTTGGGCAATTTACAAATATGAATATTCAAGCGGGAGCACCGCATTGGAATTGTAGTTCAAAAATCCGTAGTCCCAGACTCGGATCTCTGTCCCCATCTGCACACACTATGACCTTACTGTTTTGTCTGGCCGTTCATAGTCCGCAAAACGTGCTCACCAATTATTTTCGGAAGTTTAGAGCACAAAAGAAAGTAAACAACTAGGTCAAATAGGGATCTGATTAGGATTATCCCCACATATTTAAACGTGAAATTTTTGGCAAAATATCTAGACGGGGACTGTTTTTGTGGGCGACTAACTATTTGCACTAACGAAATGCCACTATCGAGCAGAGGAGAGGGCCTCATTTAAGGTTTCCATAACATAAAGAGGAATTATTGATCTTAATACATTGCCTTTTAGTGTATTTTTTTTTATCAGTAAAGCCTGTATATTTATAGCTTAACAAGTAGGGCGAATAGATTTTGGGACAAATATTTTATGCAAGTTATTTTCCTTTGCATGATAACAAGGCAAATTGTGGATATCATTTAATCATCTGTTTATATAATTTGGCTTTCCGTGTGCTTTCGTGTGTCTAGTGTATTTTTGTCTGTTTTCCTCTGCGGTAATGAAACTTTTGGATTAGACTTGACGAAGTAATAAACTGTTAAGAAATTCTGGATTGACAAGTTGCTGAGAATTTTAAACTGGAGGGAACCTGTTGGGCCTGTGTACTTTTATTGCAAGTCTGGCGGACCTGTATCTGCTCTTGGAGAAAGACTCTCATATTTTGCCTGGCTCTGTTTGATACTGAAAACCATTCTACAAAAGAGCTTTTAATACCTCCTGGTATTCCTTCCGACCATATGTGCGAGATCTTTTTCGCGAAAATACCTTTGATAAACAGCATTAAATTTTTAGATGAAAATCGGGATTGCAGCTGCGAAGCGACTGCTGGCATTTATTTACACAAGAGCGGATTTAAGAGGGTATCTAATAATTCCTAGATGGTTTTAAGGTCATTTCTGTGTGCGTATGTCCTCGGTTTGAACAGGCATGAGTCATAGGCATGCACGAGCATAAAAAAGGATTAAAAACGCTGTGTACTTTTCGTCAAATGCCAGTAAATGCAGGGTAATATCGGGTATTTACCATAATGTATTATTTATAATTTTCCGGCCTTCTGGAACATTATTGAGTCAAAGCGAAAACTATGCATTTTACTTTTATTTCCAGTAAACAAAAGAGCTGATGGATTTCAGCTCAAATATTCACATCAAATCTCGGACCGTGTTATGAGAAGACTGAGTGAGCACACTGGATGAACCCGAAGTTAGCAATCTTCAGGAATCTCCGTAAAGCACATGCATACGACCTTGTAAAATCGTGCATACGGCAGTTGCACTGCTGTGCGTCTCAACATCACTCGTTAGGTCATTTACCATCTTTCGCAGTGATTGTACAGAGCAATAAATCATCTAAACAACAGATTGCATAATAGCCTCAAGAGCGCTTATTCACTGCCTACGCGAGACACGTGGACTCAAAGGGTCTTCTGACCCCACAGCTCCTGTCCTTTGACATCGCTGACGCAGCCGCCCACGCCGCAATATATTCTTCAATATCGTATGTCATGGCTGCAGAAAACGCAAGTGCACCCTTGGAGGAGAGTTTTACTAGCAGCTTCACACTTAAATTCCTATGTATATTCACTTTTTGCCTGATGGGATGCTCCCAGTTTGGCAGAACACTACTGTCAACAGGTTAAATGAGTCCCGGTGTGTTCGTCCTATATCGAAGGTACCCTCCAAGTTGGTCTCATAAGTAGACACTACTCGAATTCTCAAGCCAGTAGTGGAGTTAGCTACGTGAATGGGATCTGCGCTACCGAAAGGAACCGCAAAGCAGAGCAGCCGCATTCCGCAATGCCGATATTATCCTCAATGACGGCGACAAAAGAGGCAGTGTTCAACCATTTTTTCTGAGCTGTTTGTTACTGTAACAAGGCAGATGCCCCTTGCATCACCGTCGCCAGTACCTAAATCCAAACCGTGCACAATTTCACCTGTCCAGACAGCACATCCTCACGCAGCACCGAAGTCATGGACAAAGTAGCCCACCGGGACTCCAAAGTCAGCGCCAGGTTTCCGTCTGAGACTGCTTACGGAGTTAGAGTGAACACGAAGCTCAAAATGTACAGGGTGGTTGTTCTGACAATGCTACTATACGACGCAGAGACATGGACCGTCTACGTCAAATAAGCCAGGAAACTAAATCACTTCCACTCAAAGTGACGTGGTAGGACGGGATGCAGGAGACGGAAGTCCTGCAAGGGACCGGCGTCCTCAACATCCATGTTTTGCTGAGGTAACTGCAACTGCCATGTAGCGGGAGCCTAGTGAAGATGGAAGATTGTCCAGGCGATTCTTCTAGAGTAATATCACCAAGGGATGGGGGTTGCTTATAAGGAGAGCAAACAAGGCGCTACGAGGGTATCCTTCAAACCTCTGTCGTGGATTCACAGACCAAATCAGTTCAGCTTAGTCGGTAAGGTTGCAAATGTAACGCAGATATTTGGGCGCAAGGATGTGGAGAGCAGTTTTTGCGCTGACCGGCTATGATCTGCACACATTAGCCTTTTGTTCACCTTATTAAGATTTTCATGCTCTGTAGTGTTAAAACAGTGATAGGAAATTATTTAAGTGAGATTGGGTGCACTATGGCTGAACTCGAATAGTTGGTATGGAAGAGTAAGTCACGTGGGATTCAAAAGTAAGCCATGCTTCAATAATGAGCAAATATCCGTCCATACAGAGGCCTCAGATGTATTTCCAAAGAAACCCCACCCGCTGTTTGCAAACCTGACACACGGCAAAAGTGTTTGCGTCGCAGGAAACCACTGGCAATACTTTCTAGCAATTAGCCTGGGACGCACTTGCTGAAGAAAATGAACTTTGGTTGGAAATTCGTGGCCATTCAAATACTGCAAAATGATGTCATGTGTTATGACAGTGGGCGCTCGCCGATCAGGTTACGGAACATGCTCGTTCCGTTGTGCCTTGGGGCTCATACTAGAACCCTCGCAGGCAGTCGCCCAGCGACTAGTAGTAGAGCGTCAAACTGCATGACCAAAGATCCCGGGTTCAAATCTCAAGTGATCCACACTTGGGGTTGGGTATGACTGGCTGATGACGACTAATAAGCCAGAAATGGCCATTCCGGTCTCTCTTGTCTTTGTCGGTATCATCTCATCGATGTCATGTGTATTTTCGGTAGTCGCAATTTTTTAAGGAAATGAGTATCCCTCGTCGACTTCACCGACAGAATGTAGTCTGAGCAAACAGTTGATGCACGAAATTATTCCTCAAAGTCCAGGACCTTGAAATAGGCGGGATTTGGTAACTACAATCACTTGCCATTTAACCAGGGCGTATTGAAAATATTCTTTTTAGATTGTTAACTTTTTGGGCAAGACGTTTGAGAAGCAGATTAATTTTGACAATTGCATAAGTGTCATAAAATCCAACTATGACAAAGGGTCGTGCAATTTCCATTCATACATCATCCTAGCTGTCCGCTAATAAATATTGCTGGTGAAGTATGACAGTTCGATCATCGTGGCCGACGAGGTACACCGTGTGCTCCACCACAAGGTTGAGCTGGCACGGTGACTTGTGCGTGATTTAGTTTATAGTGAATATGGACTTGCACCGCATCTACCGCACCCTCTCCTCCTCTCCCACCTGGACCCGGTGTCAAGACAGAGTCAAAAAAATGGAGGCGGGGGAGGGCGCAGGTAATTAGTACGGCCGGGCCCGCATCTTGGCGTTCCACTCCACATCCCCTGGTCCACACAACAAATGGCCAGGATTTTGACCAAAAAATGGAAGGCTGGCGCGGTCGAGGTCGCACCTAGCCGTGTCATCACACCTGGCTCAGATTTCATGGAGTGGGAGTCCCATAAACGCCACATTAAGCGGGTGCCATTTCAGCCTGACTCTTACACTGACAATCGACCGCTCCACACAAACACACAACACTAGCTCGACTGCGAGGTCCAAGTTATTCCGTCCGTTGGCAACTCTCCAAGCCACGACTTTTAGCGTACCGTGATGAAGTATACAACATGATCCACATTCATTGCAAACTTTCATGACCCCTTTGTGGCGTCGCCTCAACAGCATGCAAAAATGTGTGCTTTGCCTTATAGGAAAAGTGCACAGCATGTAGCCTGGGGATCATGGGCACGAGTGCGACTACAGGCTGGTATTAAAATTATTTTGGAATTAGAAAGTTTTTAAAACCGGAAAATAACTTTCCCTCAACCATAATATATGAAATGGTTAGGAGGACGCTCATTCGAAATTCGACATCCTGACATGCTCCAAGATATGCAATAACACAACCCCGTCTACGTAGTCTTTTCAAATCGAAAACAGATTACGGAACTTCGGTCAACATTTCCTGAGATAGTTCAGCTACTGTAGGTTCGCATATGCACAAATGATGCGCGGAACGCCGACATTCAAGCCATGAATATACCTGGGTGGGGAAGCTTTAATCGCTGTTTTAGTGCATACTCAGTTCGGTGATGGGGTACAAGGAAAAGCGACATATGCCTGTAGATTCTTTCAAATGTCAGCTATACTTGTCATCAAACCATCTACATTAGACATTTACTTGACACTTCTGCGGAGGTGCCATTAAAGGTGGCATGTGGAAAGAGAGATATAACTGTACAGACTACCAAAAAGATTTTAGCTAATTTATACCACAAACAGGAAATGCAAGTATTAGATGGTATCTAATCTCGAAAACGTACTCCAGTCAATATGTTAGAGTAGGATTGTTTTAAAGAACCCTACCAATGGTCCCCCGTTTAAATTAAGAAGTAAACTGAAGTTGGAAATCCACCACACTGGAAACTTACAATGCTACTATGTATATCTCACCGAAAAACTGTCAGGAGGATGGGTTGGAACGTGCGGTTGATGGGGAAACCCTGCTAATGAAATTACCCCCAAGTTCACCTGACTTGACCCCGGGTGATTCCTTTTTGTGGAGATACGTAAAAGGACAGGTCATTGCCCAGCAACTTCCGGCAACCGCTGAGGGGCTCAAACGGGGTATCATCGAGGCTCGGAAGACTGTTACATATGTAACTGCATAGGTCCGATGATGAATTAGTGAAAACAAGCGTTTGCCAATTTGACTTCCTAAATGCACCTTTGTTGAGTTTGTCCGCAATCCGCTTCGATTTCAGCAATCAATTAGTTCAATGCGTCGAAGACATGCAGGTTTCAGAGGACAACTCCATCGTGGAAACACGGTGACGCTAACTGCAGAACGCCATCCGTCCCGCCTCCCTGGAAGTCCTAGGTCGCCAACGCCGTCAACACAAGGATTACTTTGACAACAACGCTGAAAAAAACCAACAGTCTGCTCGTTTAGAAGCATAGACTGCAAAAAGCCTTCTCCGGACGCGGAACCGACGCTAACAGGGTGGTATTCTTCCGATCTCGCCGGTTAGTGCAGCAACAGGGTAGATGCAGGACGCCTGGTCGGATTGCAAGGCCAGAGAAATCCAGAAGCAGAAACAAATGACTTCTTCGCCTCCACCAGTGCAGTCTACGGTCCTACGGCCAAAAGAACCTCGCCGCTGCTCAACCCCGACGAACGACATTTCGCAGATTTTGAAGCGCTGGGCTGAACGTTAAGGAGTCGCCTTCAAACGGCCCCTACCCACAATATTCGACGACGTCATCGACCGCCTCCCTCAGTTGAAAACGAACAACAGCCTAGACCTCTCGCCTTTCCTCCAATAAACAGCCAGAGCCACGCCCTATCTGTCTGGCGGGAAGGTACTGGACTCCGAAGCGATGTCGTGTGGATTGTACAAACATGCTGACGCTCGGCTGATGGGCAATTTCGCAATGATATTCTCGGCGATTTGGCGCCAGGGACAAGTATCTCAGAGTTTCAAGGACGCGACTACCGCCTACTTTTGTAAGCGGGAAGGGAGCCAACAACTCTGCGGTAAACACAGAGAAATCTCGATGCTTAACACTGCCGGAAATATCTTTGCTCTTATACTTGCCAATCGTTCCAACGGCCATCCAGAACGCTGACTTCTCCCAGGAAGTCAATTTTAATTCCGATGGTACCGCGGAATCACCGACATGATCCTCGCCGCTAGTCAGCTACAGGAGCAGTGCCAGGAGGTGTGAAGCCACCTCTACACTACTTTTGTGGACTTGATAAAAGCCTCCGACACGGTGGATCGCAGGGGACCGTGGAAAATCATACAAAAATTTGGCTGTCCTGGATTCGCAGTGACCAGTGGTGTTAAGCCGGGCAGTGCACTCGCTCCCACCCTCTTCGGCCTCATATTTTCCGCTATGATGATAGACGCCTACCGTGATGAGCACCCTCGGACATGCATCGCCTAATAAACTGATGGACGTCTTTTCATCAACAGGCACATGTGGGCCCCAACGTGACTATGTATGACCTCATTCCACAGCCTGCTCTTTGCTGACGACTGCGCACGTAATGCGACAACTGAAGAGGACATGCAACGGAGCATGGAACTCTTCGCCGCCAGCTACGCCAAATTCGCGCTAACCATCAACACGGACGAAACAGGAGTACACTCGGAAGTACACTCTCGCGCAGCACAAATATCGACGACGACGTTGCCCGTCGGCTCCCTAATATCAGCTAGGACATCGGTCGGCTTCAAGCCTTCGTGTGACATCGACACGGGCTTCAGCTGAACACCAAGCTGAAGATGTGCAAAGTCGTCGTCTTGACGACATTTCTGTGCAGGTCGGAGATATGGATCGTCTGCTCCAGCCATGGCAGTCACCTGAAACACTTTCATCTCAACTGTTTCCGAAGAATACTGAGGCTGGTGTGGCAGAGCAGGGTCCCGGACAGTAAATTCTTGGAACGGACGGGAATCCCCAGCATCCATGTCATGCTGCGGCAGCTGCAACTGCAATAGAACGGTCGCTTAGTGAGAATAGACGTCGCTCGTCTTCCAAAACAATTCTTCTATGGAGATGTCGTCACGGGTGCTCGCCGACCGGAAGGACAAGAACGACTCTACAACGAAACTTTGAGGAACCGAGAGACTGGGAGGACCTCGTCCAGAACAGGCCAGCGTGTAGGAGAAAAGTGAAGACTTGCGCAGCAATCAACGAAGCAGACCGGATCGCTTCCGCAAAATCCAAAAGGGTTGCTCTCAAGTATCAGGTGCGTCTGACTCGCAACAGCACCCATCGTGACAGCGTTGTCAAAGAACCTTCCGCGCGCGGATTGGCCTGGTCGTTCATCATCTAACCAATGCACCAATTCTCGACGACCACAACTGCTGCATCCACAGCCACCCCTACTCCAACATCAACGTCGACAGTGACGGCACCCACGTTGTGTAGAATCTCCGTCCTGCTTTATCTCTGCCACTATTACTGCGGCGACGGCGCGCACAACCACCTCTATCACCACTGCCACCGACCAAATCGTTCCTGACAGCCCCCAGCGATGCGGACTCGATCCAAGCACGTCCTCATTGCAACCGCACATTCACCTCACACACCGGCCTGCTCGGTCACTTGCGATCCGTAGCAGAGAGACTGACGAATCAGCGCCTGGAGCGCCAACATACACTCGCTACATCCTCCCTCACTGTGTACGCATATTCATCCATCGCATAGGCCTATTTGGTCACGTGCGTATCCATGACAACGAAATACACCGCAGAGTCAATGCACCTAGCACATCTAGCACATCCATCCCACCGAGCCCAATAATTTCCCCATCGCCCAGGGCGCCAATTACTAGCAGCTCCCAACCTATCCTGCCCAGACTGTCGACGCACATTCCACCTCGCGCATCGACCTGGTCGGTGACCTGCGAACCCATCGTAAGTAGACTGGCGAACCAATGTCTGTAGTACCAACATACACCAGACGCACTCACCTTAGTTGCCCGCTTGCTTTCGTAGATTCGACCAACGCATGGGCCCATCAGGTTACGCGCGCATTCATGAAAACCTGCGATAAATCATCACAGACACGACCAAATAACCACGATAGTTCGACCGTCGATTTCAACTATGCCCACCGTATGTCCCACAGCAGGTGGTGGGAGCAGGGACGGTGACTTGCGCAGGGCTTTATAATGCCAGTAGACTTGCGCTGCATCTACCGCATTCCCTCTCTCCTCCTCCTCCTTCTCCTCCTCATCCGCCAGGGCCCGGTGTCAAGACAGAGTGAAGAAGACCGGAGACGAGGCAGGCCGCGGGTGGATGGCTCGGACGGATCCTCACCTTGACGTTCCACCACACCCCCTGGTCCTCTCAACAAATGACCAGGATTTTTACCAATAGCAACAAGAAGAGTGGAGGCTGGCACGGCCGAAGCCGCACCTGGGCGTGCCGCCAATGCCCGGCTCGGACCCCACACAGTGGGAGTGCGATAAAAGCCACATTAAGCAGGAGCCATTGCAGCCTGATTCTCAGGCCTACAGTCTACGTCCACATAACCACACATTTCCCCACAAACACATGCACCATGCGTACACACCAAAATCCCACATCACCCGCACCCCCTCACGTAAGTGAGAAGTGTGCTTCGCGGCCCCTTTCTCCATTTGGCTCCTCTGCGGCATATGAAATCAGAGTGTTCTGTCCCCCTGTGTATGGAAACTTAGTGTGTACGCTTAGGGGCCAGGTCATGTGCGTGGCGCGTGCAGACAAACCCTGTAGCTCTGTCACCCACTGCGCTCATCCCTCGAACCGGATGACTGACTAGCTCAGACAGTGACTGGGGTCTGGGAATAGAGAGTAAGGTCGATGAGTCAGCGCATTTTTCTCACTATAAACAATTTGATATGCTTGAAGCTATCACGGTGCGCAAAAAGCTGTAGCTTGGAAGGTTGCCAACTGACGGGATAACTTGGACCTCACAGTCAGCCCAGTTTGTGTTTGTATGGGGTGGCGAACTGATGGTCTGAGAGTTAGGCAGCAATGATTCCTGCTAAATTTGCTCTCTATGGCACTCCCACTCCGTGGGATCCGAGGCGGGTGTGGCAGCACGCCTAGTGGCGGCTCCGGCGGCGCCAGCCGTCCACCTTGTTGTGGTTGGTTAAAATCCTGGTCAAGTGGTTTTGGGGGTGCGGTGACACGCCTAGGTGCGGGTCCAGTCCTGCCAGCCACTTGTGCTCTATCCCGCCTCCGGTCCCCTTGCCTATGTCTTGACACCGAGCCCAGGTAGGGAAGGAGGAGGGAGTGAGGTAAATTCGTCGCAAGCCATAGAAGAATATATGCGCAGGTCACCGTGCCTGCTCTTATCCTGCTGTGGGTCACACGGTGAATATCGTTGGTCACGACGATTGAACTGTCATTTGTACGTTTGTGTGCGCATTGACTGATTGGTGGATTGTGATTCAGGCTTCATTGACGCCTTCTGAATGTAGTCTCCGTGTAACTGCCGCACAAATGGGGCCCGAGTCGTCTCGTTTCTTCTGTGAAGACATTGCGCGTGGCACGAAACTGCGCCCGAGCTTCCCCTCGGTTGTTCTGAATGTGTTTTGCCACCGGACCCAGATTGGCGAGGGAGAAGATAGCGTTTAATAGGCTATACGAGTCTGCTATTGCGATCAGCCAATTCAAGCGTAAGTCAGCACGCTGCGTCCATCGCCTTGTGGGGTACACCTGTTCGCGACGCCCGAAATGACATTAGGAGTGTGGGCTGATTGATACTGTAACTTTATTCAGTGTTCCCACCCGCATTTCCGCTGGATTTATTATTTTGTCCGGAATAGGTCTTAGAAGTAAATGTGAATTCTCTGGTGAATAAAATTCCTGTTTTGATCTTCTTCTTTTTCTAAGTCCGAACTTCATTCACTCGTCAGTGGCCCTAACCGGTCCGTCCTTGGTGCATGGGGGAATTCCAGCGATGCTGTCATCCGTGAGCTCTGACTTATATTCCTTACCTCCGGTCACTTAGAGACCTGTGTTAATTGTTTAAAAAGAGTTACGCACAATTTACTAGTAGCCGCAGTAAGCATTCCCAATGAGCGCTTCTCTACCATTGTACATTCCCGATCGAAACCGACTAGACAGCGCGGTCGTGGCTCAGTGGTTAGAGGCGATGAACCTCTAACTAACAGGCCTTGGATCGAGTCCCCAGGTGTTCCATACTTCGGGCTGGGCATGACTGGCTGACGACGGCTAATAAACAGGAAATGTCTATTCCCGTCTCCCTTGTCTTTGTCGGTAATACCGTTCTGCCCATTTCCAATTTATTTTATTTGTAAGCCATTCAATCATCTACCCCAGGTCGACTGGAAATTTTAACTGGGCTCATTCGTTATGGGCATTCTGTCGAAAGCTCCATGAAAACGAATTGTGGAATGTATTAATTAGAACTCAACTAGCTAATACGAGTAACTGTCATGGTATGTGTTTTGTCACCATGATTTACCGAATGCTACAGGGTCTTTCACTGTCCAGCCTACTTCCCTGAAATAAATCGGATTATTCTGAACTAAATTGCGCGCTTTCATCTCCAGTGGAGCAGGACGTTTGGCTTTATATTATCTACATGGATAGGTACTCATAATATCATGCAAAAATTGTTCAGAATTTGATATATAATGAAAAAGTAAGGGGACCATGGTGGTTTAGGGGTATTTTCTGCCAGATCAATGCTCTGCATGCTGTAGAAACGCTCCTTCGGCAATAAAAACAAGTGTTATACCTTCTTATTTTTTAGTGGAGGGTATATTCTATTCCATCTCTTAGACCAGTGGCCCTGACAGTCCTAGGTTTGTTTCACGACAACTGTCTGAAAGACGTTCCCCAAGAGGCGGAGTGAAAAAAAAACCTTTTTTGCAGGTACAGTATAGTTTCTATCAAAGAAATTCGTTTGTTCAAGTCTACTTGCGCAAACAGGGAAAAATCGTTTGAAGTCGGTGCCTCCATCTTCGAGATTGTGGTGTCTTTGAGCTTGGGACGGGACGATGTGATACAGCTGGTGAAGGGCATGAAGGCGGTGGCGGAGGCGGAGGCGACGAAGGCACAGCTTGCGCAGGGGTCGGAGGTGAAGGTCCTGAAATACTTGTTTCAGGCCTAGATGAGGTCGAACTAGATGAATCAGAGGAAAGGGCGAGCGATTGGGCGGAGAAGGAGGGTGTAACTGAGGGGGTCCGACATGATGAGGAGGCGGCGGCGGGTGAGTCCGAGGACAGAGCAAGAGTAGCTGACGAGGAGGATCGAGAAGGAAAGGAGGAGGAGGAGGAGGAGGAGGAGGAGGAGGAGGAAGCGGAAGATAAGGCGGTAGTGAATGAGGCATATTGACGATGCGGGCAAGATGATGTTCTCGAGGAAGCCGAAGGCGAGTCAGCCGGTTGTAACAGAGTCAGGTATTCTCGCAGTTTGCTGTAAGAATTCTCGACAGCCTTTCTGTTTACCTCTGTACGGCCCAGTAGCCTTTGACTCGCCCTTCCACGAGGCCGACCAACGACAGGGAACTTGTTCCTCCCGTCTGGTTCTAAACGGGAATTAAGCAGAGATGTTGAAAAAGACACAGGCGCCATCATGGAGGCCAGGAAGGGTATGGCATTTCCAAAGATCCGAATATGCGAAAACACTATCAAACGATTAAGAGGTCCTCGGACAGCCACCCAACTATTACGTGGAGAGCACACCAGAGTATCTGATTTAAGCTTAGGGGTATCCAACGAAGAACCATCGTAATTCGTTTAGTCTTAAGTCTGCACGCCCACCAGACCCTTGTGGAGACAGGCTACACAGAATAGGTCTCGGTCTTTCCTCCCTCACTTGGTACCCCAGTGGTGGACCTGACTAGGAGAACAGGATCGAAGGAGTTCAACGATTAACTCAGCATTCAGCCAAATTAATTGACTCACTACATAGTGTTGTCCCCACTTAAAAGAAAGGGGTAATTTATTGGGCAGACCGCCGGGCAAAATTCAGTCTCATTATGTGTAGTAGGCAGTCATTTGACTATCTCCAAAGGCGAGCTGTGACACTGAGTTTTAAGTTCATTGTAGACCTGAACAGTGGGAGGGTAAATATCGCAGGTCTACTATCCTGTTCCTCCACCGCATTCGTTCGTCAACATCCCATCAGTACGTGCACAAACTGAGCGGGCCTTCTGGGCAACCGACAGGTTATATACCCTATCGCGGCAAGCTTGAACCATTAAGACTGGTGGGTTTTGGACGTATCGCTGTTCTTAAAAACGGCCGAAATTGGGCATAGTCGACAGGAGACGTGGTAACAATTTACGCTGCTGGATGGAGGGGTCATCAGACATGCATTTGAGACAAAAAAACTTGGTTAAAACTAATAGGCATTGGATAAGAGTAAGTTTTCGACTAGATTTCGAGAGACGACGGGCCTGGTCTTTGAAAAGCTGGCATCCTGTGGTTTCAGAAAACGCGCAGAAATAGCAAGTTAGTTAGCTAAATTACCTGGCACTTACCATTGTTGAAGTCGGCATTTTCATAAGGACTCGTCTCTGAGGAGCTCGACGTATTCCTCCTGGGTGTCCTACTGGAGCTCACTGCTGGTGACTGAAGCCGGTTCACGTAAGCGATGGGCTTCACTTTGATTTTCTTGGAAATCGGCCTTGCATCGTGTGTGGGACCTCTGTCCTTATCTAGTTTAACGCAAGAAAATTGGCTTGGGGAAATCCAACCTCAATCAGTAAAGCATGTACTCGCAAAACTGCAGGTAGACGGCCAAAGATAGAGAAGACTGCGAAAACACCTATTTCGGGATTCATTTTTGCAAATACGGCCAGCTAGACGTTCAATAAATCTTGTGAGCGGAGACCGTTAAGGCCATTCCCAACTCTTCGTAGAGGCCTTAATGGAAGTACAGTAGGTGGGCTAACTCATGAAATGTCAACCGAAATTCCGAAATGCGTTTTCGTCTCGAAAAGATTAATTAAGTAGGGTTATAAAACTAGTCAGCCTGCAACATAATTCTTTAATATTTCAGTTACCTTAGGATGCCAGCTTTCGAATGAATTTCCTTCCGGCTACATGCAAAAACTGCGTTCTGCAAAAAAGGACTACTTAATTAGCGTGCATTTTTTCGTTGATTGTCGATGCCCCTAAAAACTAATTATAATTTATGCAAAACATGCATAAAAATATCCAATCTTTTTCACATTCGGTAGAAAATAACGTCTTTTTCTAATTTTATACTCGAGGGAGGGATATAATCTGGTTTTCAAAAACTTTTCCAATTCCCGAATTATTTTGAACCCGCTCCTCTGTCACCCTTGGATTCAGGGTTTACAAACTGCAAGCCGTATATTTTCCGAGTACGAAAAACCGCACATTTCTCTACGGTATTAAAGGAGGACCATATAGGTTTCATAAAATTAAGTAGTGGATTGGATCCATATTGTTAACTTTACAAGCAACAATGGTAAATGCAGAGATATGGCGATTTATGAACGGCCATTTCACGGTATTTAAAAGTCCAACAATTAAAAGCATTTTTTAAACCAAATTATGTCCCTCCTTCGAGTATAAAATTAGAAGAAGACGTAATTATCTACCGAATGAGCAAAAGAATGAATATTTGTATGCATGTTTTACATGAACTATCAGTAGTTTTTAAGGGCATCAAAAATTAATGAGAGAAATGCATGCTACATAAGTAGTCATTTTTTACAGAGTGTATTTTTGCATGCAGCCGGAAGGAAGTTCATTCGAAAGCCGGCATCCTGAGGTAACCGGATCATTATAGAATTATGTTTCATGATGAGTAGTTTTACGACCCTACTTAATTAATCTTTTCGAGACGAAAACCCATTTCGGAATTTTGGTTGACATTTCATGAGGTAGCCCGCCTACTGTTGTTTACGTACAGTGTGTGACCTATCTCATGAAATGTTGGCTGAAATTCTGAAATGCGTTTTCGATTAGGAAGGATTACTTGGTCGGGATTGTAATACTGATTATCTTAAGGCATTCTCTTATCATATTTTGGACTCGGCAGGATGTCGGCTTTTAAATGCACTTCTTTTCAATTTCCTGTAGACAGCGTGCTCGGAAAAAAATGACTACTTAAGTAGCATGCATTTTTCCCATTGAATTTCGATGGTCTTGGAAATCCAAATATATTTTATAGAAACCACAAACAAAAATATGCTTTCTTTTAGGTAATAAATAGAAAATCACGTCTTCTTTATATTTTATACTTAAGGAAGGAGCATAATAAGGTTTTAAAAAAGTTTCTAATTATGAGACTTTTTAAGACCGCGATATGTCCATTCGCATAGCATCGTACCTGTCCGTTTACCACTGCTCCTCATGAAATGTACAACATGGTCCGCATCTATTGCAAAATTTTATGGACCCTGTATGATATCTATTTAATGACATAGAAAATATGGGATTTTCTTTACGCGGAAGGCATGCACCTTGTAGAGTGTAATCACTAAGCGCTAATGCAGCGAATGATCAGGCTCCAAATTTTTCGGCAATTAGAAAACTTTTTTAAAACCTTATTATGCTCCTTCCTTAAGTATAAAATATAAAGAAGACGTGATTTTCTATTTATTGCCTAAAAGAAAGCATATTTTTGTTTGTGGTTTCTATAAAATATATTTGGATTTCCAAGACCATCGAAAATCAATGGGTGTCCGGAATTCGTGTCTAATCTATTTGAGCGGCCTCAGGTGAAAAACTATCCTTGTCAGTATAGTTAAAGTCGTCTTCTTCCCCGCATACTTCCTCTTCTGTCCCCTTAAACCCCGTATGCGCATTCTGAGGACAGCCCTAAAGCATCCCTCTAACTCAGTTGCCCTCATCCCTTTTAGTCTGTCAGCCCTGCAGTTATTTCACCCATTCAAACGCCTTATCGATCGGGCAGCACTTTTTGGTCGGTAGTCTATCACCCTAATGTATTTGGTGGGTTGCATGGGCACCCCTGAAAAAAAGTTTAAGAAGTCTCCGTATGCAAAACAGGGATTTTGACGTAACTTGACTACCTGAGTGCGAATAAAGTTTGACGCGGCGCATTTAGGACAGTCTTGAAGCAATTAAAGCGGTTTCCTTTCGTTCCTGTTCTTTATCTGTTCTTTTTCCTCATGGACTTGAAAAAAGAAAACGAGTTAAGGTACCCAGATGTGCGGGTGACGCCCAATCTCAAACCTTTGTCTCGCTATGCCAAGATAGCAAAAAAGGCTGTGTATCTCAGGGGCGATCAGGAGACCCCTCTCATACTATCGCGAAGGGCTTTTGGTTGATTGTTTGGAACATTTATCCGACGAGTGTTCAGATATTGCGTTCAGGCTTGGGTTTATTGGCTTTTTGTAGATTTATACGTGCAGTAGGCATGCTAACTAACGAAATGTTAATCCAAACTGTGAAATGTGTCGTCGTTTCAAAAAGATTACCTAAGTATGGTTGTAAAACTAACCATCGCGTAGCATAATTCTGTAATCACTCAGATGCCTCGGGATGCTGGCTTCCGAAAGTACTTCTTTTCGGCCGCATACAAAAATCACACTCTGTAAAGAATGGCTACTTAAGTAGCATGACTTTTTCTCACTGATTTTCAATGCCTCTAAAAATTCAATTATATTTAATCGAAAACAGACATAAAAATATTCATTTTTCTACTCATTCGGTAGAAAATTACGTCCTCTTACGACTATATACTTGAAAGAAGGGCATAATTCGGTTTTCAAAGACTCTACAATTCCCGAATAATTTTGAAGCCGACCTGCCGTTACACTTGCATTCAGAGTTTACAATCTACGAACCATATATTTTCTGTGTACGGAAAACCACACATTTCTCTACAGTATTAAAAGGGAACTGTATGGGATTCGTGAAATTTAGCAGTGGATTCGAATCAGATCGTAAAATTTACAAGCAAAATTAGTAATTGCAGAGACACGATGTTTTATGAACGGGCGTTTCAGGGTATTAAAAAATCTCTTAATTGGAAACTTCTTTAAAACCTAATCATACCCTTCTTTCGAGCATAAAATTGTAAGAAGACGTTATCTTCTACCGAATGAGCAAAATACTGAATGGACTTATGCATGGTTTCCATGAGAGATAATTGAATTTTTAAGGACATCGAAAGTCAGCGAGAAAAATTCATGCTACTTAAGCAGCTATTTTTTTTACAGAGCACGGTTTTTGCATGCGGCCGAAAAGAAGTTCGTTCGAAAGCCGACATTTCGCGGTAACTCAATTATTGTAGAATTAGGCTGCATGACGATCAATTTTAAAACCCTACTTAAGTCGTCTTTTCGAAACAAAAATGCATTTCAGAATTTTGAGGAACATTTCGTGAGTAAGCACACCTACTGTAGTTGGCATCTAGAAGCGATTGGGTGATTATCTACGCAGCGCTCGATCATTCTGTACATTAGTAAGTCTCGAAAAACTTGTGCACCGTTTGACGCGTGTTGCGGTGTTCAGTTAGCATCGAGAGGCCTCTTCAGAGTTATTTGTGAAAGCGTGTGGGCGTCTTGGATGAAATGAATGGCATCTAGTTTGCAAACATCAGAACCTTATGAAAAGTGGGTTTGCACCAGCAAATATGCAGATACCAGCGACAGGTTTAAAAGGGAAATCCTGGATGCTTTCAAGTAGTAACGTAGACGAGACTTTCAACGATCTGGTTAGTGTAAAACGCATTCCCGCCCGCCTGCTTGCGAAAATCAGGGTCTCCTCTGCAGTCCTAGAGTGATGAAGGACAATGCTGAAAACATACAAGCAACGACACAAGAGTCAAGAGTGATCGTTTCTGACGAACTAGTCGTCGCTAGCCACCTACGTTCGACCCTGGGTTTGAATTACCTGGGGGGTCGGATCTGGGCTGTTTTGTCACTGGGAGTTAGGTTAGACTCTCCACTAGTAAGTTGTGAAGCAAATGCCGTTTAGTTTTTTTTAACCAAAGTGGGACTCATCATAGCAGAGAAGTTCATCTGTCTGTTTTTTTGGGCTGAACAGGCTTGCCCTATACTTGCCTTGAAGCACCATCTAAAAGACGCGATTTTTGAATAAAACGAGTGCAGAAGACACCTTCACTACCTCTGACTGAACGTCTTGAGTCTATGTGGAAGAATTAGCATAGATGATTGGAAGGATACTCAATCAATAGCCAGCACACCAGGTTGTAGGAATTGAATACACGCTAGTCACTTTTTTGCAGCCTCGTGGAATTAATCATTTGAAAGTGCATTAAAAAAAACTTCGGCGTGAGCTTAACTGGCTTCAACGCATACTTTACAATTCTGCCTGTAGTCCCCTATTTTTTGGCGTGCGGCCGCTCGCGTGAAGGGGGGACTGTCTGTTTTTTTGAGCGTGACTCTAACTGCCGATACATGCGAAGATGCGAGTTCCAGGAACTAGTTGATAAGAAGTAGTAGCGATCGCTGGAACAAGGGCTTTATTCGCCTATAAAGCCCTTATTTCACCGATCGCTTTTTCTTCTTCTTATGACTCCAACTGTCAATTGAGTGGGGGGGGGGGGAAATGGATTGAGGTGGTAGAAATAGTTCACGAATGACAGCGCACGCCCAATAGCTACTTGAGTCACAGTTTAAGCGAACCATACATCGCGCTGAAAACTACTGCACTCTCGGTATAATTTGTATTTACCTTAAACAACACGACACCAAGCTGTCTGACAGCTCGTTAAATTCAATTAACGTACAGTAGATCAAAACAAAAAAGTTTTATTTACCTTCAGTTGCCTTCTTCGGGAATGAAAACACCCTGGCTATTGGGGTCGATGAAGTCTGTCTGTAGCCGACTCCGCCGTCGTTGGTTAGTTTATGATCATTTCTGCGCGAATGTCGATTTAAAGAGCGCGCGACAGCATGAGTGCGTCCAGCTGACCGCTCTACTGGTTAAACAAGGAAAGCAGAGGTCCATGTTTAGGCAGAGTTGCCGGAAGATACTGTTCAGCGAAGTACTAGGAATTTTTTTATCAGCAACCGTTCATGTGCCTGTTTCCTGCACGAGAGAGAGGCGGAAAGACTACTGCATTAGACATGAAATGAGAAAAAGTTTTCTTTTCGGCCGTTCGTCCGAATGAGGTCTAGTACGGTCGGTAAGGGGAACCTATGGGCATGCAGCACGCCTACGACCATAGTCTTTTCCTATAAGAAATGGCGACAAAGGCTAAGGGGATCAAAATGGTCATTGTTGGCTAAGAGGTCGCCGGCAACGAGCTAAACGGCAAGATCCTTCTTCGTAGTCGCACCTGTTAGGGGTTAGGGCTAGGGGGTAGGAGTTAGGGGTCAGGGTTAAGGGTTATGGTTGGAGGTTGGAGTTAGTGGTTAGGGGTCGGAGTTAGGCTGGTGCTTGTATATTACCGGTACAGTTACGAAATAAGATCCGGCCAGCTAAACTCTCCATCTCAGGCCAAAGTGACCAGGGCTAAAAACCGCACTTGTTATTCAATTTGCAGAGGCGGTTACAATCAGGCTTCGCGGACCTGTCCTACGCGCACAGAATAACTTCATACAGGTTCCACAGTTGCCATGGCTCAAGTCCACCCAGCCAGCCACCGGCATGTAAGTGCATTCCCCCGAACCCACTATCTCCCTGGCGCTGACCGGAATTATGGTGTTTCACTCTCCCCCCCCCCCCCCCCCCCTGCCCTCCCCAAACCCGAGCTAGAGCATAATTATTTACTTGCCGGTATGTTTTAATCCCTTACTTCAATAGCCATATAAGTGTACAGACATGAAGAAAATTTATCGAAAGCAGACGTATGCTCGCTAAAGCGCCTTTTGGATGTTTCAATGGGAATTTTTGCAACTTCGCGCAGTTACTGTTAAGTCGATTCCTCCGCCATTCAGCCGCTGGCTGGCTGCGCTGTCGGTTAGGACTGCACTAATTAATTAGCAAGGATTTGCGTTCGGTTAGTGATCAGGATCAGCATCTGTGTGTGTGTGCGTGGCATGTGAGAGACAGGAACAAATGTCTTTGCAGCCTTTATAAAAAGGCCCATTCTCAGTTGCCCTGGCCTGGTGGTGCATTCAGAACGTAGCGGGCTTGAGTAGATAAGATGAGGTCGATGTTAACCAATTCTTCCTCATTATAAATCAACTCCGGCGCAGCTGCCTTCGCAGGCAGTGAGCAACCTCGTCAGAAGCACCAAGGCATTACATTAGTTCTTGACCGATGAAGAAAGTTGCATGCCTATCCGCTCATCCAGTTGCGATTTGCGGCTAAATGCGGGTCTTTTGTTGGCTGATGTGAAGCGAAAAAAGACTGCTGTAATCCAAGACAGTCGGCTGTGATGCTGCGGACATTCAGTACAATTTAATAGCGACGTTTCTGGTCAGTCGAATGCGTACAACAGAGCTTCCACGTGAGGCTCATCAGATGCCAACGACTCCAGATGTTTTTTGGCAAAGAGAAGTATCCAATGAACCGATAGTTCGATTGTCGAGTTCGATGATGTCCACAGTGTGTTCTACAGCAAGGCAGTAACTTGCGCGTGAAGTAGTTTAAAGTGCTAGTAGGCTTGCGCAGTACCTACTGCACCCTCTCTTCCCCATTCCCCACTTGGACCCAGTGCCAAGACAGAATTAAGAAGATCGGGGGAGGGGAAGGCGCAGTTGGCTGGCGCGGCCGGAGCCGCACTTAGATGTGCCGCCACATCCCCCTGGTCCACACAGCAATTGACCAGGATTTTTCGCCAACAACAACAACACCCCAACAGAGGCCAGAGCGACGAGGGTGACTGGGCAGCCATGTCCAGTCACCTGTGTACCTAGCGGGAGCTCAAGCGCATCTACTGGGAGGCAAACCAGGTGTCCCCGAAATGCCAGCGCTTACCAGACTACGAGGACCATTGTTTGCTGATACTGGCATAGCACACGCTTATAGGCCTTCTAAGTCGGTGGACCACGCACGACGTGCCATCTTACCCCTGTGCATGGCCCACTGGCCTCCACAAGGGGCTGCCGCTGCATGTGCCACGCCTTAGAGTCTGGCTTCCAGGACCCTTCATTCACTGCGCCAAATTCCATCATTCCCTGGCTGACAGCCTTGGACTGGTGCATGCGGGAGGGATTGAGGGGTTAACAGTGGAGGAACCCACCTTCAAGACGTATCAGCGAACTCCACACAGTGATCAGTGTGACGCGCTAAGCGTCCTGGCTTGAGAGATTACCAGTTAAGTCAGGCTGCAATGGCGCCCGCTTCATGTGGCCTTAATGACAGTCACGTCGGTGTTAGATCCGAGCTGCTCTTACAGAAGTCTGATTTACGTAGTAAAGGTCTGGTAACGTATGTGTGTGTGGTAGGCGTAGACGAACAATTCGAATTTGTCTGCAAGTGTACCAGCGTGAAGTTCTGCTCGTCTCGACCTTTTAAAGTCATGGGAGAAAGTAGGTGAGGAAATGAGGAGGGCGGAAGATGCTGCGTAAGTCTGCTCACTCGCAGGTCACCGGGACCGCGTGCGTCCAGTGGGGTACATGGTAGACTTCGTCGTTTGCGATGGTCGACCTATGGCGTATGGTGAGAAAAGGCTTGAGGTACATTCTACAACTGCTGAACAGAACAAGGATGATTAAGTACCTCCTCATTCGATTTTTCCATGTTCCTTTTTTGACTTATTTTTCACAAACGCTTTTTTCTCTAATTCAGCATACTTCAGTTCTGTTTGTTCAGATTAACCACAGCAAATGGATGGATACTTTGTCCTTCTGCACAAATGCAAAAAAAATCGTCCACGATATTTTTTTCTCGAGTTGGCAAACGTAAGAGATGCGGGTCGATAATCGGGAAAAATGAAGTGCTCACCTTCGAGTTATTCACCCAAAAGGGGGACACAAAGGCAACCGACCCCAATTGGAGGTGACGACACACAACACAGGAGGCTACCAACATTCGCAAATGACGGTTAGAAGATGAAGGAAGAAAAAAATCTATCAGCTCATGCCCAAGCTCTCCGAAACGTCATCAATACAATTCCCTTGATCCGGTGAGTACTTCATTTTTCTCAGCTGATAGTTTTTGCATGAACTGCCTGAGATAAAGGCATTTGAAGAAAAACACTACGCGGTCGCGCTCTAAGCACGTTATGTCGTCTGGAGGCCAATGAAGGGGCGAAAAGGGAAAATTGCGCTAAAAACAGCCGGGACAGCACATTTCTAATTTTGGGGCGGAAGACGTGTACAAACGGCAAGATAGAAGCGGCACATATGATCAAAATGAGAGACTAAAATATAAAAAACTGCCTTCTATATGAATGGGAAATTGCGTTTCCCGTAAAAATAACTCTAATTTGTTTCGTCTAAGCCCTCAAAATAATTCGTGGACGTCAAAAGTACTGCTGGTCTTGTGACTTACTTCCTCCCTCGTGGAAGGCGATGTAGCTGGAAGCGTAAAACGGCGAGCAAGGAGTTGTTGTACCGGTGGCCCAGTGAGCACGGTTTCCATGCCTCTCTACAACCTCATTTGAACGCATCAGTCAAGGTGACGTGGACCGTTAAGGTGTTGCACCTTGACAAAAATAAAGGAGAAAATTATTTAAACACCGTGGAAATCCTTGCTCAACTTGGCGAAGAGCGAACTTTTCTGCGGGAGTTGCGCATTGCGATGCTCACGACGCCACGTCAAGTAGTCCGTAAGGCATCGCAGCTCATCGAGCCGATTTTATGCTTACACGCATCTACGCAATTACTTTTCCATACTGACAGCACAGGCACCAACTAAAAGCTCATACACGCCGGGCATTTAGCCAGTACATTAGTTGTCAGTATGGTAAATAATTACGTAGTTGTATACTACTGACTGTCTGTTGTCAGCTTGGGAATATTACGCGCTTATTCCGCAGTAGCTGATTGGATTTCGGCCCACATATTCATATCAACTTTCAGACAGAGCCCGAAAAGGTCTGTTTCGGGGGGTTTACTCCAGTTTCGCGCATTAATTTCTTCGGAAATTAAACAAGGCGCTAAAATGCATTTTGGTGACCTGCAGGGGGCGAGGAAGAGAAGTGCACCATATAGGCCTGGACTTTGGTTGCATTCGAATCACAGGCGCATCGCCAGTTAAATTAAACGTAGGATCGCCGTGACAAGTCAATTTTCTAGACAAACAGACACCCCGGACACGCCTTGACAAGTGCCCTAAAAACGTATGCTACAGGTGACTGGAGTCTGAGAAATTTGTAAATTTAAACAAGTTACGCTTAAATGTCTGATACTGAACTCCTCCCTTTCAGTCTTTTCACTTGTGCAAAAATCCTGTTTCCTGATAATCCACTGCCACATCGTTAGCGTCTGAGGGCTCCTCAGAAGGTCGTTTTCGCAGCATCGCTGGCTGCTCTATCCCTAAATGGGTTTCCTTTGTTTCACGGGGAGATTTCATCTCTTTCTATTTTGGTTATATTGGTCGCACGAGTCGGCGCCTATCCAAGAGAATACGGGAACACCTCCCAGCATGACTGGGAAAAGGCAAAACGAGGAGCATAAGCAGCGCCATTCTCCCGCATGCTATCGATTCCGGACATCGTGTGGACCACAACGAAGCTTTTCGTGTGATTTATAAGGTCCCATCGAGTTACCCTAAGCTACTAGGACAGCGCCTGTTAGCGACGGCAGAAGCGGCCGCCATCAGGTTACGAAAGTCAATCTTATGCGCACAGAGTAAGCACGTTCAGGCTCCACGCCTACAGTGGTCGAAGGTCGACTAACGCTGAAACTCTCCGCGCCCTTCCGCTCTCACCCCGGCTCTGACACTGACTACTATGATCCCTCTCCCCCCTCCTCTAAATTCCCACACCCCGCCTGTGTTTTAAGGCAAACGTTTATCGATTTCTCTTATCGCTGACATGTTTTACTTCTAACCCGTTCCCATATAACTTTACTGGTCCGACGAGAATTTATCGAAAGCTACGTATGCTCGCCATCTCGTCTACTTGTAAACTTTAGCCCAAGCCTTCGTCTTCTATATTTATCTTTCCTCCTTGTTCTCTAGTTATATCTACATGGGTGGATAGGCTTTCTAAATTGGAGTATCTGCCAGAAAGCGGAGAGGGAATGCTGGGGGACCCACTGATGAGCCGAACCCCTCGCAGCTGTGTCATGCAGCGGCAGATTATCGGCGTCTAAAACTTTTCGTCACTTAACCGTATGACAAAACGTGAGTTATCTACCCCTCGCAGCAACAAACCTGACACTGAGACCTACCTGCTGAATGACAGGGAAAACACCAAGAAATCCAAGCGAAAATGCAAAAGACAGCCTTATTAGCCGTCAATCAGAAAAGGATTAAATGGAACGCACAAAATGTTAAAAAAAATCCGCAAATTATTTTGAGCTTTTGGGGCACAATAAAAATTGTCACGCAAACTCCTGACGGGATACAATGAATTAAGGAAGAAAGGACTATACAGTGCAGCACGCATAGCTTGTAAGGCATAATTTCAACAAGTATTTCCGATGGAAAACCCAGCGAAATGAGAGATTTACACAGCCAGACGAGACGCTCACCAATAATAGGTTCGTCCTGTGAGTTGGTAGGCAAAGTATATTCAGCACTTCACGCACACACCCCTCGGGTGTGAATACAACAAGTTCGAAATAGATCAACCGGCACGGATTCGGTGGTTGGCAGTTCTGCCCCGTTTTGCGACAAAAGCCTTTTGAATCCATGAGTTCGCTATACTCCGCAACTAAAACGCCTTGCAGACTCACGTTAGTCAGGCAATTCGACCTGGCTAACCAATCGTTACCTTTTGGCTCATTTGTTGTCTATCAGTTAGTCAGCAAAAACGACTGACCGCTTCATGCGAAAGCTCTTATTTGCTAGCTGTTCAAGTTCGCGCTGAAATGCGGTCAACCAGGAATTACGTCTACAATTAGTTCAATCGCAGTGTGATGTTACATCCTTGCCACTAAAATGACGAAAGTCTGCCTTACTTCAAACTGATGGCAAAACCTTGCCACTTTTAGCAATTTGACAGTGGATGAATTTTAGAAGAAAATAACCTACTGAGAGGTTAAATGCGGACCTTTTGATGGATGTTCTGTCGGATTTTGCGAACGTTCCGTCTGTGGAACGGAAATCCCTGGTTAGACGATGATTAAATTTGCGGATTTCTCGAAACTTGTGGCAAAAAAATTGCTCATATAATTCCCCTTATGCAAAGAATGCTTACTTTTGTGACCATTTTCGGGTATAACTTTGCCTCCACGTGGAAGCGCTTACTACTTCGTATATTTCGATGATTAAGGAGTAGTTAGGGGAACTTGTACTGCGTCATCAATAGAAAGAAGCGGCTGTACGGGCCCCGAAACTGCAATAAAAATCTGACAGGTCCGATAAGGAGGTTTGCTTAATGAGAGTGGAAAAGTTTGCATTAATTCTCACCGTGATTCCCAAATCCCGGCTTTATTACTAGCAAGACGTTTCTAGATAGCGTGTAATTTGAGGCGTAAAGATCAAACGTTTCACAAAGGAAAAGTCTTGGTGAATACATTCCATTGCTTTAGGAGAGAAGCTGACGATAAATAACATGTTTTGTTTTGAAGAACGAATGGAGCCATGCACAGCGTTGCCTAAGTAAGGACCCACGGGTTTAAAAACAAAATTGCAATCGTATACTTATGTGTCTCAGTCGAAGGGAATTACGGAGACTTTGGGAAAAGAATGAAGAGGGCTTACTTAGCAAGGAGGGATGCGCATTTATAAATTTTTTTAATCCGGAGGATATTTTTACAATAAAGCTCACTCGATATCATTAATGCGTCCTCGATAAGCAAATTTAGCCAAGGCAAAATGCTGCTGATTAAAACACAAAATTTGAAGGGTTTTTTATTCGCAGGCACTTCACTGAATAGGACTGTGGTTGCTAAGTCTCCCTTGTTCACTAGCCAATAATTGCCCAGCCCGATGGCTGGTGAACAGGGTGAGATCGCACCCGAATGCGCATTTGCTCACTTGCATGGTCTTGTGAAGAGAATCATATTAGCCAAATGCATGCGTGAACTTCCGTCAGAGTTGCAAGAGCAGCATAAACAGCTTGACACTCAAACACCCGCCTGTCACGATCCACTTTGCGCTTTGCGTAATCGCCACAGCCGGGTAGACAGTAATTCACAGGCAGAAACATCGTTTTACCGGAATTAATTTAAATAAGGTAAAGCCGACCACTTATATAATTGCCCTTGGTCATTGCCTATATACATATGCTCTTATTGAACAGTTTATATATATATATATTCCCTCAGGAATGAGTGCACACCGAACCATTGGCTTCCCGACGCAAACAAGCAAAGGTCAAGAGATTTTATGAAATCATCACATTTTGCATATTTCGTTGCCCCTGTCCTCTTCAACTCCCGTATACTATAAGGGCAGTCTGAGAGCTGGCTGTTGCTTAATTCAATTACTCCTTCCTCTATTTATCAAATTAGCGGGGGTGTCAAAAGTCTCAAAAGTACATCGATGCGATTTTGACGACGTTCGTCAAGCGTTTTTATATTCTTAAGGCACTGGCTTGTAAGAGGGAACCTATCTTTTCATCGATCGAACACTGGTAAATAAGGCATAATGGACCCATATCCCATTGTATCATTTAGGCCTGTGACTTTCCCTTAAACACTCGATTTGTCAAACTGGTGCCTATGGATCGTAACGACCAGTCCGCCCGAGATATCAGCCCGTGTATTTGGCAAAAGAGCTTAGCTAAAGGACGTTCCACTATGCATTGTTTGCGAACGCGTTTGGGAGCCCGCAGCTAGGTCGACAAGCTGACTACACTTTCCCCCCATTCATTCGGATTGACAACAAATGTTTGGAGGCAGTTAAGCTGGGGACCAGCGCTTATTTTGCAGCGGCCGAAATCAAGTAGTTTGGTAAAATTATGGATAAGATAGTATACGGCTCTGAAATGGGCTCATAACAGTCTGATTTGTTGGATTTTATTCCCGGCTCAAGTTTAAAATAAGCCTCAGCAGCAGGGTGCATCGGTACTGACCTATAATTGTGCTGTTTTCGTATCGAGTTTCTGGACAAGTTAAAATTCCGCTGTATTCACTACTCGTCGTCGGTGCTATGATGCGGCAGGAGACAGCTGACAGGTCATCAGCGATTTCTTACTACTAATAAACCACGACGTTGAGGCGTATTTCAAAAAAAGATTTACAACTTATAGCAATCAGGGTCGCCTCGGCTTGATGCCTTATCACAGGTTATGCTGTAGGACGTGGCCGTCTGGATGGTGCATTCTCCTCCTAATCTGTATATGGTATCGGAGGAGTTACATTGCCCCGTGTGCCATTCAAGAAAGCCAACGTCTTATTGCTGTCATTGGCTAACTGAAAAAAACGCTTATCGTGTTCTCTTTGTGGAGGATGATGGAAACTGAGATAACGCTGAAACGCTATTTCAGCATGACAGGAAATCCCGGATTATGAGGCTATCCTGGTTACGCCCAGCGTGTTTACGAATGACGGATAGCTGAACGTCCTTCGACAAAGGCCAGAGCACACAAAAATTGGATAACCATGCAGTAGCCATATCATCCTAAATCTGGTTCCGGCGTAGCTTTGGCAAATCAGCTGCCTATGACTGTGTCAAGGAACGCAGGAATATTGTTAAGTGAGAATGCCTTTTGCTGCCCGGTTGGGCTTGCTCATCGCCTGGCGCATTCATCGAACCCTAAATCGTCATACCTGGTAGGTGGATGCAGGTTTCTACTTCCGAAATGGGGAATCATGGGAAACGACCCCTGCATGAAACTGTCCAACACAATCACTGTCCGGTGCTCGTAGCTTTAACTGATTTTAGATTTCTGAGGGATTGGACTTGTCGAGAGTCAAAAGCTTCAGAAGTAGCAATATCAACCCCAGAACAGCAATAACAGCTCACGGATCCGCAACTGTTTGTTTACATAGGTGTTGAAGTTATAAATCGGCTACTTGGCTTAGTGGTTAATTCAAATCATTTCTTTTCAACACAAAACACAACTCACGTGCACAGGCTGGACCTCTTCCGCAGCTGACTGAAGCTCTGACTGACACTAGTTGTCATGTCAACGCCGCGTCTTATTCGTCCCGCTGACTAAATTGGGACTGCGGGCGGAAGCCAATCGCAATTTGGGGACGCGGTTTCTCAAACTTCTGATGGTGATGGTCGTGCGTGGAGGAGTGAAATTTATTTAAGCTGGCAGCGCCATTCACACAGCACCAATTAACAGCCTTACTCATCAGTCGGCATTGCAGAAACAACTTGCTCTACGGCCTGTGTGGCCCCGCGCAGATCATGAGAGCGCAGGTGCGTGATTGGGCTTCCGAATGCTGGCATGGCTTGCGTCATTGTGCATAATTAAGTACTAGAACCCTGATGAGTAGGATGATAATTGTATGTAAAGGACCGCTCGTTTGCTAATTCGTCTATTAGCCAGGCCGTAAACCCACAAATACCCCAGTTGACTCAAAAATAACCTTGTAAAAAGGCACAGAGGACAGAACTGCTCGGAGTCGCGGGATACTTTTTTCCATGAGTCGTTCTGGTACCGGAAATAAGGACGAAATGACGTCAAGGGCTTTAATGAGAAGGAAGAGTGTGAAAAAGCAGGATAATTAAACGAATTCTCTAAGCACAGTGTAGTATCAGCGCTAGTCCGCATTTTTAATCAAGGCCATAGAAACTGCACATTTTGAGGCCTATTAATCCACACGCCACTGGAAGCTGTGACTGCTCAGAGTTCTACTGCCTGCAAACGCGTTAGCGAGATATGAATAGGGAGCTCGAGTAAAAAAGCCATAACTTGGCAATCTTTCAAAATTATGGGGTGGGAAATTCAAAGGCTCAAGTCTTTTTTTCTCAAATGCACAAAAAATCGTGCATTTGTAAAGTATTAAATTAAAAAGATAAATAGCATGAAGGTGAATCTATGTTTGCGTCAGGAAAAACCGGGAACTCAAGAATACGCATAAATCAGAATAAAAAACGCCTTTAAATCAGGCAGTAAACGCCGTTTTGGGGAGATAGGCCATATTGGATTGAGAGCGCACAACAGTCTATGAATAAAATACACTAAAAAAACATGAGAGCAAGAGTTCGTAAGAAAGGACAAATTCAAATGAGGACCATTCAATGGATGTCAAACGGTGTTTAATGGATGGGCTAAAAGAGCATCACAAGTAAAGATCTACTAGCTCTGCGCATCATCTTTCGGAATTCAGTTTATAGTTTTGGAATTATTCATCTCAACATGGGATATCTTTTCAATCGCCAGGTGTTCTGCTACATGACAATGGACAGTTGCAGCCACTGGGGAATGGGGTTATCTTACGTTTGCTCTGGGTGTGCCAAGTAACGCTGCATTCCTCTATCCATTCTTCCCCACTCTGGATATTTGGAATCGACAGGGAGCTCAGTCCTGACTCCAAACTTCTGCGCTGTTTTTTTTAATTTTTCCCTTCTCTTACGTCAATGAAGAGGACTGCAATCAAGTTTTTTTTAGTGTGAACTTGGTCTGGAAACAAACAATACGAATTTACTTCTCAGCAGTTTTCGGTTGTGCCATAATCCTTAGCTGCAGGTGCAAGAACGAAATAACCTGCCCGTAGTTGAGAATTCAAACGAGCGACAACCTGAGTGAACAGTTGAAACCTTCTACTGTTGTGTGTTTTGCCGCCAGAAGTTAGGAATATGGAGTTGAGAGGACATGCCCAGAGGCCGAGAGCTGTTAAGAGGAAGTGTCCAGCCGGAGACCTGGGCGCGGTCAAACTGCTACAGCTCTTTCGCTCCTGTTATTTTTTGAACTGCAATTGTGGTTTGTAGTTTTTCCCAGTACGCACGTCTTCCAAGAGTTTATTTGTATGCCCACACTAATGTTCCCATTAAAATTTCACAACTTCTACCCTGCCTACGAGAACCAAAAATTGTTCAACTGGCAAAAAGTACGCTTTGCGGAACCGGCAGTTAGTGCAACTAGAAATGCGGACACTTAGACAGCATCCTTGTTTGTACAGCGTTCGATTTCAGGGACTAGAAACGTCGAAAGTTTCTATCCTAGTCGAGACGCATTTTAGTTTTCACTTTTTGTGAAACTTGTTCTTTTTGACGTCAAACCTGCCGACAGTCAGTGTGTTGGTTATTCTTTTGAATAAAATTGCCCGATATTACTGCTCATTGGTAGCGCGGCGTAAGATCACACAGAAATGATGAGTGGCGGTGTGTTTATTAAGTCTTTGCACAACAGCTCAGTTTAATGCTATCAGTGTTAAACGCCACAAAAGCAAACTCCAGGCAAAATGTGTGGACGTATGCATTTGAAAGTTTGCATTTTTTCCTCTTTACTTTAGTAGTGCGGGAAAGACCGTTTCCAACCTGCGCACCCTCATCAGCTAGACATGCTACCCCTAAGACAGAAAAATCCCAGGGGCTGAACAAGGACTCTGCGATTCCTGAACAGATGTCTTATAACTGGGACAGAACAGCAGCGTCTGTTGACTGCGGATAGGAATATTAAAAATCACAAGAGACCGATGGTCACTGACCCATCCTGACGGCAGGATAACAATTCGCACCTCTTTTTCACGTTAGAGTTCCGAGTCTAGGATGAACTCGGGGTCACATAGCGACGCGCGCATTCTGTAGCCTATCGTAATATGGACAGAACACGGCAGACATGGGGGAGGTGCAACTGATTGCCTACTGGCCGTATTGAGGTCGCAGTATAACAGTTTCACGTCGGGAATATCCGGAATTCGAATTAGGATGCCTTGGTCAGGGCGCAGAATGCCTACCTACCAGAAGCTCCGATCTCTCGTCTTTGGTCTGAACTTGAGTTTCGCCCCTGAGGGAAGCGAAGTAGATCAAAATGCCGATTCCATTCTCCTTATATGTGCACTTATGGCGTATTTTTCGCTCATAGCTGTGCCACAGTAAAGGACGCTTTAATGTATTCCTATGTAAATCGTACGTTAGGTTGGATCTCGTGGCGAGCCAAATTTAAGAGCCGGAAGTTCTGATTTTACAACGTACAGCTTCCAACTAGGAAGTGTTACTTTATTGGGGTGTAACACCGCGACAGAAGTAGACATGCAACGGACATTGGACCTCTTCGCCTCCGGCTGCGACAGACTCGGGCTGACCATCAGCGCGGACAACGTGGAGACCATGCATCGAACGCCGGCCCCTCCGCTGAACACACTGTTCCTCGCATCTTTGTCAAGGGCATCCAACGCAAATTCGTGGACAACTTCGTCTACTTAGGCAGCACACTCTGATGTTGCCTCAAAATCAACGGCCAAATGGCTCATCAGATCTCGAAAGCCAGCCTGGCCTTTGGTCGGCTGCAAAACGCAGTGTGGAGTCGCCACGGCATTCACTTCAGCACAATACCCAAGATGTTCAAAGCCGTCATCTTGACGACGCTGCTGAATGGAGCGGGAACTTGAACAGTCTAGGGGGAAAAAACGCGGAAAATCAGCCATTTACACCTAAGCTGACTTCGGAGGATCCTAAATCTGACGTGAGGCAGTCAACGTCGGGAATTCTCAGGGTTCGAACGTAGACTCTTTGATTGTTGAGATAGCAATCCGTAAATACCCCCGATCTTTTGGCCGGGAGTGGGAACAAACAAAGCCGTATATCAACACAAAATCTCACATCGACCGTATGGTCAGGTTCCCGAAATAAAGCCTTTCTGGAGAGACAATTGGAAGACTCGTCCCAATCCCAGTTTCCATTGCGCTAGCATGCAATTACGAATAAGCTATATTTTCTTCTATAGCGAAACAGTTGACGGGGTCTGTGCCTCCAAATATAACCAAGTATCTGAATACATGTCCACTAAATATCACATATTTGAAATAGCGCCATCGTTAAAAAAGACAGGACTCTCTGCCATGCTTGTCCTTTTTTAAATGATGCCGTCTCGGAATCCACAGAAATCGACCAATTGCTTGCACAGCGTGTTCACTTAACTGGCGTTGTGATTAATTAACTCGAATCAAGACCCCTTCGACGGTAACAAGCCCAGGTGCAAAATATTTTATTAAAGTTGACAATCAGACTTTTCGGGTTTGCAAAATATGGGACATGTTCCAGAACCGTGTGATTCAAATGTGTGGTTTTGGAAAGTATGCAATAACATTCTTCGGTGTCCTTATTTTTGTTGTGGGTATATGTCACGTGAGTGCATTGCAGAACTGGCAAATAAATGCAGTCATCATCTGCGTCGCGAATGTACTGTACCTATCGTCATCTGCTTGCCCAGATAGTGACCGGAGTTAACTCTAAAGCGTAGACTAGTATGCAAAGAAAAGGAAGAATTTGGAGTGAGTCCTTTCCGGAGCAAAACTGGACCACTCACATTTTTTCCGGAGGCTCGACTGGGGAAATACCGCAACACTCCCTCCTCCCCTTCTGGTTTTCCTGTAGTTCAGACAAAGGCACACACAACGTGAGACTGTCGCAGTCTCATTCATAATCCGAAAACCCTCGCTTGAAAGCAGAAAAATGTCCATAATTTTGTCTCAGAGATGGCCGAATGACTGACTTGACCTAATTTTTTGGAATAATTACAAGGTCATTTGCGAAAGCACTTAATATGAACTGTGTCCAGCCTCCAAACCTAACCGCCACTAAGGGGGACGAACTTTGCCCCCAGAAACTTGGCTAAACATTCCTGGCACTCAGCTACCTTATGGCGCTTACAACTGCTGTAAGAACAGTACTCAGTGGGGTGACATTACCGACAAGGACAAGCGAGACTGGGATGGCTACTTCTGGTTTATTAATCGTCATCAGCCAGCCATACCCAACTCCGTAATGTGAACACCTGGGTCTCGATCCGCAACCTGTTCGTTAGAAGTCCGGCATCCCTAACCACTGAGCCACGGGCTCGTTGTCCTGTCGGTTGCAATCGGGAATATATAATGGTAGAGGGGCGCTCACTGATCGTGTTACGGAACTACCTCGTTTCGTTGTGACTTAGGGCTCTCTCGAACCCAACCAGCAGCCGCACAGCGACACGTCAGTTCAGAGTTCTATTTGCCTTCGAAAGTTTATCCTGCTCTACTTAGGTGCAACCAATCAGTTCTTGCTAGGTGGATGTGAGTTTGACAATTCGGCACGTTTTTGGTCGGCAAGCCCACGGAATCTGTTGTCCTTCAGTTTCATCACTCTAACAAGTTCACCTGATCTGGCACACCGTAAACGCATTGATACTTTCTGCTGGGAATAGTTTTCATCAGCACCCAATCCCCGGCGGTTAATGACTAAGGTCACGTTTACCCAGAGTTTAAATAAACGCCCACTGTAACTTCGGTTCCCTTGACATTACACTAAGAACACAACTACCCTCGAGATAAATTTGGCCCCGTTTCCTGCAACCGATACGGCCTTGGACTGGAGCGAAAACTCAAATTCAAGCCAAATTTTGACGTTCAGAAAATGAATCTCTCCTTAACAGGCTTGTTCCTGTGACACCGAGGTGGCATGTTGAAAGATATTTCGAGGTGCCTTGTTCCTCCTGCTCGCATTTGGGATGGGAGCCTGCCCAATCAGAATGAGAGCTGAGGGTCCAAGAAACATACCGCGGCTTTGGGACGACAGGGGAAGAAAGCGCATTGTTAATCTGGAGGAGATGGTCGGTGCCAGAGGTCTGCAGTCTCAAAAAGTCAAATCAGCCACTCTGGGCATCGATCAACTAGCACGGAAGCGGATTGGTCGTGAAGGGCAGGGGAACTCGCAGCGCTAGTGCGCGTACTGTAGGAAGCAGCAGAGACTCCCAGGAGCACACTGTCACAAAGTGTCGCTGTGAACCGAGACTGGTGATTCACCTTCGACACATGAACTTGGGAGGACGATATAATACGGTAATACGAATCTCTCGTAATACAAGTGATCCTGCGCTGAATTCCGTAGAGGCTAGGGTTAGGACTGAGTTTAAAATTACAGTACGGGTCGAGATTAGGATACAGAAGTGGGTGCCCTTCATGGGATTTGGCGCAAGGCTACGTGGAGGAGTTCCTGTTTCCGTGTCTTGCTGAAAGACGCTAAAAACACAACAGGGGAATCCTGTACTGACAGTGGTGGACTTCCCTTCTTGAACTCCATGGTCGCACTTTCTACTACGGTCTGTTCTCTTTTTATCGGCTACGAGAAACCAACAAACGGCGGCTGATTTCCGAACTTCAGTTCGAATCGCTTACTGTGTATCTGAGAGGTGGGAGCGCTGTCATCATTCCGACGAAAAGGCCTCCCGAGCTCTAAGGAGGGATCGAGAATGCAGACGAGGATCGAATCTAGTGTACCTTGAACTGGACGAATAGTTTGTAGGATTGCGAGCGGAACAATATGCAAGCTAAACGCCAATCGCCCGATGGCCTGTGGTTGTCAGTGTCGACCAGTCGATCGTTAGTAACACTGTATAAAGATATCCAGCCGTGGTCTGGCGCGGGCATCCTACGCATCTCCTAACAAGATGATCTCAGAACTCCGAAGCCCGAAGGATCCCGCTACCCCGCAGGCTATTGGCTCAATGGTTTTGTGCTGTGTTCCACATGAGCAAACATCGCGTTCTCTCCGGGATGGGAGTGCTGCTTTCTAAAACTACAGAAAGCTGTCAGACGTGAGACCGGCGCCGGGGAAGGGAGAGGGTGTCTCTTTAGCGATAAGGTCATGCACTCGCAGGACAGACAATCAGGTAGACCTCCCAGGCATCCAAACCATATGTGAGGGGGCAACAAGAAGAGACTTACGTCGACTGAATCTTCAACGTCAAACACGGCGGCATCCTCCGCCTCAATTGCAGTGTTCGTCGACGAATCTAATGACCAACCAATCACTTATTTCCTTCACTGCAGGCCTGCGTAGCGGCGAGAACTTCTGATATTGTGTTGTTATGCGTGCTCAAGCAGCGTGTGTTTCTATGTTCACCAGGGTTGATACGATCCCACGCCACTTGAGGGATTCCGTGAGCGTTTCCCTTGACTCCTATCTCCATTCACACTCGCGGTCAGCCAAATTACGATCACTCCTCACCATCCGTTCCCAGGCCTGTCCTCGCAACCGACCAGCTGACTACCCCAATCTTCCCATGGTACGCACCCTGCAGATTGTTTTTGAGCATTTAATTCTGAGCGGGCGACCTACAAGCACAACGGATCTGCAGCTAAAACGCGGCACATCGTTTAACACGTTGTCACTGAATTTCCTAATCTTCTGTGCGCAAACTGTGCGACCATGGGACCCACGGCAATTGTATTCCCATAAATTAGCTGCGCTTTGACAGAGCACAAGTTTAGGCAGGGTGGGGGGGGCAGTTGACTTTCCGAGGAGGGGACTAGTGGACTGATTTTGGAACGAAGGCAGAAGACGAAGGATTTTAAGACGCAGTTCCTAATGCGAGTACAAAAGACAGAAAGAAACTTCGCATACAAAGTACAAAGGTAATGGCGGTTAGAATCAAGAAGACAGAGAGTTGGAGAAGACATCACAGAAGTCCAGGAAATCAAACAAATAGTCCGGCAAGAACGCAGTCCCTCCCTTAACGTGCGCGTAAGTGTTGAGAAGGGGTGGCAAAACCTCCCAGTCGATGCTCTTGTCGGCCAGCTAAAAGGCGGAGGGCAGTAGTTATGATTGGCCAATCACCCTCGTGGGGCAGCAAGACGGTCGAAAAATAGGTGCCAACATTTTGCGTTGAAAAAAAGAGGTGCATCGTTGAAGGACGGACGGGAGTGGGACCTTTCCGTCAGCACAAACAACAATTCGGACAGACATCCCACAGGATTTATGCCTGAAGACTTCAAAGAGCCCAGTAATTTCATGACGGAGCCACTTCGTCTGAGTTGAATCGGCTTCAAAATTCGCTGAAATACTTGTCATGCCGATCGACTCTAGGACTTGGATGCATGGGATACACGTTCGTTACTGCACACCTTCAGGATACCTTGAACGCAGCTTCCTTACTCGACTCTGCTCAACGATTCATTTTTAGAGTTGAGGAAAAGTACCCCCGGCATCGTGACCTCGTTATGCTGAAAATGCGGCGAATGTCTTATTATGGGTAGGGTGGTTTACTAAATGCCCGATTAGCAATGAACGCCTCGGTCTAAATCTTATTATTAATTAGGATTTTTTAAAAAGTAGGCTTTCCGGGTAAGCGTATGTGCCTATGGCGGCGAATACGAAGATATGGAAAGTGACAGTTGATTCCGTCTGTTCTCTATTTAGCACGGATTGGTGCATGATAACTACTTATTTTGAAGGTCTGATAGTGGGTATGATGTCCACGAAGCAAAAAAGGTTGAAGGAGCAGCACATGGATGCTTCACTCGTGGCAATCACCACCATGTAGGCAAAAGCTGTTGTGAAGGAGGTCAGCTTGGCGATGTCTGTTAGAACTCGCTTTATGACAAAAGTCTTCTTTGCCAAACTATGCTGTTTGCGCAGTTGGAATTAAGAGAGCTGGTCATCAAACCACGGCAGGGCTAAATCGTCAGCCGAAATTTCGAAATGCGTTGTCGTTTCGAAAAGATTAATTAAGTATGGTTGTAAAACTAATCATCATCCAGCATAATTCTATAATGATCCAGTTACTGCAGGGTGCCGGCTTTCGAATGAACTTATTTCGGACTGCATGCAACGACTATATTTTGCAAAAATGACTACTTAAGGAGCATGTAATTTTCTCATTGATTTTCGATGCCCTTTAGAGTTAAATTATATTTCATGAAAAAATGCAACAAAATATTCATTCTTTTATTTATTCGGTAGGAAACAACGTCTTCTTTCGAATTTATTCTCGAAGGAGGAGTATAATTTTGTTTTAAAAAGTTTCTAATTGTGAGCTGTTTTAATACCGTGAAATGGCAGTTCATAAAACGTCAAGTATCTAATTTACCAATGTGGCTTGTAAAATTAACAATATTGCTTAAATTCACCGCTTAATTTTATGAACCCCATATGGTCTCCTCGTAATACCGTAGAGAAATGTACGGCTTTCCGTACACGGAAAATATACGGCTTGTAGTTTTGAAACCCTGAATGCAAGCATAACAGCAGGCCGAGTTCAACATTATACGAGAATTAGAAAAGTTTTTTAAAACGGAATAATACTCTTCTTTCAAGGATAAAACTGGATGAAGACGTGCTTTTCTACCGAATATGTAAAAGGATGAATATTATGCATTTTTTCATGAAATATAATTTAATTGTAAAGGCCATCGAAAATCAATGAGAAAATTGCGTGTTCCTTAAGTAGTCATTTTTGCAGAGTATAGTTGTTGCATGCGATCGGAAATAAGTTCGTTCGAAAGAATGCACCCTGAGGTGACTAAATCATTATAGAATTATGCTGGATGGTGATTAGTTTTACGACCATATTTAATCTTTTTGAAACGACAACGCATTCCGAAATTTCGGTTGACATTTCATGGGTTAGCCCACCTACGGTACGGCCTCAGTCTCAGCTGCACACCTCAAAGCGGCCGCGAGGTTGCACATCTAAGACGGCGATTTTTAAATATTATTAGTGACCGATAAAGGCGGGAATGCAAGCTCTTAAGGGAAACACGGTCGCTGGAAATTCCCATTCGTGTTTGGGAGTGACGAGGAGACGGTCTTAAGGACCCAGTGTTGGCTATGAGGGCAAGCGGAAGGGGCATATTCCTTGATATCCTGGTTCATCAGGTCCCCTTGGTCTCCTCCTCTGTGAAATTCGTTGTGCCTTTCTGCGCCCGGTGGTTCTCTGCTAGGGGCTCGCAGGGCATTCAGTTGATTCCGAGACACTTTGTCCACGTAACCTTCTTCTGTTATTTCTGCTGGCCAGAGTTTACCGCAAGGTCACAGTGTGATAGTCGCGTCTGCAGACGCCGATCCTACATCCTCACTACATGACTGCTTACGCAAAACTGGGTTTGTTTCAATATTGTAAAGATGCTGACCATGCCGTTCTATTTCAAGACCTGGCTGTCAGGGGGTTCGCCCCTGGTCACTTTTTGTCCTCAAAATACAAACGCGCTGATGATGAGGTAGCTTTGGAAACACCCCGGACGACTCAATTTTCCTCCAACAATCATTTAAAAGCGCAGAACTTTAATAAGACTGCTTCACAAGCTCTTGACGCATTACCGAACCAGCTATATTCATGAAAAAAGGTCTCGTGGCAATTCTGTTAGCCCAAAGGGTGATCACTTAGTGGTGCGAACACGATGAGATCAGATGACATATAAAAACTGCCTGACTTCAAAGGAGGCGCTAAAGACCTTAGGCCGTGAAACGCTTGTTACGAGATCTCTTCCACCGGATGTACAATGAAGTCGCGTAGCAGTCTAGAGGCGGTCATTGTTAGTTCAGCAAACTCCGAGGTCAAACGCTGATTGGTTGACAGGGGGCCAATTAGGAGATGCAAAATGTCACCCCGAGCTGATCTTTTCGCAAACCGGACTGAAAAATGGGGGCAGTGTGTTTCACAAAACTTACAGCGAGTGACGTCAGTCGTGGGAAGTTTTCGTGTGCCGGCAACTCAAGCCCATCCTCCTCTTCTCCCTTCATCTTTGACTCCGAGAACAGGCAACACTTTACCCCGTCTGTATCTGTTCAAGATAAAGATGTTAACCTTTAGATAGTCGGTTTGAAAATCAAGGATTATGAAACAGTAAACGTTCATACTTAGAAAAGAAGTAGAAGACATACACATCTTATATTTGGGTGACAGGGTTGTGAAGGAACAAATGGGGAGTATAAATTGAAGAAAGAAACAGTGAGGCCGAAACTACGACTGATACTGTCCCGTCAGAAGACGACTTGGTCTGTAATCATAACAGCAATCATGATGCGATATTTTTGGAAGGTTTTAACAATGTCGACAGTTCGATCATCGCGAGCGATGACTTCCATCGCGTCTGCCACGGGCTGGAAGCTTGGCGACGGTGTGTGCGTGGTGAGGTAGAGTTGCGCATCATCTACCGCACTCTGTCCTGCCTCACACACCCTGCTCTGGTGACAAAAACATACCAAGACGACCGGAGGTGAGTGGGGGGCGTCGGCGTGGTGGACGCGTACCGTGAGGCGCTCTGGTCTCTGTTTTAATCCAACGCATCTATAGGGCAACCCCTCGTGTGCAGGATTTAACAGCCAAGATCAGGATGGCAACAGTTGTCGTTTCTGGTTTACTCATCGAGGTCGACTAGTTATGCACCAACCCCAGGTCGGAGCTTCGGAGATAAGGAGGGGGCGTACATAATCTCAAACCGACAAAAATCGGACCCGTCTGGCTTTTAAGATCTCCACTTGTAGCGGACAGAGTGTTGTAGCGTGGGCCAGAGCGCGGAGCGTCTCTCGGCCAGTGGTCAATCTGGACAGAGGCTCATATTCCGAGTTTCCTCGGTTTGGCTTTAACGTGAGAATGGTTGATAACTGCAAATAAGCTGAAAATGGTCACTCAGATTATCCGGGCATTCGGCGGTAGAGGGGCCTTCGCTATCGATCGTCTGTCAACATTTGAACTTCTTTGTGGAGTCTAGTTCGTTTCTCAAAGGCAAAACGTGACCGCTGCCTAACAGTCTGTTTTTTAACAGGAAAGCGACGAATCTTTCGAACTGAACGACTATTTTCCTTCCTTTTCACCGCTTGATACGGTTCTACTTCAAAACAAAAGGCTGGCCACTTTCTTGGATTGTTTGTCTATTGTATTCAATCGACGGAACTCTAGACCTGGCTACATTCCGCACACTTCTAAAGAAAAGTGAAGGCATCAGCTATCAGGTCAGTTGACGATGGTTCTCAAAGTTGTCCACAAAGAGGGTCATTTGTCTGACAGGGAATATAAGCGACTGAGACTTGTGGACACGGTGATAGCCAGAATGTATGAACTCCCAAAAATTCACATGTACGGGCTACTCCTACGTCCACTCTTGTATAGGAGGAATTTACCCTATCACACTATTGCAAAGTGGCTGGTCAAAAAGCTAAAAGCACTGCAAAGTCGCCTGAAGGGCTCCTTCGAGTTTGCCGAGGCTATCAAGAGTATTAACGCTGACGGATGCTCACATTAGACGTAGCATCACCGTTTACTAACGTACGAGGGCCAGAAACGGTAAACTATCTCTGTGGCGTTATTCGTGATACACACTGCCTGATAGACATGCCAATGAAAACGCTAAAAGTACCACTGACGCATTGCTCACACAATGTTCAGTTTTTCTGCAGTGGCAAATAGACGGCATAGCGATGGGCTCACCGCTTGGTCCCTTCCTCGCAAATGTTTTCATAGGCCCAGTGGAGAGAACAAGGTTACTATTAATAACCTTGACTTCTACGGTCGACACGCGGGAGATATTTTCTGTCTGACGGATCTTGCCACCAACACTGACGCCCTGGTCCCAAAGTTTAACAGTGCACACTCCTAGTTAAAGTTTTCTGCAGAGTGTGAGGCAGGCAACAAAATCGCGTTCCTCAATGTCCTTCGGCACAGACAAGGGGATGGATCTATCCACCGCAGGGTATTCCGAAATAAAAATTAGACAGGATAATACTTTAGGGCAACGGTATAGAGAAGGACCCCACTTAACTGTCAGTAGACCTTGGACCGTGCCATAGGTGATTTAAGGTAAAGGGAGTTTTATGGGTGAGGCGGCACGCTGGGCAGTAAGTTGACAAAATGAAAGAAAACAGAAATCACCTGAATTTATGCCGACAGTCTTATTCTGCGCAACTATACGACAACGGATATGATATTAGCAATCAAATAATAAATAAAAAGTAAAATTCATAAAATAACGGCTTTTGAGTTAGGGTGTGAGGTCGTGGGAGGTACTCGTTGTTGACAGGGAAATAATTTCTGCAACAGCCTACAAGTGTATGTCAAGATAAAACCACATGTGACACGGCCCACAGTGTACTGACAGTTAAGTGGGGTCCTTCTCTATACCGTTGCCTACTTTGATTTTCACAGTTTTATTCCCCTAACTACAAAACACAACTTGGTCCAGGGACTAGCACCAATAGTGCGGCGTATCTGCTCTCCTGCGATTATTGGAGCAGAGCTCCAGGAGCTGCTGAATATACTCCACGAAAACGGACACCGGGAGAGGTTTATCCTCCGAAATACTGTGGTGCGAACTGAAGAGCCTACCATAACAACTGCAAAAAAAGACTTGTTTATAAAACTGCCTTTTCAGGACTGTGAACTACAGTCTTTGGTAAACTTTTTTGTAAAAAAGAATCAACCTCTGAAAGCTAAGGCGTACAGACTCGTAAACTCGAGAAGGGACAAGAAAAGGAAATTAGACGAGCTGGCGCCGAGAAGAAAGTCGTTGTTTGGGAAGAAGACCTTGAGAGACAAATCCAGTAGACCCCAGCTATGTGTGCGCGGGCATGTTTTGGTTTCAGACTGTGTTCGAGGCCGTGATTGGCTGAATGGAGGCAGAATGGACTAGAAACAATACCGTGCCGATGCGGCCCTCTGACATCATCCTTTCTGAGAGGAAGCCAAGTTTGCTTCGTTGGTAATAATTCGATCAACAAACACACTACAAACACCTCCACTGGCCAGGGGCAGGAATGGGGCTTGCCCACCCATAAAACATAATGAGGAGGACTTGCGACGCACCGTACTCGCTATCCCCACCCAGCTCGTGCTCCAATAGTAAGTCCGGCTCAGACCAGTCGGTGATGGGCTTCGGCCAAGCAGTGCTGACAGTCCTGGTTTTTCTTCGCTAGCTGAACAAGCTTGCACAGACTAATTCACGAGCAGAATGACATTACCGACAAAGACAAGGGAGACTGGAATGGCCATTTCTGGCTTACTAACCGTCGTCAGTCAGTCATACCCAAGCCCGAAGTGTGGAACACCCGGGCCTCGAACTTGCGACCTGTTAGTTAGAAGTTCACGCCTCTAACCACTGCGTCACGAGCCGTTGCCCTGTCGGTTTTCGATCGGGAATATACAATGGTAACGGGCAACAGGCAACGGGCTCGTGGCGCAGTGGTTAGAGGCGTGGACTTCTAACTAATAGGTCGCGAGTTCGAGGCTCGGGTGTTCCACACTTTTGGCTTGGGTATAACTGGCTGACGACGCCAATAAGCCAGAAATGACCATTCGAGTCTCCCTTGTCTTTGTCGGTAATGCCATTCTGTCCATATATCATGCGCCGCTGTGCGGCTGCTGGTTGAGCTCGAGGGAGAGATTCCAAAAGGCACAACGGAACGAGTAAGTTCCGTATGAACGATCGGTGAGCGCCCCGTTACCATTAATTCACGAGCGCCGAAACGGTGCCGTCTAGCCTCCGGCGCCAGTGCGCTTATCACAGCTTCACAGGCCTAAGGATGAGCTTAAATTTTGGTCAGAGCTGAATGACTACCTTGTTCGGCCAGGTGATCACCCCTGCCTAGGGACTCCGTATAATAAGCTTCTTGCCTGATATGCAAAATGGACCCAAAGCAACTGAGTTATTCTGTGCGCTCGTCTGCGATGGGAAACCTAGAGGTTAGGCCCTGGGTAACACACGCCCGAACCGCTTACGGTGGATAAAGCACGAAGCCTTGATGACTCTGATTCCGATTTTCTGCCCGACTTTCGAATGAGGTGCATCACAGGGAGTTTTGAAAGATCACAGCTGTTTCGACAAGGAAGCCTAAAGTAGGCCTCGAAAATGTAAACTTCGCGACGCAGTATGGGCTAATTTTTATGTTTACATACCAATTGAGAAAAGTCGTTCCGCGTAGACGGTCAGAGAGGTAGCTGTCAGGAGGGGTAGGAGAGTCCACTGACCCCGGGGCACCCAGTCCTCCTCGCTCTCCGCCTCGGAGACGAACATCTCCGCGCATGTCGCTTCACCTCCACCGCCCACAACGATGATACGACCGCGGAAAAAACAGGCAGAGTGCTCGCTGCGTCGCTTCAGCATAGGCGGCATCCACTGCCAGCAGTCGACACTGGCACGTGCCGGGAACCAGTCGGCAGGTTCAGCGTCCTGTGCGGTGTTCAGCGTCATGACTTCCGCCCACGTTTGTGAATACCCATGGCTGTCACCTCCCAGGGTCACTATGTGTCGGTCGTTGATGGCTACAAGGCAGTGGTCCCTCACTTCGGATGTCATACAGGGTCCCAGAGTCCACCTTTGAAAAGGAAGATAAGTATTTCAGGGGGCAGGCGGAGAGGGAGGGGCGCATAAAAATTGGCACTTGCACTAAACTAACGAAATTAACTGTCTAAACAGTGTCATCATGCATCGACAAAACAAGCTGAGAAAGGGGTTAAGAATGTTTGCAGCGCCGAAAGGACCAACAAATTTGGTGAGTTACTGCTGAAGGCGAGTGTTTTAAAGGAGAAGAGGACAAGCCGTGGCAATCTTTCCGCAAAGTTAGACGAGAGCATCCCTCGGAGCGTCAGGATTCTGCGACTGTAATAAACAGATAACCCTCACGACCTCGCATCCTGACCTCTGTTGATCAGGCCAACAACAATTAGGCCATTTTTGCGGAGGTTTGAAAGTCAAAATACGAAGAAAGGACATGCGATGCCACATTGACCGCTGTCAGACAAATGCATCTGTTGTTGTGGTCGTAGTCCGGGCGTCTGTTACGAAACTGCGCCTCTCGCGCGTACCTATCAGCGGCAGCCTATCCCTCGGCCAATCACAGATATGCGAACCGGCCAAGCAACTTCAAGTTCGACACGGATACAGTAAGTGGGCTAACTCGTGAAATCTCAACAGAAATTCCGAAATGCGTTTTCCTTTCGAAAAGATTAATTGAGTAGGGTTGTAAAATTAATCATCATGTAGGACATTTCTTTTATGATCCAGTTACCACAGGGTACCGGCGTTCGAATGAACTTATTTCCGACTGCATGTAAGAACAATACTCTGCAAGAAATGATTGCTTAAGTAGCATGCGATTCTCTCGTTGATTTTAGATTCCCTTGAACATTCAATTATAGATCACGGAAAACATGCATAAAAATATTCACTCTTTTACTTATTCGGTAGAAAAACGGGTCTTCTTCAAATTTCATACTCGAAAGAAGAGTATAATTCGGTTTTAAAGAATTTTTCTAATTGCTGAATAATTCTGAACCCCACCTGCTGTTACATGTGCATTCAGGGTTTCCAAACTACAAGCCGTATAAATTCTGCGTACGGAAAACCATATATTTCTCTGAGGTATTAAGAGAAGACCGTATGGGGTTCATAAAATTAAGGAGTGGATTTGAGTCACATTGTTAACTGTACAAGTCACATTGGTAAATGCAAAGACATGACGTTTTGTGAAAGGTCATTTCATGGTATTAAAAAATCTCACAATCAGAAACCTTTTGAAAACCGAATTATACCCTTTCTTCGAGTATAAACCAGGAAGAAGACGTGGTTATCTACCGAATAAGCATAACAATGAATATTTTTCCTCATGTTTTCCATTAAATATAATTGAATCTTTAGAGGGCATCGAAAATCAATGAGAAAAATGAATGCTACTTAAGAAGTCATTCTTTACGGAGTATGTTTTTAGATGCAGTCGGAAATAAGCTTGTTCGAAAGTCGGCGTCTGGGGGTAATTGAATTATTATAGAATTATGCTGTATGATGATTAGCTTTACAACCCTACTTAATTCATGTTTTCGAAAGGAAAGCGCATTTCGGAATGTCTGTTGAGATTTCATGAGTTAGCCCACCTACTGTATGTACGCGCTCAAGAGGCTCTAACGTCTGCCCGGTGGCACTCGGACATCTGCTCTGGTGGTGCTGGAGGCGCCACTCATGTAGCCCCCTGATGGACACAATACTGTTGGGATTAGGGTTAGGGCAATCATTTCTCAACCACTCAAAGTACAACCGCATATTTCCGATAGCTTTTCTTTTGCATACAACTACTTAACCTCGTCCCCTGTGCGTTTTCCGGTCCCACCTGTAAAGACTCCTATTACCAGCGGTTCCGTATTACAGGTGGCTGGGGTTTGTTTACTTCAGGTGAGGCTACATAACTACATCTGACCCCTCTTTCTACTCGGGGTCCGGTTTGAAGGTCGGGAAGGCTAGGGTCAGTGCATGGCCTAAACTACCAGGACACGGTATCTCTGGTGGCCTTCCCTTCCCTTCAGTCATCTATCATTACGATTCAACGTGAGATCCAGAAGCCCAGATTTTTTCACCAAGTGTGCTTATTTTTCCCCTGCTTTCATCTACAGTCACATCTCCCCATTAAAGAATTATCGGCAAATCACATACAGGGTTTTTTCCAAGAGCGGATAGATTCTACTGGAATAGGACTCACAGTCAACTTCGCTGCAAAGTCCAGCTGGCTGAAACGAGGCAAGCCACCAAATTTCCAGGCCAACTCTACACCTCATAGACCACGGATTGTATTTCGAGGCAATATATTAAAGTCTTTAATATCTGATGTGGTGTGCATTCCGAGGTGATATGGTGATAAGGAGAAGGTTCTTCGGAAAATCGAGTTGTACTCGTAAATTTTCAAGTCAGTGACACCGACCTGTCGTCAGACGAAATGAACAGAGAGAAAAGTGAAATCGGCAGACCAGGTCGGCTGGCGTGACAGGACAGACAACGACAAACGGACAACTGATGTGTGAGAGGGTGGGGACACCGAGTTATAGTAGGCTGTGGGGCAGGGGGGGGAAGGAATAACCGTGAGGCTCCCTATGCTGGAGGTAGAGAAAACGCGGGGGGGATTGCGGATCAGTGGGAATGCGGGCGGCTGGTCACTGATCCGGGATGAGGTCAGGGGGCAATGCACCGGACATTCGCAGTTGCACCGCTGGTCTCCTTCGACAAAGGAAACATCATCAAACTCTACCGACCAAAGAGGAAAAGGCGTTGCGATCGTTGATGACAGGTGACAAAATAGTGATTATGTCTGCTGACAAAGGAGGAGCGACCGTTATCATAGACAAGGCTGACTACGTCAACAAGGCAAACCAAATCTTCGATGACAGAGAAGCCTATGCGCCACTCGCTGTAGACCCAACGAAAAAGCAAGCCGCGGCTATCAAGAAAAAAGTAAATGAGCTTGCCCGATTGAAGCTTATAAGCCCCGATGACTGCAGATCTATGGTCCTCAATGACCCCCGTATCGCACGTGCGTACGGTCTTCAGAAGGTGCACAAAACAGGTGTGCCGCTGAAATCATAGTGCCACTTATTGGATCTCCAACTTAACCTTGCCAAGTGGTTATACAGACACTTAAAGCACCTCACCAATGGTTTCAAGTGATTGGCACAAGGGTTATATGATGAATTACACAAGTTCTTCGCTAAAATGGCTTCATAAAGTCAAATACAGATGTCTTTTCGAGCTGTGTTCAAACATGACAAGGTACCGGGCCTTCGGAGACCGAAATGCCCCGTCAGGGGTGATTCGCCTGCAAATCGGGGGTATATAACGAGATATCTGCATGCTCGTATTTGTAGTAGGCCAAATATGTAAGCAGATGAGCGACCACCGTGATGAATTAAATACTATGATGCGGCCGACAGTTGGATCTGAGCTGTTGAAGTTTTTCTTCTTACGGTTTACAAAGCCAATAATGGAGTGTCAAGTTTAAAGGTAGTCATTTGCGAGAGATTTGAGGAGGCAAACGAATTCGAATTTTGTCAAAAACGTGCTTCACATTTGTGGGATAAACCCATGAGCAGATCAAGGGGACAACAACGAGCTCCCCCAATCTGCGGTTTCGTGGCAGAACTGGTTCTAAATTAGCTAGAAAAGACTGCTTTTAACCAACAGGAGTCGATCTTTTAGCGCCGTTACGTTGAAGACATGTTTGTTATCGTCAGGAAGAAGATGGTTCAAAATCTCCATGATCTGCTTTCTTTGTTATGGCACAGGTCAGATTAAACGCATGCTCGAATCTCGCATGCTCGCGCGACGGGCTGACGAGGTAGCACAAACGGTTAACTACATCTCTGGGAGAGGGACACGAGTTTAACTTTGCGGTCGCCAAAATAACAGCCATGCCGGAGGCAAGGCAATTGGAGAATTGACTGAAGCCTGGGCCGCGGACGAGAACCCAGTCGGGCGATCTATCTAGCATCGGCATTCAGAGCCCCGCGTAGAGGCCTCCAGACCTGCAGCACTAATGTTTGATTGGCTAATACCCCCTGTAGTTATAACGCTTTTAGCCCCGACGACGGACTACTGCATGCGTCCGAAGTGTCAATCCTGAAAATCTAGTGGCAAGCCCACAGCTCCAATCCAGGGTTCCTGGACGAAGGGGAAAACTGCGCTGCGTCAAACAATTCGGAGATTTTATAAATTGCCAGCAGATCGTGAGTACATGGTTCAGCTGATGGGACGTCCGAATCAATGAGCGGGCACACCTGGGTTAAAATATCAAATGTTCGTATCCTGTGATTGGGGTATGACTGGAAAAGGCCGTTAAAACCAATTATACTCTTTGCTTATATCCCTTTTGATGGTTTTTTGTCCTTCCGTGTGTGACCGTCTGCGGCTTCCACTGGCAGACGGAAAACTCGTGTTCTGTCTGACAATCAGGGCAGATTTATCGACCGCGCACCCATTAAACTTGGTTAGTTTGTCAAGAAATATATGCTGTAGTCTGTAAGCGAACTTTTAGAAATCTTGATTTGAAATTTTCTGAAGTAGGAGGGTATTACTTTCGGGGAGTCGTCCGGAATCTTCGTCTTTTCAGCGGCGGTGCATCGAAAGGCCAAAAATCACATCAGTTTTGCAGATTCTTCCCCGCTTCATTGGTCGTTGACATCTGCCACGTCCCATGCTTGGATGAGCTAAAATTTGAGCCGATGCTTGGTTGGTTATCGAGAATTTGTATCAAACTCCCCGCCATATATGCCGTAAAGTTACATCCCGATTGCTTCCACATTCTGGATTGCATGGCGATGTGCAATCTCCTTAGAGGATCCAAGACTGGCGTTGCAAGCCAAACGTCGGGGGCATGTTCTCCCTCCACAATACTTAGTTATTATGTATATATATCTAGGAAGATGGAATTATCTTGAAAACTGTATATTTTACTGCGTAAATTTTCGAGACTGGCTCCCCAGCACGTCTTAAGTCTATGGGTGTAAAAAAAACAAGTAATTTCTAAACTGAGTCTAACAAAGGATTCTATGATTAGTTAAATTCTGTGCCAACGCGTGTGAGTTTTGGCTCGATTCAGAAGGCTGTAGACTGTACTCCGTTTGTGAGAGACAGGGTGATTACTCTCAAAATGTAAGATGACCTCTGAGTATGCCTCTTTGCGACTAACTGATGTGTGAAGTGATCCCTCAGTTTTTCGACGTACAGGGGCATCCAGGAATGGCAGTTGTCCATTAACCTATGTTTCAAATGTAAACTTGATTCCTGGAAATATAGAGTTAACAGTGGTATGGAGCAGATTCAACTGATTTTTCTTGACAACGACAAGTGTCATCTACATATCGTCGCCAGAATTTGGGGCTAACTGTGGGATGAGATGTGGTTTCTAATTTTTGCATTACGGCCTCTGCCGGAAAACTGGATATGGGTAAGCCCATGGGAGCACCTTTTAACTGTCGATGGCATTGTTTGGGGAAGAAAAAATTTGTTTCCAGATAGAAATCTAAGAGTTAGAGTAAAGCGTCTGCAGGCACCTCAGAAGAGTATGTTTGAAGTTATTCGGTGCAGATCCTCGCTAAATATGGCGGAATCGAGGTGATGAGCGGGACCGCATCGAATGATACCATTTTCCTCTCATATGCAACTCTGACGCCTACTAATTTGTCTAGACTCTTTTGAATCCTGAACGGAGTTCCCGGCGTTCTTCGTAAATTGATGTAGTTGGCGAAATGGCCACTTCGAGATCTTGTAAATGGATGCACCGATCGGTAGCGGCGGAATATCGATTTTGTGAATTCTGTGAAGACCATATATCTTGGCGATTGTTGATTGATCCTGTTTTAAAGACTTGAGAGGAACGCTCTAGATTAATTTCCTTCCTTCAAGGCGTTTCAGTGTTCTTTCAATACATGAGTTCTGCGATGTTGTGGGGTCGGTGGCTAGAGGTTCGTATGCTGAATCACCTTTTAAGAGTGACATAATTTTTTCTGTGTAGTCTGGTTTGTTCAAAATGGTGGTGGCAAAGTCGTTGATGCTCATCGGTTATAAATGCTCCAACCATTTGTTGGCCATAACGGGTAGCAATTCGGCATCCTTGCTCTGCATATATCACGAGAACCGTGATCTTATTGTCCCATGCTCGCCTTCGCAGTTTTGTTCGGTGACGCGAATTGTTGCGCCAGTTAACAAAACACGTACATATCTATGTGTTGAATAACTGCTGTAGTTGTCAACTCTTATGTTCAATATAAACGCAACGACAGTTAACGCACGGACTCGCATTAGCGAACACATGCTGGCTATCTGCCAACGTGACCCCTTACCTCGCGTGTTTGCTAACGCTCTTGATTGTGACCACCGTTTCAGTTGGAACAATATTGCAGTGTTTACCATGGCTAACACTAAACAGGCACGGGAATTCCTCGAAGCCTGCTACCCCATTGCAGACAGCATCATCCTCCCTGTTAACCACTACGAGGGTTTCCGATGACGGCTGACTGACTGGTGCCCACCGTAATAACAACAACTACTAATGCATGTCATCCACAGCTGAGACTCACTCACACCACCTCCCCTCAGCTCTGGCACCCACCACAACACGATGCACACCCCCCACCCCTCGTAAAGTCGTCTGCTTATCTCTCTCTCTGCGTCCTGAAACACCAGTGCAACAATGCCACCTCTCATTTTTCATTTCGTCTGATGACGGGTTGGTGTAATCAGCTTGCAAATTTACGAGTAAAACTTTTTTCCGACTAACTTTCTCCTTCCATTTTATTCATGTGTATTTTGCGAGGAAAGGGGGGGGGGCGGCGTCACCTGTGCTTGCTGTGAAGAATTAAGTCACCTGAACAATAGGGAGTTCACAATACACGGCCATTAGTAATTTTTGGGGGAAAGACGTCTATTTCAGGCAAGTTCGTCTTTTGAAGAGGGCACAATTTCCTGTAATATATATAGGCAGAATGGCATTACCGACATTCGCAACATTACCGACACTTCGGGATTGGGTATGACTGGCTGACGACGGCTAATAAGCCAGAAATGGCCATTCCAGTCTCTGTTGTCTTTGTCGGTAATGCCATTCCGCCTATGTATCATGCGCCGCTGTGCGACTGCTGGTTGGGCTCGAGAGAGAGTCCTTAAGGCACAACGGAACGAGTGAGCTCCGTATGAACGATCGGTGAGTCCCCCCTACCATTGTGATATATATATATATATATATATATATATATTAAAGGTATTATACCGTACTCCCGACCTAGATACTTGCTAAAAGCCCAGACACGTGTTTCGCCGATATTCTGCCGCTGCGTGACACAGCTGCGAGGGGTTAGGCTCTTCAGTGGGACCCCCAGCGTTCTCTAGCGGTTTCCGGTATATGAACTCCAGAGAATAATCAGGTGAATAATTTCAGAAATTAACCAGTGCAGAACTTGGAGTTAAATCTCTGAACCCCTCGCAGCTGTGTCACGCAGCGGCAGAATATCGGCGAAACACGTGTCTGGGCTTTTAGCAAGTATCTAGGTCGGGAGTACGGTATAATACCTTTACCATATGGAATTCATACTACTTGTAGTACTACTTGTCTGTAGAATGGGCATTACGTGGTTATTCCACAGTAGTTGATTGTCTTCGACTCAAATGTTCATTGAAATTTCGGTTCTGACCCTAAAAAGTCATGTCCCGGAGATTTAACTCCAAGTTCTGCACTGATTAATTTCTGAAATTATTCACCTGATATATATATATATATATATATATATATATATATATATATATATATATATATATATGATGGAAGAGCTATCGTGCACCCGCTTTATAAATTCAAAATAAACGCAGAATCAGGGGGATGGATTTCCTCGCCAGTGCAATTTAAACAAGTAGGTGAAAGGCGTGGCAAGCACGCTATCATTTATGAAATTGTTTGACTTCCTACATTGTAACTCTATCGAGGTAGCCTTTTTTCATGTGACGCATTTGTACCACAAACTCATGCTCGCAGCAAACCCTTGGAGGCTAAGTCCTCATCTTGAGAGTCATATTTCACTGCCGGTTGGAAGTTATCTAAACTGTGAATTCCGGGGCATCATGGAGGCTCGACTGCGGCTCTGATTGATTGGGTAGAATCGGCCATACTCTCGTTCCCCTCTCCAACTGATGAAAAGGCGACAAGAGATGAGATCTGCAGCAGTGGCTAACCTAGCCTGAAAGTCACTGTTTAAGAGTGTCGCGGAAGTTGGAAAAATTGGCCACTGACTGGATCCGAGTCTGACTACTTCAACAAACAGGCGAACACAGGCGCGGCTCAGGATTTACACAATAAAACCACCTTTATATATGTTAAATTCAGTTTTTTATTTATCCAACTTCGGTCGCTGACCCTAGCCTGGCCGTTGCCCTCAAAACAATTTTATTTCATGGATGATCCAAGTGGAATAACTATTTTATGCAGCCAGGCACTTGGTGCAAATGACAAAACCCCACGAGAGATAGCCGGTGGCATAGTGTGCAAAGTAATGGAAGCACTAGGGACTATGAAGGTGAATGAACGAGTTCCCTGTAGGCCGGCAAAAGTGAAAAATCTATCTATTATCTCTTTATATGCTCACGCGAAAGGAGGAAATGTTAAAAATTGGTGGCTTTGCAGCACGTACACAACAATTTCTCTGATTAGATCTTGCTAATCTAATGTTGATTTTGTGAAAAAATTTAATCTGCTGTGTGTCCATCATTCTTTATGCATGTTATAAATGTCCTTGAAAAGGGGTCGCGCGGGAGCTGAGCGGCACCAACACAGAGGCCAGATCAGGGTACGGTACACGTTATTGGGCGGAGTACCTATAACGAATGCCGTACATGGGGGTGGGGTGGTTGTAGCACGCCTAGGCGCAGGTTCGCGTTGCACCAATCACCTGGGCCTAATCCTACTTTCGGTATTCTTGAATCTGCCTTCACATCAAACCCAGGAGGGTGAGGGAGGGGAGAGTGCAGTAGATGCAGCCTACGTTTACCCTCGTAAATTAATTCACGTGCTATTCATCGTTCCTGCAATGGGGCACGCAGCAGACCTCGTTGGGTCTACGGTCGTACAGTAGGTGGGCTAAGTCAGGAAATATCAACCGAAATTCTGAAATGTGCTTTCGTCTCCAAAAGATTAGTTAATTAGGGGTGTAAAAATAATCATCCAGCAGCATAATTCTATAATAATTCAGATGCCTCAGGATGCCGGCTTTGGAACGAGCTTCTATCCGACTGCATGCAAAAACGATACCCTGTAAAAAACGACTCCTTATGTAGCATGTATTTTTCTCACTGATTTTCGATGTCCTTAAAATTTCTATTGTATTTCACGGAAAACATGCATAAAGGTATTCATTCTTTTACTCATTCGGTGGAAAATAACGTCTTCTTTCCGTCTTACACTCATTCGACAGAAACATAAACCTTATTCCAGTTTTAGACTCGAATGAAGGGTATAATTTGGTTTTCAAAAACATCTCCAATTCACGAATAATTGTGGTCGTCGACTTGCCGTTACACTTGCATTCAGGGTTTCCAAACTACAGGCTGTATATTTTCCGCGTGCGGAAAACCATACTTTTCTCTACGGTATTAAGAGGAGACCATATGGGGTTCATTAACTTTAGCAGTGGATTTGAGGCATATTGATAACTTTACAAGCCACATTGATAGGTGCAGAAACATGACATTTTATGAACGGCCATTTCACGGTATTAAAAAAATCTCACAATTAGAAACTTCTTGAAAACCGAGTGTAGAATTCGAAGACGTTATTTTCTATCGAATGAGCAAAAGAATGAATATTTTTATGCATGTTTTCCACGAAATATAATATAGTTTTTAAGGGCATCAAAAATCGATGAAAAAATGCATGTTACATAAGTAGTCGTTTTTACAGAGTATCGTTTTTACATTCAGCCGGAAAGAAGTGCGTTCAAAAGTCGGCATCCTGAGGCAACTAAATTATCATAGAATTATGCTGCTGGATGATAAGTTTTGCAACCATACTAAATGAATCTCTTCGAGAAGAAAAAACATTTCGGAATCTCGGTTGATATTTCATGAGTTAGCCCACCTAATGTACTATCGTGTATCATGGCCTGGAGTTTCGAAGTCGACAAAATCGGTGTGATGGTTCATTTCAGTTACCTTCAATCACTCTACGTACGTCGCCATTTAGCAACGTCTTGGGACTTTAGATTGCAGAGCGGATATTCAAGCATTTGAGCTTCTGTGAAGTGGCTTTGAAGTGAAAAAAAGAAATGTCATCAAAGACAGTGGTTTGTCCGCGGATAAATAAAGAAAAATTGATGCGTACAAAAGTTGCAGAGTTCAAAAAGACCAAGTGCGCGCAAATAGGATGAATGCGGCAATGATCTTAACTTTACAAAGTTCACATCCCCTCCAGTGCTTCTTAAGTAACCAAAAATTTATGATCATATAAGACTTACAAAAGGCGACACCACTGATTTGATCAGTTTACTTATGAGTTATGTTGCGTGATAAGACCTTATGCATAGATACCATGTTTATATGTGACAGCTCGACCCTTAGAGTTACATTAAAATACTCTCTACCATACTCACCATTCAGCTTTTGTAAATGTTGATCTGAGCTTTTTAATCCAGAAATCTCACTTAACAACAAAGACAAACGACTTGGACATTTTTGCTGACTTACGTGTTCGTTGGTGGATCGTAAATCTCACAAGAGGTGTCCGTGCCCCCGCATACGAATATTCTTTGTTTGACGACAACAGCCGCCGTCAAATACCGCGCCTTGTGCATTGAAGCCACCGTACCGTACCGCCTTTCCAAGGTATTAAAGACGTTCACGGTTGCACTTTCTTCCGTAAACGAGCGAGACCCAAGGCAATATATGCTTTCTTTGTGTAATTTAAAAACAAATGCTACTGGTTAGGCAAAAGTAGGTTGTTATAACAAATTTAAAGGCTGTATGGATCAGGCTAAAGATCGTACAAACGGATTCACATCATCGTTACTCAACCTCAACCAACGTGCCCACACTGTCAACGAACACTCCACACACCGATAGGCCTCGTCGGTCATCTTCGGACCCAGTGCACCAACCGATGACTGCAACTGCTGCCCCCACTGCTGCCTCCATGTCGACCATGACGGCCCCCACCCTCACCACCGTTGCTCCGAATCCCCGTGCTGCAGTGTCGTCGATCGTCGCCACCTCCTTTATCTCTGCTAAAATCACTGCGGCGGCGACGACGAGCACAACCATTTCTATCACCACCGTCACCGATCGAAACGCTGCTGACGTCACATCAACCACCAACACGTTCACCATCACCAGCCCCAGCGATGTGGACTCGGTCCCAACACGTCCTCATTGCGACCGCATATTCACCTCACATATCGACCTAGTCAGTTACTTGCAAATACAACGCACAGGGACTGGTAAACCCGTGCATGGGGCGGTCCCATACACTCGCCTCAACTGTCCCCACCGCCCTAGCACATTCACTTACCAGATGAGCCTATTCGGTCACATGCGCATCCACAGCAGTATCGGCACAGCCAGCAGAGCCCCCGTGTCCAACCCAATCAACGTCCCATCGCCCAGGACACCAACTACTAGCAGCTCCTTATCTACCCTGCCCACGCTGTCACCGCACATTCACCTCGCGCATCGACCTGGTCGGTCACTTGCAAACCCACCGCAGGAAGACTGCCGAACCAGTGTCTGGAGCACCAACATACACCAGACGCACTCACCTCAGCTGCCCGCTTGCCCTCGTACATTCTTCCACCGCATGAACCCATCAGGTTACGTGCGCATCAATTAAAACCTGTGATAAATCCTCACAGACACGACCACATCACCACACATCACCCCACAAACACATGCACCACGCATACACACCTTCAAAATCCCACATCACCCGCACACCTCACGTAAATGGGAAGTGTGCTTTCCGGCTCATTTCTCCATGCGGCTCCTCTGCGGCATGTGAAATCAGAGTGTTCTGTCCCCCTGTGTATGGAATCGTAGTGTGTGCGTTTGGGGTCAGGTCGTGCGCGTGGCGTGCGCAGACAAGCTCTCTAGCTTTGTCAGCTACTGCGCCCATCCCTCGCACCAGACGACTGACAGTGGCTGAGGCCTAAGATAGGGAATGAAGAGTAGGGTTGACTACTCGGCGCATCTTCCTCATTACAAACTATCGCAGTGCGCTAAAAGCCGTGGCTTGAAAGGTTGCCAACTGACGGGATAATGGCTACGTCGCGTCTCTCGCTAGCGCCTGCACCTAGAGACAGCCTGCTATGGTACGCACGTCTGCCCGGCTTCAATTTGTCTCGTTACAGTTCGCTGTCTGCGCCACGCACCTGGCCGATTCTCTGCCTGCACAATGCGAGGCTCGCCACCACCTTCGCGTGGGCTCGGAGCCAATCAACGCACCTTCTCTTTCGCTGATTGGTTACAAGTGCACACACGGGACGCCACCCTTGCGGACGTGATTTGGAACAGACAACACAGAGGCAAGGAGGCCACAACACTTTTGCAGCGACGACCTTCGGCGACACAGGGCTCGTCGCTCTCGCGGACGCCGCCTCCGCGGCGCGGTACGGTTCACGGGTTAGTCACCGCCCTGAGCTCGCCATATAGTGGGACACATGGGGGACGCCGTCGTCCGAACTGCTTTTGCGTAAAAATGAAATGGAACAAGTATGCACGTGACAGCTGGAAGGAAATTTACCATTAATTACGACGAAGACGTTTGCATCAGAAAGAAATCGACCAAGTTCTTCCCACTGACTAACTCTCCTGTTGTAGACTTCAATTACACACTCAGGCTTCTTCTCCTTGGTGTAGTGTTTTCTGACAGGCGTTCCAACGGTGAACAGGACGCTGGAAGTGTCTCGCCAAAACCGGCGCTTTTGAAGAGCTGAGTCCTCGACCCTCGCACCGCCGCGTACGCTGTCTATCAACCTCCTGTTTTAAAGGCAATAAAAAGTACCATGGATCATGCATCCGATGTCTTCAGATGCCCAATGAAACTAATTATACAAAACTTGAGGAAATGGGAAAGTGATCCGACATACAAACAGCAAAATTCCTTACGCTAGCCACCGTAATTATCTGAGTCTTTTTGGATGGTGAGCTGGGGATTTTGAGAGCCGACGCTGCCATGTATTCGGAGGTTTCAGCTACTCACTTGTGGCTGAATATTCCATATTTCGGCCGACATGTCGAGATATCGTCGGCAATTCCAACACCTAGCTCCGCAGCAATGCGCTCGGTCGCTTCTGAAACTCCCTTGATGTATGGCAGAATCACAGAAGCGACCGAGCGCATTGCTGCGGAGCAAAGTGTTGGAATTGCACACCGCCCCAAAGCCACCATGCGCGATAGGGTCATGAAAAACAAAGACCGGTTAAAGCCTGAAGAGCAATCTGGAGTAGTGTATCGCATCCCGTGTCAAAATTATTCTTATAGCTACACAGGACAGACTGGGCGCATGCTCGGATCGTGCATACACGGACATAAGCTGGCTGTGCGACGAGGCGATGCATTATCACAAGTGGCCGCCCACATCTACGAAATGGGTCACGAGTTTAACTTCGCAGCCACCACGCCGGAAACAAAACAGGCCAAGAATTGATTGAAGCCTGGGTCTCGGATGAGAACTCGGTCAATCGATTTATCGATCTGGCGCCGGCGTATAGAGTCCTGCGTAGTCACCTCCAGTCTTGCGTCGTCGGTCGGTGATTCGCCTACGTGCCCTATAACTGTCGTTTGTTCTGTTGCTTCCACTACCTCTGACGATGGACTCCTAGTCTGGAAGCTCAAGACAATAAACAAAGTATTCCGGTGCTCGACTCTTCTTCACTTATACATACACCTGGAACTCGAAATTTCGCCTTCATTTATAATGTTCCTCAGCGTACTATCGAAGTTGCTATTGGTGTTTCGACTTGATTTGGGCAAAGGAAAATGTCAGCCCTGAATGCTGGCTGACAGTGGGGCCAAACGGGAACGTGTGGAGCTGACAGCGCTGTTCCTCTGTATTTCGGTCCAGCATCGTGGTCGTCTTCACTTTCCCTCTCATATTCCGCTGGATCTGGAGGTTGTAACACCATTTCTACGGTAAATCGTCGCCCCTTGCCGATCTCATAAAATTTTTCTAGCTCTCTTGACTAGTCTCGATGCTACTGACGGAAGCCTTCAATCTCTCCTACGTTGTAGTCCAGTGACTACAGCAGGGTTCTCGTAAAAAAAACATTCCGGAAGGCGCTCATCTAAACCTTTCATGAGGTGTCTATTCTCTCCAAGTAGAATGTAATTCAGCGCTGCAAACCGGTTAAACATGTGGGGACTTTGGAGAGCGGGAACGCCCCCATTCCCAAAGCGATTCTGCGTGTGCGCTCGCGTCATCCGTTGCGTGCTGCATGCATGTGGCTGCAGACTTTCGACAGCGTCTCGCCATTGGCTGTAGACAGAACGCTTCCTTGGAATTGGATTGGTTAATCTCTGCGAGAAGTCGTCCGGCTCTTCTAGCGCCTTCACCTTGAAGCGGATTGGATAGAATGCTGGCCAACCTGAGTCGCATGCTACAAGTAAGCGCAGATTTTGTTTTGGTGAGAATGACTTGCAGGTACCAACACATTTTGTTGTGGCCGATCGCGTTTCATTTCTTGGCCATGTTGGCGGTTGCGACGAGCACGTATACAGTTCATGTTCTTACCGAGTCAAGTCACAACGTGTTGCATGGGAGTTAAGGTGGACATTTCTGTCTTGTTAGAAGAAGAAAATTGGCTCTCAGGAACAGGTTTATTTAACTGCTGTCTTGCTTTGGAGCTGAGAGTCTAAGGCTGACGTAGAACGCTGGAACGGGCATTCTTGGTTTATTTTTCGTCAACAGCCAGAATCAACCAAACTCCGGGATGCATATTCGGGATTCGAATCCAAATCAGTTGATCACTGAGCGCCGCTATCACCCCTACGCTGCGAATCTCGACAAGTCGGCCGAAATAGAGCATATTCGGCCACAAGGGAGTAACGTGCATCCCGGTTGTGAGCCGAAGTGTACGTATTTATGCTGTGTGAAAACCTCAAGCCTTTATGTGGTTGCCCTATAACATGTAGCTGGTTTCTGGATTCAGCAATTCGCTGTCGCCCACCTGGCATAGTCGCACTCAGTGATTCGGGAGTCTGCCCTCAAGTTCTACAGTTCAAACTGCCGTTCATGTCCGGTAACCACAACTAGATTGGTATATTAGCAGACCGCCAGTGAAGACGGCGTAAGGAAGACGGGATGAGGAATAGTCAAGCTTGCAGTCGTGTTGGGTAGATTATCATTACGCCCCTAGTTCCCCTAATAAATTGACCTAGAAAGGGGACTGGACCGTCGGGACGTCGGTATTTCGCTGAACATTTTGAATTTAGCCAAACTCTACCTCTCACGACAGAAGGGTAAATAGGCGGTCGCCGCGCCACTGATTCCCAGTTCTCTTTTGAACTCTCGATTGACGAGTACTCATCGCAGTTGGTAACGGTACTTGGCAATCGTTTAACTATTACTGACATTCTCTGGGAATATCCGATTCTTTAACTGTAAACCTGTTAGGGAATTCAGTGGGCTCAAGCTGTTACTTCCAAAGACAAGGACTTCTAGGACAGAGGTTGAAAAAGAGTCGAGACTGGGCAGTCCGTCTACGCACGACTGCAGTATTCTCCAGAGATCAGTGTTAACAACAATGGTAGGGGGCGCTCACCGATCGTTCATACGGAACTCACTCGTTCCGTTGTGCCTTAAGGGCTCTCTCTCGAGCCCAACCAGCAGCCGCACAGCGGCGCATGATATACAGGCAGAAAGTATTACCGACAAAGACAAGGGAGACTGGAATGGCCATTTCTGGCTTATTAGCCGTCGTCAGCCAGCCATACCCAAGCCCGAAGTGTGGAACACCCGAGCCTCGAACTCTCGACCTGTTGGTTTAGAAGTCCACGCCTCTACCCACCGGGCTCGTGGCGCCCCCCACCATTGTATATTCCCGATTGAAAACCGACAGGGCAACGGGCTCGTGGCCCGGTGGGTAGACACGTTGACTTCTAAACCAACAGGTCGGGTGTTCCACACTTCGGGCTTGAGTATGGCTGGCTGACGACGGCTAATAAGCCAGAAATGGCCATTCCAGTCTCCCTTGTCTTTGTCGGTAATACCTTCTGCCTATAGTTAACAGCAATATTTGCCATTTGTACGCAACATTTCGATTTACACATAGTCACTAATTTTAATTACAAACTTTAAACTCTTCCCAGCTGATTTCTGGCAGTGTGACAAGGGCTTTTATATCCAACAGCACTTTAGCGGAATGCACTCCTAGACATTGTCAAATCTGATTGCCATTTGTTTCAGTTAATTGAGCATTATCTAGATGAATAGCGCTCAAGTTCCTATGCGTAAGTAAAAAATGGGCTCGACCAATGGATTTCCTCGAAAGATCAACAGATTTTCTACCGCGGAATCCATGTGTTACCCGGGGTATGGGAAAGGTTACAGCTGTCAACGGACAATGCTTTGAATAAGATGTAATGTATAGTAGCTTTTAAAATACACGAATTGATTCTCATATCTAACATTATTTGAATGGATAATCTTCAAGGTTGTAGCTTGGCATTTGAATAAAAACATTTGACGCAAATATGACCTCTGGCAATCCTCCAACGCGCCTTAACTTTTTACTTTTCCCAAAAAGAAGTTCACCCTAGAAATCACTTCTAATGACATGCGCCAACCGATACAGAAGCTCCAGGTCTCGAGTCCGTGTAGGTGGCCTCAAAGTGACTGGAAATCCATAACTGGAGGACGTTGTTGACAGAGACAAAGGACGGTACACATTAAAATCTCCATTTTTAACACAAGCTCTGTTACTTCCCTTTTCCACAGAAATCAGCCTGATCGACAGGTTATTTGGCAAAATGACAAAGTAGAAAAGCCCACAGCCTGCTTAGGAGCATATTTTTGTCCCGCAGTCTTCACTTTCACAGAACTAGAAAGAACCCCTGAAGTGGACAGCAGCGGCGGTGAGAGCCAAGGGAGACAAACCATGCACCTGGCTGGTAAACATTCAACAACCCGAGAAACACGGCGATGAGCAACCAACCTCGCTAGTTTTCAGTAAAGTGGAACGGCTGTTAGAGTGAAATTTGCCGGTGTTCGAACTTAGTCAGGATCCTGTTTTGGCAATTTGACTCTCAACGTGACAAGGCGACGGCTATGCTGAATCAGCACTAGAAGGTCCTTAGTACGAAAACATTTGTGAAATTTAGTCAGACAAGTCGAGCGAACCAGTTGGCAACTCGGTTACCCTCTGGTCAGAGATGGGAGCCAGCGATTTCCCGTATGGTCTATTGACAATGTATACTGCCTACTTTTAGCTCTCTGTGCCTATTTTACTCTTCAAACAGATGCAGGATGACACACGGGTGGGCGGTACTAGATGGCCCCAACCTCAGACGAACAAAACACACCAGTTTCACGTACATGCATGTCTCGTCATCTCGGCAGAGTTCACACTTCGCCACCGTATGCTCCAAAAAGTCCCGGGAAAGAAGCGGCAGACGAACGAGTGGAAACAGTCGCGGGAACCAGTCTTTCCTCGCCTCGCCAGTCTCACTGTTTATCCATGCAAGGAGGCCTCTAAAGACGGCTGACTCGTCAGAAACGTTCAGCCGGTCGCTGTTCAGGATCCGGAGCATATCTTCGGCTGTCAGGCGTCGGAAGGCTTCTGTGTCAAGGAGACTTTCAAAGGATCCACAGAAGAAGAGTCGGCAGGCGTCTAGTAACTCAGGCAATTGGTTCTCCCTCGCGAAATCCATCGCCCTCATCACAGTGTCCTTGTTTAACCTACCGCGCAAAAGTATCGGTATCAGTAAACTGAACAATAAATATAGGTCGAAAAAAATACAAGTTTAAGGAATAGTAGGGGGTTAAACCCGTAGGCTGGGCAAGACTCTGCAGTAGACGTCGAAACAAACCAACTGATGATAGAACTATCAAGGAATGCTTTCGAATGAGGGTAACAATCGGGAGATGACACCCACAAAATCCGCCTAACCGAAGCAGCCTGTCTTACGGGACAGGTGGTAATAGGTGTTTTACGGGTGGTGGCTGGTCGGGATGTACGATACTAGCCGACGGAAAGCCTTATTTGAACAAGTGAATGATCGAAGTTGGCCCGCTCTCCGTTCCGTTATTACAAAATGGGTCGCCAAAGGCAGTATAGTGGTAACGGACGAGTGGGAGGCGTATAATCGTCTTCCCTCAGAAGGTTATCTACATTTCTCTGTTAAACACTCAAAGAACTTCAAGAACCCTACCACCGGACGGCACACCAATGTCATTGAGGCATAATGGAGTAGACTGACAAGGAAACTCCACGAGGCAGGCCCTGTATGTGGTCGAGCTGTGTGGGCTCACATAGACGAAGTACAGTATCGTCTTTGGTTTGGCTTCAATGTCATGTTTTTGACAGATGCCTGGGAACTGTTCCTGTCCCATGTTGTGCAGACTTATCCTATTTAAGGATGATTTTGTTTTGTAATAAACTGCCGTAATGCGAATGTATGCCGCATACTCAGGTGTACGGGTTTAACGATGGGGAAGGTTGGGTAACAGCAACCATCGTCCATGTAACCTCCTGTGATGTTCGTTCGGCCAGCCCATGTTAGGCCGTCGGGGAAAGTCCAAGTAGTGTGTGAAAGTAGGCCCGCAACTGCTGATATAGCCTGAAGGCGTTTGAGTCCACTGTTAAAGGCATTATTTCTAGGTAACGGATTTTTTGGGTGCCATCTCCCGATTGTTACCCGAATGAGAAATAGTGCTCGGATAAGGTTATAATATGAATTAGTTGTGAATCAATCTGCAGATAACACACGCGGATGTTGCTTTTGTGCGAACATTGCATTACACTTCCACATTAAACTCGCGACAAAATAATCGCTTCTGTGGCATATGTTGCATTTTGAGACCTGTACAATTGCATTCCTCGTAGAGGTTGTAGGATAATTTCAGTTACTATATGAGGCTTGTGGAAAAGTACGTCTTTTTCGAATCTTGTGCATATAGAGGGGTTCATTTCGGTTTTACGGAAGCTAGTCGCTTCCTTCAGATTGCTGGTGAAATCCGTGTTTTAATATGAGCTTGAGGTTTCTAAATTGCATGCTGGCTGTTAGGAGTTTCCGTGGCAAGCATGAGATTGTACGACTATGAGTAATTCAGAGGCAGTATTAACAACAGCCCATATAATGTGCTGCAGAAAAAAACACATGGGCGTCCATAAACACCCCACAGTTGCCAAGCTTTTCAAAACTCCAGCCAATGTGTAACGAGGTTTGACGCGTGCTGAAAGGTTGTCTAGTGTTGACTAAGTTAGGCGAATCACTTTTTGGCGAAAATACTTGAATCGTGATCTCATAAAACAGGAAGGCGTCAGGTCTAGAAGCAGGCATTTCATTGACTCAAAAATAAGGTGCAGCATGCTGGACGCACTTGTTCTTAATTAAAAAGGATAAACAGTGAAAAGAGATGTTTTACATAAACACAACAGAGAGTATCCGGGTTTCCCCTCTAGCATTGTGTTTTAGTGCTCACAAATTTAAGTGATAAGTAGCTTACCGCTGGCAAATGTACCGAATGCAGGCCATCTTTACTTCTTCCATTCCAAGGGTCCGTGATGCCACTGCCAAGTCATCGACATTTTCGTCCGTAATTGTGATGTTTCTTTCGTAAGCAAACAGTAGCAGCGCTTCTAGAATACTGCAGTCCCATAAAGCATAGTCGGCAATGTACCTAGGCTTTATCTTTTTTAACGCCTGCATTAAATCCTCCCTTGGCTTTTTGCACAAGAAGACATCGGCGAAAAATGGTATTCGTTCCGTCAAAACAGCCTTGTGCGCGGGAAAATTTAGACTGCCAATCTACAAAAGGGTGATTTTCCACGGGAGTCATCTCAGAAATGGAAAAGCCTACAGCAACAACACAGTCACAGAGCTGCCCACTTTTGCGCATTTCACTCCATTGGGCGGAGATTCCGTTGTAGAATTCCACCTCATTTTTCTTTCCCAGAGTAGTTGTCAAAAAGGAAGCCGACGCCATCAGTGTATTCGGCTCCTTCAAATGCTCACGCTGCAGGTGCTGAATGGAACACGACCGGCGCTGGAATCCAATTGGCGATAGACTGACCAATCGGCAGTCGGGTGAGCCTCTGGAACAAAGGCATTGGCCAATGACAAGGGCGGAACAAAGCCGCAGACCGTAAATTCGCCTACGTGTGTGTCAGCGCAACATGGCGCAACCTTTGCCTAAACTGGCTGCCCTATGTATACACGCCTGAACGTGTTATCTGAGTGAGCTATCGTATCAGCAACCGAAATTCCTTTTGGTGGGAATTTGCTAACGGTATTTTTATCGTTTACCGCCCTTTCTATATTCATCTTTTAACGTCTACGCACATCCATGGCCGATCGTTATCATCGTGTAACCGGGTCAGACTTGTTGTATGTTCATCAAAATAGAGACAGCGGAAGGATTTCGCACTCCGGTGGAAAAATTTTGTTTTGGGACTGCAAATCAATAACATGTGGTCTAATTCTTGTGTGTGGCGAGCAACATAAACAACATCTACTGACAAGCGTCACGTAGTTTCTCAGTAGGCGGTATCTTACTAGGTAAAACCATAAGCGCGATAGCCGGATAAGGTACCACGGCGGTTGAAGATGACAGTCATAACAGTTCAATAGTCGGAAGTGACGGCGCCCACCGTGTGCCTCACTGAATGGACGCAACATAACTGACTTGCGCGCGAATTGGTTTGTAGTGAGACAGACTTGTGCGGTGTACACTGCACTCTCTTCTCCCTCACCCACCTTTTTCCGATGTCAAGACAATTGGAGTTGAACGCTGTCGCAGTGGCTAGCAGAACGAAACAACCCGTTTGCACCTGCCATACGCGACGTGACTTCGTAGAATGCACCAGACCTTCCTGAAGGGCAGCTCGGATCTCGCGTGCTTGAGAGCCCCATGGAGGCTGAATTGAGAGGGAGCAATTGACTTTGACCCCTCCAGTCAGTCACTCTGTATACCCAGAAGGCTGACCACGAGGACCGAGTCATCCTGTCAGTTGGGAATCTCCAAAACCGTGACTTTTAGCGCGTCTTGATAGTTTAGACGCGCGTCAGATTTGTCATGGGAACAGATTCATAGTGTTGGCTCACTCTCTGCTCCCCCTCCCATACACCAGTCAACTGTTCGAGCCCGTCGGTTAGTTGCTAATTAGATTAGGCACAGTTGCTTACCAAGCTACACATCCCGTCTACGTGTACAACGCACAGTCTGACCACTTCGTTCACGGGGATACATCAGAAAACAGGCGTCCTACTTACGTGGGATGTGTATGTGCTGATATGTGAAGCTACGCCGGCCATACGTACGATAACGACACAGATAGCAAGCTTCCTACGAGGAAGAGGTATGCTTCTTACGGGCATAGGGGTTCATACGTAATCTGGGGAGGCATATATGGTCAGGCAGGGCAGCGTGTGATGACGGAGTCCTGAGTGCGGTGTTTTGTCGTGGACATTCATGGAGACACGTATGAAGAATGGGCCCATGCGGCGACCGAATGTCCTGGATGAAAGTTGTGCGACGGGCGTGTATAGGGGTTCCTGACAGGGGTATGCCAGTCTCAGTGATCGACCCGGCTGATGTGGTAGTTAGGACAGGATGGGACCGTGGCTAGTGAGCTGATTGCGGTGGCGATGCTGACGACGGTAGAGTTGGTAGTGCTGGTGGTAGAGAAGTTTTCAGACGTACCAAGTAGGCTTGTCCTGATGAAACTGCCTCGAATTCCGCTGTCACGGATATTCGTATGGCCGATTAGATTCATGCGGTGTCTGAGTGTCCTGAAACACCGTAAGCAGACGTGGTTTGCGTGAGGGATGTGGGTCGGAGTCACAGGGTGAAGCGATGGATTCCCAAGTGACCGACCAGGCCCATGTATCAGGACAAAATGTTGTCGCGATGGGGACAAGTAAGAATGGAGTCCAGATTTATGGTGGAAAAGGCCGTGGTGGTGATGTTTTGCAAGACGGCAGGAGTGTCCTCACTGGTGTCGCTAGCGGTAACAGTAGTTTTAGTCAGAATGGTATTCCCGACAAAGACAAGGGAGACTGGAATGACCGTTTCTGGCTTATTAGCCGTCGTCAGCCAGCCATACCCAAGCCCGAAGTGTGGAACACCCGAGCCTCGAACTCGCGACCTTTTGGTTTAGAAGTTCACGCCTCTACCCACCGGGCCACGAGCCCGTTGCCCCGTTGTAGTTTTAGTGTACTGTGGCACGAGGGAGGGGTTAATCTTATTGCCAATACATTGAGTCCACAGTTATCTATCGAGGCATTGACAGGCAGTCCATTGACAGTTTGAATACGCTGACCGGGATTAGGCGTTCGCGCCAATTGTCCGTAGCAGTTCAGTCTCGTGAGCCTCCCTCTCCGCTGTCGCGGCAGCTATTCGACTGGCTTAGGAGATGGCTGTTTTAGTCTTTACGGTAGTCCGCGATGCCTGTCGAACTTGAGTGAGATTCCTCCAGGTCACCGAGTTGATTTACGGGTGCCTGAGCGAGGTCTTCAAGGTGTCCTCTTAGAGGCGCTTTTGTCAGCTCTGTCTGAGAATACCTGTAGCTGTTTCACCATAGGAAGGCACTCGTCGTATATCCAAATGATGAGGCCGATTGTCGCGACTGTATCTACCTCATTATGGCGTGGAAATTATTGGCGCCGGCTCTTTCCAGGATCTTAGTATCTGGGTTCTTGCCACTTCACCTTCAGTCCTCTTCCATGAGTCTGTCAACTTTCTCTTCGTAAGCAGTAAGCATCTCCTCGCCTTGCAACAGCCCTGTACGTCCTCAGTTTTGGGTTGAATAAGATGCCGAGACCAACACAAACGGATTGCTTTAACTGGCTTTCGGAATCCGACTTGTGATTTCGTCGTAGTTCTTGGTGTCTCTTGAAATTTCACTCTCAGGGCACGAAAGGTGTCCTCTGCTGTGAAGTATAGAAGTTTCACTGACATTGATAGGGATTCGATGCAGTCATCATTTGGCGCTGGTTAGTGCTGGACCGCTGTCTTTCCCCTGCTGATGGTCAGGCCGAAGTTAAAATAGCTAGGGGCGAAGAGATACACACTTCTCCGCATGTTCACATTCACTGTGCCGTTGGGCGCGTAGTCATCCGCGAGCAAAAGACCGAAAATGATGACCTTCAGTACCTTCAGAGATGCTTTCAGGCGATAGGTGTGCAATAGTTTCCTGCGAGTTCGATAGTCGATGTTGATCATCGGTGGCTCCTCACGGTAAGCATCCTTTAGTATGACGGCGAGCTTGAGATTGGGTAGAGTTGAAGCGAGCATATAGCCCTGTTTCACCCCGATGATCTCTGCAAATGCCGCAGAGTTTGTCTCGTTGGACGTGATGCAAACTATGTTTCAGCCGTGAAGTTGTCTTATCGCTTGTACTAATGACTCGAGTCATCCGAATCCCAGGATGATTTTTTAAAGTCCATCACGATTCACTGTGTTGAAGGCCTTCGTCAGATCAACTAAATTGTTATGAAGATTGGCCTTCACAGACTGCTACTTTTCACGAATTCGGCAGGCCGCGAAAATCCTACCTGCGCTTCATCAGTATTTTTGAAATCCGCCCAGCGTTTCCGGAAGAACTCACACACCAGATGATTGTGTATTACTGGGATGACGATTTTTCTTGCAGATATGCACGATGATGGCGTCCCTAGAGTTTTATTGGTTGTGTTCTTGTGGCCATATCTCCTAGAATGCTGAGGTAAGCTTCCCATGAGTTGAGAGCCGCTATACCTGTAGACTTCGACTGCAGTTACATCTAGATCTAGCGCTTTTCCACTGGGCAGCATTTGTGTGTCTCTGAGCCAGGAAAGGAGACGGACTACCGAGAGCATCGTTGGTGTACACTTGATGAAGACGACTGGCGGTTTCTTCGCATATTGTAGATTAGTGACTGAGGACGTCCCCGAAAGTGTGCGCTCCAGCGTTCCCGGATCTGTGAATTCTCCGCCAGGCGAGCTGACGTTTTTGGCCCAGCATGGGCGCAGTCACATTGGTTTGTGGACCATAGGCTGCTCTGATACCAGTTAGGATGTGCTACATCAATCGACGGTTGGCATATCCTTGGATTTCCTACCCTTTGCGAAGCAACCAGTTGTTCAGCATTTCCCTCAGTCCCTATTATACTACGCTCTCGGCATCGTGGTCTCGGCTCATGGCCTCCTGTATGCCCCATGATACTCATATATTGCCTTGACTATGGTTTTGTGTTCGCAAAACCTGTTAGGGGAGGGCTGGCAGGTGGATTCGGCGGCCATACATCTGTTCCAATGACAAGACAGGAAGAAAGCAAAGTTGATCTATCTGAGTTGATTACAGGATGGAATACGTGTGCTGCATTTGACCTTGAAAAGTGGTCCATATCCCGGCCAGGCGGTCTCTTAGCGACGAGCACTCAAAAATGAAGAACACTATCGACAAATGCGGGGACGACCCGTATGGCTGCGTCAGACTTACCGGACGTCCTCAGCCTGATCTTCTTTGAACGCGGATGGGAAGACCTGAGAGTTGAACTCCAGGTACGTTCCTTATTGGAGTTCACAACCCACCATGTGAGCCGTCATCTCATGCTCTGCAGGCTGCGGCAGAAAACATTAAAAATTACCTATCTGACTGTCAAGAAATGATGGCAGACAATTCAAAGGCCCCCAAACCAAAAGACAGAGAAAACAGTCATAGGAAAACAATTGCTGCGGCGAGGTTACAAGCGACTTGGCAGACAATGGCAGCGAATCGTCTCACCAGACGAACGACAGCCGCTGAGGTTGCAGCTTCCCGCCCGCGAGAAGAAGGTGCTTGCGCCTGGGCTGTGTCTGCCTTCAGATAAACAACGAAGGATGCAGCGTAGACTAACCTTGAGCCCCCGTCAGGCTGATGCCAAGTGGCGCATCGATTGAAAGAAGGCTTTAGGCGGATTGAAGGCGGCATGGGTGGGCGCCCGCGATAGCAATCGCGTGAGCAGACGGCCGCAATACAATGACAGCCAAGTCAGTTGGTCATTTGTCTAAATGAATTTTAGAGCAGAGAAATAGCATCCCACGTCTTTCCATGACAAAACACCTCCTTGATAAAAGTCACTCGGTTTACCCCAAAACAGCATTCCGAGTACCTGTCCGGGGACGAAAAACTCTGACATTATGCTACTCGAAAGTAGCCTATATGTGGAGGGAAAGACCGAGCCATGCAAACATTTATACCACGCGGTCAATCTCAACTTGCATTTTTGAGCCACGGTCCTTTGATCTACACAGTCCTTTTAGCGTGTTATCTTCCCCCCTGTTCTTTCGTTTACAGCACTTAGATGTCAGATGTGGTTATGCAGCCTCACCTGAGGCAAACAAACCCCAGCTACCTGCAACATTGAACCGATGGAAATAGGGGTTTTTACAGGTGGGGCCGGGGAACGCACGGACAACGAGCTCAAGTATTTGTATGCAAAATAAAAGCTATTAGGAATACGCGGTTGTACCTTGAGTGGTTGGGAAATAGTTACCCTAACCACCAACTCTAAGCCCTAACCCTTTAACCCTAACCCTAACTCCCCAACCCTAGTCCCTAATTCCTAACCCTTAGCCCAACCCCAACCCTAATCCCCAACCTTAGCCGCAGCCCTAAACCCTAACCCTGAAACATCCAACGCCGTAGTTAAAAGAAGACGACAAGCCAAAAGTCAAGAAGGACCACCAGCACTGAGACGAAAACGGTGGACACGACAACAAGGAAATCAGGCTGCCAACAGAAAACACACCACAACGCACAGCAACACCATGCGAACGTAATCACACCAACAGTATTCTGTCCATCAGCTGTGGATACATAACCACATCTTATCCAATTATCTTGCTGTTTTCTGAGTAAATTCAACTTGTTATAAGCTTCTGATTCATTAGCCGTGTTATTTAGCAACGGGTTGCTGTTCATAAGCTGTCGTGAAATTTATAGGTACCACTAACTTCTACCGTTTACGCCTGTTTATAATAAATAAATAAGTCAGCGCCGTCTTTCACAGCCTCGTTTTAGAGTGGAGTCTGACCTAGGACTAAATCATCGAGTTCGAGGACTGCCAATCCGTTGTTGTTTATGATATCTAACGACTTACCTTCCTCGACTTCTATGAGTAAATCTTCAAGGCAGTCCACTAACCTGGATTCTAACCGCAGACGTCCTGGAGGTCAAGAGTGACCATTCATCTGAATAAGCAGAAGGAACTTTTTCGGCGTTTGGAGAAATGCAGCATTCACAGCTCAGTTTTCTTTGCCTGATCACGGTCAGCCGTCTTAAAAGGTAACCTTTACCAGGGCAGGTGGCATTTCGGGCAGTAATAAATTAACTCCCTGATTGAAACTACCAGTCGTACGGAAAACCCCGAAGATCGGTAGGACCGCAGTAGGTGATGCAAAAAGGGTACAGCAGAGTTTAAACACAGCCAGTTATTGTGACGCATGACGATATGAGGAACAAAATTGTGAAGGACAGATTCAAACTGACTCAACCAATCCCGAGAAGATTACTTTAACCAATCATAGAATCCTTTGTCAGACTCGGTCTAGAAGTTAATTGTTTTTCCACGTCCGTTGTCTGAAGACGATCAGGGGACCTAGTCTCCAAAATCTACACAATAAAGTTTACCGTTTCCCATTGAATTCCAGCTTCTTAATTATATCTCTTGGGATGCCTGTTTTTCAATATACATTGAGTGACCGATCTCATGAAATGTTGGCTGGAATTCTGAAATGCGTTTTCGATTAGGAAGGATTACTTGGTCGCGGTTGTGATACTCATTATCATAAGGCATACTCTTATAATATATTAGCCTTGGCAGGATGTCGGCTTTAAAATGCACTTCTTTTCACTCTCCTGTAGAAAGCGTGCTCGGTAAAAAATGACTACTTAAGTAGCATGCATTTTTCCCATTGATTTTCGATGGTCTTGGAAATTCAAATATATTTTATAGAAACCACAAACAAAAATATGCTTTCTTTGAGTCAATCAATAAAGAATCACGTCTTCTTTATATTTTATACTTAAGGAAGGAGTATAATTAAGTTTTAAAAAAGTTTTCTAATTGCCGAATAATTTGGAGCCTGATCATTCGTTGCATCAGCGCTTAGTGATTGCACTCTTCAAGGTGCATGCGTTCCGCGTAAAGAAAATCCCATATTTTTCTCTGTCATTAAAGAGATATCATACAGGGTCCATAAAATTTTGCAATGGATGCGGACCATGTTGTACATTTCATGAGGGGCAGTGGTAAACGGCCAGGTACGATGCAATGTGAATGGACATATCGCGGTCTTAAAAAGTCTCATAATTAGAAACTTTTTTAAAACCCAATTATACTTTTTTCTTAAGTATAAAATATAAAGAAGACATGATTCTCTATTGATTGACTGAAAGACAGCATATTTTTGTTTATGGTTTCTATGAAATATATTTGAATTTACAAGACCATCGAAAATCAATGGGAAAAATGCATGCTACTTAAGTAGTCATTTTCACCGAGCACGCTTTGTACAGCCGAGTGAGAAGAAATGCATTTCAAAGCCGACATTCTGCCGAGTCTAAAATGTCATAAGAGTATGCATTAAGATAATCAGGATCACAACCGCGACCAAGTAATCCTTCCTAATCGAAAACGCATTTCAGAATTTCAGCCAACATTTCATGAGATAGGTCACGCACTGTATATCGTCGTTATTCGAGATGGATCTTAACGAATTCAAGCCGGTTTCCTGGAAATTGGTACCAATCAAAGTGTCGAAATGTCACACACGACCTTTATAAGGTCCACTCAGACACCTAGACATTAGGAATATCTAGCACGGTTGGTCTCACCATCGATATTCATGCCGCGCCTGAGGTATGCAATTTTAACTGGATCTTTATTTCCCCTAAGGCTACCCAAAAGTACTCAACTTCTCCTATTGTGGTCCTGCGATAATGCGACGTGTTCACCGTAAACTTTGCCAGGTCGCGGTTAGCATAAGGGAACGGAAGAAACTGCAGTCCATGTGGCGTTATCCAAATCCGTTGATAGCGAATTTGCCAAAACGGATGCATTCATAGGCAAATAATAGTAAGTGAACAAGATTAGGGCATAAAATTCAGTAAGGACTGCGACTTTTCTGCAGTCTTGAACCCTGGAAATCCGTCTGGCTTCATGGGGAAAGTCTTACTTTTTATGTCCACCGTGGTGGTGTTCTCTTCTGGCCGTCCACCTTCTTAAAATTTAGCCAACAAGACTTTTGAATATTCAGTGGTATTCGAAGTGATGTAATTAGTGGCTTCAGCAAATTCATTCGTCATCCACTAGAGTTGCATAAGCAGAATCTATTAAAATATAACTTCGCAATAGATCGTACAGTCTAAAACACACACTTGCGTATTATTCTTCGAAGCCTGTGCAAGTGATGCATTTTTGAGGCCGAAAGGTTAATATGTCTCGTCTACACAATCGTCGTTTTGGAGTCTTCTAGAACCAGTGTTGTATTTCTTTTGTCGATGAAAACATTTCTCGTGTTTGCTTCCCCAGTGAGACTTGAAAACGGAAACAGGCACTAAATTAGCCATTTTCTAGTAAATAGTACCTGGACGTTGCTGCCGATGCCTTCGCTTTAACGAATCCCTCTCTTTCAATCACAAAATACTCTCGTAAATGGTAATTGCATTTTTGCGATAAAGCCTGGATTCTAAGAGATCACATCAGTTAAAAATGGAATAGTTTGTTTCACTCGTTCGACGGCTTATCTATATCTCATGGTTTCAATGACAATCTCCAATGCTAGACGAGTGCTTTCAACATTTGTGAGCGATTTTTTATTTTAAATTGGAAGCTGCGTAGTCCTGTGACTTGAAAGTTAAGCCTTCTTAACGATTTACAAAACAAGTTTCGCTTCTTAGAACCTTTTGTCTGTCATATCGGATGTACTCAATTTGCCAATCGGCTTCTTTGTTAATCCTGAATGATTCTCCGACAGCTGACCCATAAGATGCCTTGAGACTAGTGACAGAAGTCCCAACCAAACCTGTGCACCTCGTCTTTCTTACCTCTATTGTCCAAGAACTCCCATTGACCGCGTACGCCCATACGGTGCTCTGTCTATCCGTAAGGATATTCCGTTAAGAAACACGGTTCAGCCCACATCACCACGCCTATTTCTACCTGTACGCAAACCAAGAAGCTGTATGGGGGCCCATTCAGAATACGTGCATGCGCGCTATCTCTCTGTATAACATCACTGCGCGTTCTTGCAGCGCACATGCAGTTCACTTTACGAGCGCCGATATGGCGGATGATACGCCACATGCCAGAATCCGCACATCTCACCTATGCGCTTGACATGTCAGCTGGAGCGTCCCGGCACATGAACTGGGAGCCAGATCGTGTTTTGCACGTGCAGGTGCACTGCTAAACTTTTGAATAAGGAGACACGATCGCTGGGACAAGAGCTTTATTAGCCTGACGTTTCTGATTCCTGTTCGAGCCCATCATCAGAGACAAAAGCAGATACGTGACTTTGTCAGTCTCAGCGTCTGATCCTACCACCAGCTGCCTGACAGGCTTATGCGAGGATGGAGGAAAGAGTGAGGCCGACACCGAGAAATCCAGTTTCATGGAACACCAACATCTCTCCCACTGACGTGATCTAATCGATCGCGCCGCTCTAGGATCAATGATTTGAAGGGTTGCCGACAGAAGTGATAACCCCTTTATCCTCAGGGCTGACGAATAGGCTTCAGTGGCCGCCCTAAATATGGCCCTTATGACATTCGCACTCATGGGCTATCCAAGCCGCCCTTATAGTCTCATGGTACACACGGTGTGGGGATTAGATTGTGTGTGGCCCACGTGGGCTGACTGTTTTCCAATGTCCCCACCCGTTGCGCCCGAGTTTACCTCCGCTGGTCTTAACTACGTGAGCGGTGGATTCTGCGCGCGTCTGCCTCGCTATAAACTGATTCCCATATAAGTCACCTTTGCTGAGCCCACTTAGTTGAGCACGCGGTGAAATTCATCGCTCGCCGCAGCCAAACTGTCGTTGAAAACACCAGACGGTATGGGAGTGAGCTGACTATTTACAAAGACTTAGGAATAAATTCGATATGGTTTTCCGGATGGGTTGGAAAGCTTAGTCAAATGTGATTTGTTTCTCTGATCCCCCCTTCTATCATTCGCAGTTTTTTGAGACGATTGCACAATCTGTAAGCAAAACAAAAGGGCATTGTTACCACAGCAGATGCAACTGACTATAGCGGAGAACAAAAGTACTTCATTAAACAGGTAAAACGTCTAGTTTGTATTGTGGGAGGATTTAGAGAACCCTTCCCAAACTGGCCGTCCCTTCAGGGAGGAACAGCGATCACTGCGTAAAACAAGCGAATCACGTCACGTGCCAGGCCGGAGCGGTGAGACTCAGGATCGGTGGTGATGCCGACTGCAGCTGCAAACGCACCAGCCAACTTGCCCATTCCAGCAGTTCGATAATAGTTACATTTTAAAACGCCAACATGTTCGTCATCGGATCCCTCTACCAATAATATTTCCGGCGTGCGCAATAATCTGAAATCTATTCGAAATTCCGTGTCCAGACGAAAGCGAAACTCTTCGCCGGTGGATTCGCGTGGCTCGGTATTCACTGGGATGTAGTGCCTCGGACGAAGATTCCGCCTCGTTTTCTGGCTTTTCTAGTCTCCTCATATGTTTGACAAATGTGTGCAAACAAACGGTGCAGCGGTCCTTGTATGATGAGAACGGACAAGGTCAAGCCGAAGTATGACATGACATGACTACCGATGCCCCCGAAGTAGTAGACAAATAAAGACCTACTGAAACAAATGTAGTAGGTAGTAACGCATTATAGACATTTTTCGGTCACATACATATCGTTATGGGTAGTTTTCTTCGTGAAACCTCACAAAAATCCATATCGAGGTGCTCATTCCTTTGCATTGGATAAATTAGTGAAAGGCTGTCCTACGCAGAACTTGGAATATTCCAGATCGCAGTTTGCAGGAAGCAGGTCTCATGTTGAAGCACCCAAGATAAAATCAGCACAGAATCAGATCAGGATGCGACATGCAGTATTTGGGCCTCACGCCCGCAACAAATGCCACAAATGGAGGTGTGGCGGTACGTCTAGGCGCAAGCTCGCGACTCGTCAGTCGCCTGTGTCCAATCTCCGTATCAGATGGCCTGCTGGCTAGAACAGTGTGCTGGTGCACGAGAGAGAGAAGAAACAGTGAAGCCGACTCTAGATAGTGCTTTCTCACGACATGCCAATAAACAATTTGACTTGCTTTTAAACTATTGCAGTGATAAAAAAACCGTGAGCTGGAAGGTGTTCAAGCGACAGACTAACTCTTTCCTCATGTTTCAATGGCCTCATCTTAAGGTAGCCGCGATGTTACTCCCAGTGATATATGGGGTCCGGGTCACCCTCTTGTTTTCCTTGAAAACATGGTCCATCATGTGCGTACCAGACCTCCGTGTCAGACGTAGACGGGCTGTTTAGTTGAACCAGCCACTGCGCCAATCCCGCCTCCAGTCTTCTTGGCTCTGTCTTGCTGTCGGGCGCGTGTGAGCGTGGGAGGAGAGAGTGTGGTAGATGCGGCGAAAGTCTGCCTAACTGTAAACCAACCCGCGCGCAGGTCACCGTTTCTGCGCAGGCCGTGTTGCAAGGCTCGGTGTGGAATTCGTCGTTTGTGGCACGTCGCCCACACGACGTACTGGGCGCGTATGCTTGGAACTGAAAGGAACTTCTGAGGGGCATTTGCTCTGTACACTGATTGGCATATGGAGTCCTCCTATTCTATTTCTCGAATTACTCCGGAGCTTCAACAATCGTGTCCCAAATTACGTCTAGAGCAAGCACGCCATGCAAACCTCCAAACAAGAAGTTGATGTATTCATCCTCATCTACGAAAAAATAGGCAGAGAATCAGTAGACGAAATTACCGCTGAAATGCAAAAGTGTTCCAGCTATTCTAACCTTCAGTCCATGTTTAGACTGGGAGACTTGTGTGTGTGTTTCTGTTTATTTTGCAATATTTCGGAATTATGCTGACAAAACAGCAATGAAACGCCAGTACATGATGTTTCATCCATGCACAACCCCTTTATTTAGCTTGATGTTCTAATCCCATTGACTAAGCCCGGATTATGCCTATCTCCAATACAAAGAAGTGACATACGAAATTGCTATATAAAGGCATTTGGCGAGCATACGCGTGCTTTCTCATTGGAGCAGTACATTTATATGGGAACGAGGTACAAAGTGAAACGTGTGAACGGTAAGAGGAATCGGTCGGATAAAAGTTCGTAGCCGTGCCTGCAGTAGACATGTCCCAGCCTTGTCCCTAACCCTAACCCCTAACCTCAACCCCTAACCCCTGCCCCCTTTCCCTAACCCCTCACCCCAAACCCTAGCCCCTAATCCCTAACTCTAACCCCTAACAGGTACGGCTACGAAATGGGGTCTTGCCGAGTAATCGAATACGGTTCGTCTTATCACACACGCGGCTTGTGTGAATAGGGGTGAGGAGGGAGGAGAGGAGGCAGTAAGTGACGTGAGTGTTAGTTAGAGCTGTTTCACAAGGGAGGAAGGACAAGACGCGTAGACATACATACAGTTAATCGATCTTTGCTCACTGTATAAGCGGAGCGTGCAAGAGGCTCTTCTGCGCCCACAGGACTGGCCTCCGTATCCTGATGACAGTCGCTTTTGACCCAGTTGCTTAGGGTAATAAGGTGGGACCTTATAAATCACACCCAAGCATTCGTTGGGCTCCACATGGAGCCGAAAATCAACCATGTGTGCGAGGATGGAGCTGTGTATGCTCTTCACGTTTCCTCAGCCATGTCTCAAATGTTCTCATATTCTTGTGGATAAGCGCCGACTCATACGACCAATATAGCCTGCTACATAGGGGTAAGTAAAGGAGTAAAAGTACATGGAGGTGGTCTGAGATGGTAGCCTATCCTAACTATGCACGCGTAAGACGGGGTTGGTCGAGGACAATACTTTAATGCTCGCTGTCGGGAAGGTTCGTAAACGGCGTGCGATTTACAAGGTTCCACCTAACTAGCCTAAGCGACTGGGTCAGCGCTTATTAGCAGCAGCAGCAGCAGCAGCAGCAGCAGCAGCAGCAGCAGCAGCAGCAGCAGCAGCAGCAGCAGCAGCAGCAGCAGCAGCAGCAGCAGCAGCAGCAGCAGCAGCAGCAGCAGCAGCAGCAGCAGCAGCAGCAGCAGCAGCAGCAGCAGCAGCAGCAGCATCAGCAGCAGCAGCAGCAGCAGCAGCAGCAGCAGCAGCAGCAGCAGCGGCAGCAGCAGAAGGGACTGCCATCAGGCTTCAGAGGCTGGTCCTGCGCGCGCAGAAGAACCTATTGCAAGCTATGCGTCTAACGTGAGCAAAGATCGATTAATTGTATGCTGTTCTACGCGTTTCGTCCCACCCCCTAATTGTACGGTCCTACCTAACCCTCATTGCCACTTAATGCCTCCTCTCCCCCCCCACCCCCTCCCCCTATTCACACACTCCGCTTGTGTGAAAAGACGAACCATGATCGATTTCTCTTGTCTCTCACACGTTTCTCTTTGTACCTCGTTCCCATATAAACGTTACTCAAACTGACTTTTTAAAATGTCCCTTTAGACGCGTCCCATCTGGCTACATAAGAACAGGGATACTTTAGGCGTGTCATAACATCCGAAGTCAGCAACAAGAATAGGTTGGGAAGCTGTGCGACCACGTATAAATGACTCCCACCGTCAAGCTATCCTTGTATTCTGGCGAGATACCAGAGAAAGTCACCAGTATTCGGTAGGTAGGAAACCTCAAGATATTTACACTCCTCTACAAACACTACAGGAGAAGTATGGGCTTTGTGTTTGATATCGTCTGGGAAATAAGCTGCAATTCGCTGTCTAGCGACGCCTTTAAACCGGACCAAGCGAAGGGTCTTCCCGGCCACCGTACGACCGAAGATAAAAAACTCCACCCTTGTGTTGTAGATGGCTTCCTTTATTACCAGCGTCCCGAGAGCTGAAACAAATTGCCGTGGTCACTTGTCGTGGCGGAAAACATTAGCTCCTTCCCAAGAAGAGTATTGTTTTAGGTAAGATGTGGTTTGGTAGACCCCACCTGATGGGCACGATACTGTTGGGATTGGGGCTAAGTGTTAGGATTAGGGTTATGGTTAAGGTTTAGGGGTCATAGGGGTTAGGGTTAGGGGTTACTGCAACTACTTCTCAACCAATGAAAGTACAACCACGCACTCCCAATAGATGTTCTTTTGCGTACAACTACTTGACCTCGTCGCCTGTGCGTTCCCTGGTTCCACTTATAAAAACCCTTATTATTACAGGTCCCGTATTAGAGGTGACTGGGGTTTGCTTACTTCGGGTGGGGTTACCAAACCGCATCCGACCTTGTTTTTTTATTTGGTCACCCTATTTCTACAACAGGCTAATTCCTAACAAGATATGATCCAGGTGCAGTATAGATGCGTGTCTGTTTCCCGTCTGCCGTATATACCGAGAAATACTAGATTAAGTCTAAGGCAAAGACACCTAATCAGATATAGTACTCAAGGTCCTCTCTAAACTCCTAACCAGGGGATTACAAGTCTCTATTGCAGCGAGTTCCATGATCGGACAACCCGCTGACTGAAGGAAAACACCCTGCGGTCTTGCCGCGTGTGCTTGCACTTGACTATGTAAGGATGGCTACGCAGTTAATTTGTAGAGGCAAACTCGAAAAAGTCCACCGGTCTCAGTCACCAACCCTGGTCACGGACAATCCGGAATGTGCAGAGCGGGCTGCAACTTAGTGCCCTATAAGATGGGGGGGATTAACGCGAGCACATTCAACCTCCTGGCAGGAGAAGTACTTTAGGCGATCGACTATCTGTCAAGCGGCCACACCCCGGTAACCGCCTCGACCGGCGGGATAAACCAGGCGAAGGCATCCGTGTGCACATCTCCACATACGGTAACTCGGCTCCATTCCCACCACCGCTGACCGGAGGGATCACCGCCTCAGCACCTTCGAGATGAGGTTTCATGTGCAACCCCGTGGGAGGCTACAAGCAGCCAGCAAGCTACGGACCCAGTGTCTGGAAGACCGCCCACTTCTTACTCCTCTTTCGCACCTATTCTCCGCCCTTCTCCTATGCCCATCACTCTACCCTCTACTCTACTCATTTCGCTTACCCCACAGTCAAATGGCCCACGTATCACCGCATCATCACCTTCATGTTGAAGTTTTGTCTGCAAACCCACAGGAGGCCACAAGGTAACTGATCCCCCAGGTAAATCGGATATTGCTCTGTTGCTTTTTCCTTTTGATTGTTCTTGCCTATTTGCTTCTGTCTGCTTGTTTGTGTTTGCCCTTGTCGTAAGATAAAAGTCTTTCTGTTGAATGCCGTTCTGCTGAATTTGCCTGCTCACCGTTTATATTTCAGTAACCAGTTCGCTTAGAGAGGGGTGTGGGACCCTGGTTCCCGTCTCTCTACCATTCCCCATTCAAAAGTCCTACGGCGAGAGCGACAGCGATCACATAGGCGATTCAGGCTAACCCGGGCCGTTCTCCCACTAAATATAGTCGTGGCCAACAGTGAAGTTGGACAGCCGTCTGATATGTCTGCCCGTGAGGGGGAGGGGGCTAAAAAGGTGTCCTAAACAAATGCTGGGACCGTGTTCTCTGCGCGCTGACTGTGGCTCGCAGACGCAAAACACGCGGTCGAAACAATTAAAATCGAAACAACACTCTCTCTTTT